GGGGCTCACGCGTATAGCACCCCACAAAAACCGAGCATGGATAAGAATGACGCTCCTCCCTTTGGCCGCTCAGACATTACGGTCACTTCCCTGGCATTCCTTCCTCCTGGCCAGGAAAACCTGTTTGTCACTGCATCCGAGGCTAGTGCCAGCGTTCGGCTATGGGATCTGCGAACCGCACACCACAACCGCCGTGGCCGACCTGTCCTTCCATTATCTACCACACGAGAGCCTGATAGCCATATGAAGTACCGCAGATTTGGCCTCACATCCATGGCCTTCAGTGGTGAAGGTTCGCGGCTTTACACCCTTTGTCGGGACGGTACGGTCTATGCATACTCGACATCCCATCTGATGCTTGGGCATGCTCCCGAGCTTTCTTTGAACAATAACCGCCCACGAAGATCTGGAGGACCCGACAAGGAAGGCCTGGGGCCGCTGTACGGGCTCCGTCACCCTCGCCTCCAAGTTTCTTCATTTTATGTTAAACTCGCGCTTCGAAAGGCATCTGGAGACCGCCCAGAAATGCTGGCGACTGGCAGCAGTGACCATTGCCCTATATTGTTTCCAACAGATGAACGATTTCTGCAACCTACTGTCAAAACCCCAGATGACGGACTCCCCACCCGTACGTCGTTGTTCACGACCCGATCAGGTCTCCGCCGTACGAACTCCGGAGTTGGCTTGGCTGGACGTCTGGAAGACACCATCCCTATCTACCAGTCCGGCACTCCCCTTGCTGAAGGGCACAACAGGGAGGTGACAGCAGTGTCGTGGACAAACGACGGCGAGCTTATTTCCGTGAGCGATGATTACAGCGCCCGATGCTGGCGCGAAGGACCCGAGGCTCGCGAGCTTCGAGCTAGCGGTGAGACTGAGGGCCGGCGCTGGGAATGCGGCTGGGCTGCTACGAAAGACTCCTATGATGACGAAGACGAATGATTCCCGCGAAGTCCTTTTTCTCCCTCCCGCTCCTTTTATCATTATCCTGTTTTGCATACGCGAGGTGTTTGTCTGGCGTTTTCATTTATGAGGGCATTTTATGGCGTTTTAGAGGAGGCATTGTTTCTATTAGCGTAGCATACCCGTTCACTTTATACTGCATCTCTCGGGGGTTGCAATTTATCATTTACCTTCATCTACTATATGTGTCCAAGGAGTAGCTTTTGTTACCTAGGTAGTAACTAGTCTTTGGAAACTGGTTTCTGATTCGGAATGCAAGCTAGCAGCGGGTAAAGAAATAGTGAATCGTGCTGAAGTATACCTAGTTACTGGAAATATAATATCTTGAGCTATCCATGAGATTAAGAAGGCATAGAGGCTTTCTATTTCTCCTAGCACTATGCCTGCCCTAAGGTGGGCGATCCTCTGATGCCCCAGCCTACCTTGGAGTGGGAGGCGGCGGCGGTGGGACGGTGCTGCGATAAGACGATTGGCCGATAAGTTTCCTATGGAAAAAAAAGTTCCGCTCGACATAGGCAACTCCAAACCTCCACACTCCTCAGCACTCACCATGCCTCACAAGCACAAGAGACGTGAGCAAGATGCCTCGTAAGATCTCCTTTCATAAATGCCTGACCAAGTACCCGATGATCTAACTTTCAAACCCGCCCAGACAATTCGATCTCCCGCCTTCGGTAATCGCGAAGGCACTCCCCGTGCGCAATCCGGAGTCCAAGGCCCAGAACAACCAAAAGCCAGGACAAAAGGGACAAAAGCAGCAACAAGGTGGCAGCAAGAAGGATGCTGTCTCATTGGAACATACCCGCAGCAAGCGCGCCAAGGAGGATGACACTCCCCGAGCTTTTCGTCAGTTGATGCAGTTCAAGACCACAGGCCGACGTGCACCCTCGGGATTCGAGTCGGGAGAAAAAAAAAACCAAAGCGGATAATAAGAAGCGGAAGCGCGAAGATGCGGACAACAAGGGATCCTCGAGCAAAAAGCCCGCCAAAACGCTGTCTGAACAGAAAGAAGCCGCTGGCAAGGACGCCAATCTAGCGATCCCGAAGATTCTGCCTGGCGAAAAGCTGTCGGATTTTTCGGCGCGCGTTGACCGTGCACTTCCTCTTGCTGCTATTACCAAAACACAGGCTGGTCAGCGCAAGGACCGCGATCACAAGATGACGAAGCACGAAAAGCATCTACGAAAATTGCAGGCTGGTTGGCGTGAGGATGAGGCCAAGATTCGGGAGAAGGAACAAGAAGAGAAGGAGGAACGCGAGGAGGAGATGGAAGAGCAGATTGAACTCATGAAGAAATGGGACTTGGAGAGACGGGGTGGTAAAGCCAGGAAGAAGGGAACTGTGCCAAAGAAGAAGAATGGGGACGTCGGCGATGATGACCCCGACCCATGGGCGAAGCTGAAGAAGCGCGACAAGGAGAGAAAAGCCAATCCGTTTGAGGTTGCACAGGCACCGCCAGAACTGAAGGCACCCCGAGAGATCTTCAAGGTACGCGGTGGTGCAAAGGTCGACGTTGCCAACGTGCCCAATGCTGTTGGCAGTTTACGACGACGAGAAGAGTTGGCTTCCGAGCGGAGGAATATTGTGGAGGAATACCGGCGAATGGTGGCTGAAAGGCGCCAGTAATTTTCTACTCTACTAGAGGGGGAATTCATGTTCGTACATTTTTTACTATAGGATATCCATTTGATAAAATCTGGTTCATATGCAGCCGCAGCAGAAGGTCATAATATCCACTGCTTTTTCATTTCTATGTAACATCAAATATTACTGCCTTTTTTAATCCCCGTAGTCAAAACATCAAGACCTTAGTGACCGTGGCCGTCATCCTGAGGCTGCTCGGGGTCAAGCTTGATGATAGTATCAATACGCATGATGGCAATGCAGGCCTCGACAGCACTCTTGAGCTGCTTGATCTTGCTCATGCTGGGCTCTAGAACACCCGCCTTGAGAGTGTCGTGAACGCGTCCCTTCGCAAGATCCAGACCGTAGTTGCGGTAGGTCTTCTTCTTGGCGATAGCCTTCTCCTCCTCGTTGGCATCACCATCCTGCACACGCTGTGACAGGGCGTGGCGAACACGGAGTTGAGCGACAAGCTCGGATGAGTCCTTCGCCGCATTGACGGCAAGGGTCTTGGGAATGACGAGCAGCGACTGGGCGAATTCACCGATGGCGAGTTGCTCCCGAGAGCCCTAGAAAACTGCGTTAGCGACGTATTCAATAAATAGTGTGAACATAATTACATACCACTGTGACGGCGAACTCCTCGAGGTAGATGTGAAGGGCGGTCTCAACGGCACCACCGCCGGGGACGATGCTGCCACTCTCCAGAGTGCGCTTGATGGCACACAGGGTGTCGTGGACGGAACGTTCCATCTCGTCCAAGCTGAACTCGTTGGCGCCACGGAGGATGATAGAGGCGGATGTGTGAACCTTAGTGCCCTTGACCAGAATGCACTCGTCGTCCGAAATACGCTCCTGGACAACCTCCTCAGCGTGGCCGAGGTATGACGACTCGAACTTCTCATCTCCGTTCAAGTCGGACAGGGTGCTGATGAGAGTGGCGCCGGAGGCCTTGGCAATGCGGCGAAGATCCTCCTTCTTGCAACGGCGAACGGCCATGGCTCCCTTTTCAACAAAACTCTTCAGGACCATATCGTCGATACCCTTGGTAGTCAGGATAACGTTGGCACCGGACTTCAAGATCATCTCAACACGCTCCAGAACAATACCGGCTTCACGCTCACGGATCTTCTCCAGTTGATCGGGGTCCTCGACTGTGATTTGCACGCCCAACTTCATGCGCTCCTTCTGCAAGTTCATATCCAGACAGGCGATCTTGGCATCGGTGACACGGGTCGTCATGGCCTGGGAAGCAACAGTGCAGTTCAGGGCGTAACCGTGGACAAGAACGGACTCAGTACCACTCTTTCCGTGAGCCTTGAGCAGGTTCACAGCCTTGACTGGGTACTTGGTCTCTCCTCTTTGGTTTGTCGACTTAACCTGAAGCATGGCGTCCACGCACAGGTTGGAGAAAAACTCCGAGTCGCCTCCAATGATCTTGCTAGACATAGAGGTCTTCGCAATGTTGACCAGGCTGTCCCTGCCTAGGTTGTCCACTTTCGTTGTCACATTCTCGTTCATATACTTCACGGCTTCCCGAAGCGCGAGACGGTATCCGTTGATGATGGTGGTGGGGTGTATCCGGTTCTTCATCAATTCGTTCCCTCGGCGCAGGAGCTCTGAGGCAATCAGGACAACCGAGGTTGTGCCATCACCGACCTGGCGGTAGTCAGTTGGAAAGGTTCGATCGTTCAGGATATGTGTGGGATCCGTACCTCCTTATCCTGTTGCTGGGCCAGGTCCACCAGGATCTTGCCCGCAGGGTGCTCAATATCAAGTAGCGACAGAATTGTAGCACCATCGTTTGTAACGGTCACATCCTATGATGGCAAACGTTGTTAGAAGCTGTCTTTCCAAAGCTCTGCGGGGTTCTTCCGTGTTCCATACCCCTATGTCGTCCACCATCATCTTGTCCAAGCCGGAGGGACCGAAAGAGCTCTTGATGACATTTGAGATAGCCTGGGTCGCGAGCACTGGAAAAGGGTTAGTTAGAACAATTGATATAGACTGGTTGTTCTATCCAACATACCATTCTGCTCACGGACATCGGCACCGGTGATTTTCTGTCCGCCCAAGACTGTGTGCGAGATAGGTTAGTTCGCTGCTTCGAGGAAGAGGGGGTTTTGGGCTCACAGAGAGTGTCCGCGTTCCGCGGAGCCTCGAAGATGCCTGCCATGGCGAATGTAATAAAAGACGAGGGCTTTTAAGTGGGATGGCAGAGCTCTGCTGGGCTTGGGACGGGGGGGGTTTTGGTTTGTTACCGCTAAAAGTTCTGCCCGGCGGTGTGGGGTCGGCGCAGATAACATCCCACTTTTTGAAAGAGTCATATCCCTCCGAATTACGAACTCCCATTCTAGTCTCGAGAGTGGCTCGCATCTCTTCTTCTCCTAGCCAGGCGCTCGTTTTCATTCAACATGGCTAGCCAGACCCCCACCGACCCCGCTGCCACCAGCGCTGCTGAACCCCAGACCCTGCCTGACCGCACCAACCCCGCCGATGCCCCCCAGGGCGAGTCGAAGAATGCGGCTAAGAAAGCGGCCAAGCTAGCTAAGCTTGCTGCCGACAAAGCCGATAAGGCCAACAAGCCTAAGCAGCCCAAGCAGCCCAAGGAGGGCAAACAAGAGCCCAAGAAGGCTGCGAAGAAGAAGGATAGCGGCAAGGAACTCATCGGTATCGACGTGGAGAAGGAGTCGGATTTCCCAGAGTGGTATCACCAGGTACTCACCAAGGGTGATATGCTGGACTAGTGAGTCAAATCTCTCCATAAATTGTTATCGTTATTTGGCGCCGTGACTAACCTGGGCTTTGCCTTTTAGCTATGATGTGTCGGGCTGCTTCATTCTGAAGGTATCGCGTGCCGTTCTATTATATACTATGATACTTGCTCACATATTTTAGCCCGCATCTTACTTTGTTTGGGAGGAGATTCAAAACTGGTTCAACGTGAAGATCAAGTCCATTGGAGTCAAGAAGTTCGTCCTTTGAAACCCTTCGCATCATCAGAAACGGATATACTAACTATAGATTAGCGCGAGTTTCCCCCTCTTCGTTTCCGAGGGTAGGTATCTCTTTCACTCTTGATCTGTGGCAGCTTTACTAATTACACTAGATGTGTTGCAGCGTGAGAAGGACCACATTGAGGGTTTCGCTGCTGAGGTCGCCTGGGTGACCCACGCGTATGGATTCCTATCTCCAAAATATACGGTTTTTGTTACAGGCTTCTGACTTTCTTCCTAGCGGAAACTCTCCCTCGAAAAGAAGATTGCTATCCGTCCCACCTCCGAGACTGTTATGTACCCATACTATTCCAAGGTACGTTCATATATCATCTATCAGCACTATTGAAGACTCAGATACTAATCTTTTGGTTAGTGGATTCGTTCCCACCGGTAAGAATACTTTCCCACTGGTCATCGACGCAATAAAATCTAATCTGTCCAGAAACCTTCCCCTCCGTCTTAACCAATGGAACTCCGTGGTTCGGTAAGTACTAAATCGTTCGTTGAATTTTGTCTTGTTGTTTCTAACTTGTTGCAGATGGGAGTTCAAGAACCCTACCCCTTTCCTCCGCACTCGAGAGTTCTTGTGGCAAGAGGGCCACACTGCCCACCTTGGCGAAGACGCAGCTCGCGCTGAGGTGCTTCAAATTCTTGACTGGTACTCCGATATCTACGAGCACCTGCTGGCTGTTCCCGTTGTTAAGGGACAGAAGACTGACAAGGAGAGATTCGGTGGGCGTATTCTATCTAAAAAACCCGGAAATCTTGCTAACACACTTTTCTTTTAGCTGGTGGTCTCTATACCACAACTGTCGAAGGTACATTTGAAGTATACTTGGGATACTAAGCATGCATAAACTAATCGAATACTTAGGTTACATTCCCGCCACTGGCCGTGGTATTCAGGGCGGGTAAGTTTTTCTGTTTCTTGATAATCGGTTCTCAATTAACACAATATTTCTTCTAGCACATCTCACGGCTTGGGTAAGCGTTAATTGTTCTGGGAATCTGGAGGTCAAAATTAACCAAATGATTCTATAGGCCAAAACTTCTCGAAGATGTTCGACATTAAGGTTGAGGACCCCTCCAACAAGCCGGGCGAAGAGAAGAAGCCTCCTCTATACGTCTGGCAGAACTCTTGGGGTCTGTCGACCCGTACCATTGGTGTCATGGTCATGATCCACTCCGACAACAAGGGACTGGTCCTCCCACCCCGCGTGGCAGAGACTCAGGTAAGTTAAAACAGGAATTGCCAATTCAAACCGTCGTCAGCGTGACACCCTGGAGAGATCCTTGAGGCGACGACCTTTAGAATGACCAGACTAACAACGAACCAGGTCGTTATTGTTCCCGTTGGTCTCACCGCGAAGACCACCGCTGAGGAGCGGGAGAAGCTGAACGCCGAGATCGAGGGTCTTGCTGCCATCCTCCAGGCTGCAGGCGTCCGTGTTGAGAACGATCAACGTGATGGTTACTCTCCTGGCTTCAAGTTTGCTGACGTATGTTATCTCAAATATGCACATTGACATCTTCAAGCGTTACGATTTTGTTTGCTGACTTTCCTTTTTTTGGAAACAGTGGGAGCTGAAGGGTGTTCCTTTGCGCCTGGAGTTCGGCCCTGGAGAGTCAGCCGGCCACTTTGTTAGTACCGCTCGTCGTGATATTCCTGGCAAGGAGGGCAAGGGCTCTATCCCCATCCCCGAGCTGGGTACTGCCGTTCCTGCGCTTCTAGAGACTATCCACCAGGATATGTACAACCGTGCGAACGAGCAATTCACCACCCACCGCAAGGTCATCGAGAAGTTCGAGGAGATCGTCCCTGCTCTCAACGACAAGAACCTGGTCGTTGTGCCTTTCTGTCTGGCCGAGGATTGTGAGGATCAGATCAAGAAGGAGACTGCCAAGAAGCAGGAGGAGATCTCCCTCTCTGGTCCCGAAGATGTCAAGGCTCCTAGCATGGGTGCTAAGAGTCTGTGCATTCCCTTTGACCAGGGCATTGGCGGCGCTGAAATCACCGCCGAGACCAAGTGTATCAACCCCAAGTGTACCCGCTCCGCTCAGAAGTGGTGCATGTTCGGCCGTATGTCCCATATCCCCCTCTTATCTACAGAAGATCAACCACTGACATCAAAAACCAGGCTCTTACTAATCATTGCCGATTCTATCTACATCATCTATTCGGGTACTAGCATGTGCTCCGTAAAGAGGACGAAACTGCATAGTGCTTTTCTTTCAAGGGTTCGGAGTATTTTGAGTGAAGTGGGACCGTAAAAAGTATGCAAATGCACGATGTTTCCTATGTTCGGCGTGGGTAACACGGGGTCCCGTTATTGAAATTCACCTTGCGAGTTGTTTCGTTGTGGAGTCGGAATTTGCAGGGGCAAGGTATTTAGCCAACACGAGCCTATGAGAAGAATGAGCCATGTTATCCAAGACAACGTCCTACTCCGTATGAAGGAGTGCATGATGCTTTCGTAGCTACCTTTGCTCATTGTAATTCCCACTCCTTTCTTCCTGCGCAATGTGCATGTAATGCCAGTTGGACTCGTCGAATATGCTGTAAAATGACCGACCAATCGGCAATCTTGTCGTCCTGATTATCGAGTCGTTGACTCGGCTCCTAACTTGAGGGGTGAACAGGTGGAGACGACCCTGCATATGGATACGAGTAAGTTCGTGCTCCTTAATTAGCAACATTGCCTTGTCGATCTTCTCCTGACTAGCGGCTGAAGCTAGCCATGGAATTGTGATTTAAATAGATATGGAGCCTCTTGGTGATTCAATAGTCGCACATCATTTCGGCAAGTCTCGTGCCGAATTTCTCGGCAAATGCCACTGAGTGACGTCGCCTAATCCGGGGAGTTCGCCCACTTGACTACTAGTAGTAGGAAACTATGTGCCGTTTTGCCTAAATTATTGGTCCGCCTGGTACGTCAATAGGCTTAGTGTTATAGTACCTGGGATGGTGGTGGGATAAATAAATAAGTAGTCAATTGATAGTAAAATCGGCAGGTGAACTGGAAATCCAATTGGTATAATACAGAAATATGAAGAAACGACAGTAACGCCCCTCCGGAATATGCAGATCCAGTAACAAGACAAGGCAGAACGACCCGGGTAGACGAGTAGGAAAACAGGGCGACGAGCCAGGGAATGAGGAATTGTGGGTAGAGAAAGGTCTTAGTGGACAGGTAGGACGAGGTTATAGGAAATGCAAGGAGTGCGGGATCCAGGATATTGGATGGTGGTATGTAGATAAGCAGGGAGGGTTGCTGATGATTAGGAAAATAGATGTGAAGGAAGGAAGAAAGGTTTGTGATTTCGAAACAAGACGCTTCAAGTTCAGAATCGCTAGGAAAACAGACCCTCAAGGGTTAAGCAGGCGGGCTTTTAGTGGTTGGAGGTATCATGAAAGCATAATTATCGTGCGAGAAGGAACTCAATTCTTCCGGATGAATAAAGCAGGTATGAGACACCTGCTCAGTATGTCTCGACGGAGCGAGTTCCCCGGAGCTGCATCCGAGCACGAGCGAGTGGTGATAAGCTGTTATCGCAGGAGGTGGGCTGGGGGGAATTGGCGCGGCGCACGCGTTGGGGCCAGCTCATCAGCTTGTGTGCGTCGCTGGCCGTGGCGGAGTCAATCACATAGCGGACATTATTCTCGTCCACACCCTCGATTTGAACGCGAGGGGGTGGTGTGCCAACACTAGGGAGGTGAATAATCTCATCATCACTTTCCTCGTAGGTCCCCTGGGAGCCAGTGCCACTGCTTCTGTTCTCCCTGCAGTTGGAGGAGTCGGAATGTGCCTGCATGCAGTATACTGTGCCGGCGGTGAGAGGTCGGGATTCGGGAGTAGAGCGTGGAGCGGTAGAAAGATCGATAGGGATATTGGCGGCGAGTTCCGAGCGCATTGCATGTCTGGAATTGGTGGACTTGAGACTGTTTGCGCGGAGGATATCCATATATGTCAACTGTTCACCACCAGGTTGGTCGGTGCCTCGCGATTGCTGAAGCTCGGCCACCAATTCTGGAGACGGTAGAGGGGCATCGGTATGTCTCCGACGTGCAGTTCGGAGGAAGCCTTTGGATTGGACACTTGAGATACTTTGACGGGATTCGGAATCCCTCTTGTGTTTCTTGAAAGAGCCTTTCCGTATTATTTTGGAGAGTTGTCCGGCTGAAGCACTGCGGTTCAAGTCCGTACGAGGACCATGAACAAACTTGTCTTGGTCTGACGGTGTGAAGGGTGGGCCAGCAATAGGGACCGGGACACTTTTGAACGCATCGTGGGAATTGATTTCGCGAACAATGGCATCCTGAAGGGATTCGTAGGTTGGATGGGAGCTTATAGTATGAGTAGACATATACGCCTGCTTGAAAAAGTCCATCATTTCGGAAAACTTGAATCGAGGGGACTCGGATGATTGACCCGGACTAGTAGGAGTCGGTGCCGGTAAAGGGCTATTCATGACTTCTGCAATGCTAGGAGCTCGCTTCATTTCAAAGTTGGAAGGGGTCGGAGGCTGGATCGCACGGTGTGAGATCTTTTGACGGCCTTTAGCGGCTAGTTGTGTATTTATCGACAGGTCTCGGACATTCTTCTTTGAACTAGACCCCGATGAAGGAGGCGGAGAAAGTGATCTGGGGTTTAGTGACGAATTGCGGGCTGTTGGAGTAGGTGCTTGTAGTGCTGGAGGGGTGTCAGCGCCGCTACTGCTGCTGCGGCCATCACTGATTGGAAAAGGCAGCGTGGGACTGTCAGGCAAAGGCGTATTGCTCCATCTCTTGCCTTGTTTGTAAGCAGGAGGTACACCCAAACGCTGGACTGCATCGGGAATCTCTTCTTCTGCTGCATCAGTCTCCTCCGGGGACAATGTAGGCGCAGATCTTTGCAGACGGATTAAAGTGCTGGCATGTGATGCACGCGATGAACTGGAGTCACGATCAGGAGTAGATCGAGTTCGAAGATCCCCTTCTGACATCCAACTGCCTTTCTTCAAATTCATGGTTCGCGAGTCACGTCTCTTGCCGTCCGAACCCATTGGACTTAAACCGCGCCTTCGTCTACCCGGCGCAGGTGGAGATGAGTGGGTGCTTAATGCAGATGCTGAGCGAGATTGACCTCCATATTTCGCAATGTTCCTGTCCGCCACATCCTCCTGGTAGAGAGCAGATAAAATCCGAGAGCTCGCAAACCCTTTCCGATATTGGATACGCAAGAACCTGGTCATGTTCCGTTCTGCGACATCTTCATTGTAGGGGCTAGTGGGAGGTGAAACAGGACTTGGACTTGTGGCCTGATTTCGATCGGCTGTATAGAGAGCATCCATCAAATCGATATGTCGAGAATTGGAATACCTTGGAACCCCAACTGTCGTTTGGAGTGGAGGCGGTAGCTCGGACTGGGCAGATTGCGGCCGCTCGTCTCCCATATGGTGATGTAGATCCTCAAATTGCTTGTCGATTTGGTCAAAATGGTGCGACACATCTATAGCATGTGCAGTTTTAAAACCAGGCGACGGGAGCCCCGGTGACGGGGAGCGGCAGATAGACGGCCAGGCTCCAGGTGCTCTTGCGCCGCCGCATAGTATCGTTCATCCGCTCTGGCATCACGCAGACCAAGGCCAATTGATGGGCGCGACCGATTTGGTTCTGACTGTTGGAAAAGCTTCTTCAGCGCAACCATATTGACAGGTGTACAGCACATAGGATTATGCGTCTAGCAGTCACCCGTAGTTGGAGCTAAGCCGCGCGCGCGAGGCGACTGGACAAATGACGTTTTAGAAGGGGGAAAAGTCCCGAAGCTAAGAAGAAGTGGAACGACTAGACCGACGGCCGTCGAGGAGCGAGCGATCAACGCATTTCATTGCAAGTTTGTAGCTTGTTTGAAGGCATTCATCCGATGCGAAGGTACCAATTGGTGTTGGTTGACATGATGAGAAAGAAAAAGAAGGGCGAGAAAATTAAAAATCGCACGCGCCACCAGGAAAGAGTAGCGGAGACCTGCCTTGTCAAGTGGTCGGCGTGCAGATCCAACACCCTTTGGAGTGCCTGGATCCAGGGGAACTGGAAATGGCCCGGTATTCTCCATAAATCCATCGACGGGAGGCACAGATGGGGCTAGGCTAATGCGGACTGACGGTTCGAACGCTAAGAAATTAAGAGTGCTCCATTTGCCGCAGGCTTTGACATATGAACGGCCGCATATCACTCGATTGAATTGGGTAAACTCAAACGAACTCGAGGGCAGCGAGCAGCTGGCCTGTTCTACGAGTACGGCGCATAAATTTGACCCCTAGCAACACGAGGGGTTGGAAAAACAAGCTGGCCCCCCCCCTCCCTAAATGGGTCGACTTTATGCAGCTAGCAGAACCTTCTCCGGAGTCAACGTCCTGCCTGCATAATAGGCCGCGGGCCAGAATCCGGCCCCAGTTCCAAGTCAAAAGGGGTCCACATAACAAGAAATCCATGACGGACAACGAGGATTTTGATCCTTCGAGACCCGCCAGGCCGTCTGGTGTGGAATGGCTCATGGCGGGAAGTGGTGCGCCTTGGAGGCGTTGTAATATACCAAATGAGGTCGCTTTGATGAGGATCAAATGCCGAGCACGAGGCCAAGTGGAAGAAGACCGAGGCGGATTAGGGTTGAAAATGGCATGGGATGGGGCTCCCAATTTCCGCACGAGTGTTGATTGGAGTGATGAGAAGTGATCGACTGCAGTACAGTGGGGCAGCTCGTTCGTAGCGGACAAGGCCGCGAACCGAGTGCCAAATTTGGTTCGTTGGGCATATCCGAGGGCGCGGAGCCCAGCAACGCCAGATGGAGTATACCGTAGCCCTGGAGCGCTTAGGGGCGCCTCTAGGGACGTGACAGGAACAAAGAAAAGCGCAGATCCAGCTTCTTTGGGGTGTGTGAGATTGGCAAAAACTTGGACAGTCACGATCTCGACTGCTCTCTCCGCCGTTCCCCGATGGGGCTGGGCTGGGTGGACACGAACACTTCAGGGGGTTGAAATCGAAACACTAGCTTCGGTCATGACCTATGGAACCCAACCAACTCAGTGCGTGCGGTCATGTCGATCCGGAGAGTTCAAGTGTTGAGAGGTCAAATCTTCCCCCTCCACTTTGGTGGTCTTGTTATTTTGCTTTGTGGTGGTGACATACTCGTAGGAACCAGGTACCATCTAGTTTCGTGAGATTGTAAGATTGTAAGTTTGTAAGATTGCGATCGATCGATTCCGATTCCGATTCCGATACAGATACAGATTTCGATTCGATGGATCCGCGATCGTCGTATTTTAGCCCATTCAAGCCTGAGCTTGAGCTTGAAGCGGCGGATGTCAAAAACAAAATGGTGAGACAGTGCGATGAGTTCCTGCTGCTTAATCACGGGGCACACCCTGCGATAGGAAGTTTTAATGGTGCTCACCCAGACTTGCTGCCGCCAGCGAATATGATGCTAAATCCTTTGTGAAACATTCTGTACGAAAGATGATCGTCAGACTTCATTTCCATTCAAGTTGATTTCCAGGTGTCTTGTGCGACTCATATCCAGCTACTCCATGTACAATGTGCAGATGCCCTAACAAGGCACACCACACACCCCACATCATGCAATAAGCCCCTCGCTAAATATAATTTAAACAGGGAACTTGTATGTAGCCCATCCGTACAAGCATTCCAAATAATGTAAATTAATCTAAGTCTATTTCTGTGACAAACTTGTTGCCTGGCAATATTGCCCGATATCAAAGAAGAGATAATTACTACTACGGAGTACTATGTAATAGTTTAGATTGCTAGTGCACTATTCAAAAGCTGTCCGTGTTTTATGAAGGTCGCTATAAAGGAATCCGTAAAGTATTTAAATCTGGGCTGGATGCAATTGTGTCCGCTAGATAACTTGAACCTAATACCAACTACATGGCTGCTAGTACGAATACGAGATAGATCAAGACACACGGATATAATATATTCTGAGGAGCACTGATCCGGTTAAGGGCAATCCATTTTTCAACTACCACCGATGTAAATGATATCCACGCAGAAAGGCTCCTGGATCCCACCAAGGACCCTCGGGGATTCACGCCATAAGTAAGAATAAAAGGGACATGTCATCTCCAAAAAAAAACCCTTAAACAAAACGCCGATATCCCTTCAACGCCCGCAAGGTCAACCTCAGACATCATTGGAAAAATCTTCCTTGGCCTCAAAATCCTCAGCCTTGATGTTCGACTCTGTCTTCATGGCAGTGTCGCTGTCTCCCTGCTCCTCTTTCTTGGGCGTGTCACTAGACTTTCCCGTCTTTTCAAAGTGGTTTCGCAGCTTGTAGAAGCGACCTGCGGCGGTTTTGTAGTTAATACCAAGCTCGGTGCAGATCTCATGGTAGTCCGGAGTCTAGAATAAATTCATCATTAGAAGTGACAAATAAACTCCCCGAGAGGGCCAGCGCATCATGGGACTCACCGGTTTTCCGCCATTGTGAAGGAAGCATAGCCACAAGAAATGTTTGTCTGCATCATCATTGGCTCCTCGAGCGGTAGAGGAGGAGGACTTTGACGGAGTCTTCTTTGCAGGGGTTCGACTTGGGGTGGACTTCGGGGCCCGTTTCTTGGTCACCTTGGATGGGGTCACCATGGTATCCCTGAGAGGGCAAAGTCAACGTTAGTCACGGGACAAATACAATGATAGAAGGGGTCGATGAATTTGTGGATTACATGATGAGTTTGAAAGTTTTCAGTTCAATGTAAAAAGAAAGGAGATGGTTGGTGGATGGGAGAGGTTGGATGAAGTGAAGTGAAATAGAAAGGTGTGTGTTGTTGCTAAAAGAAGTAGGAAGAGAAGGAGGGTGGCTATTTACTCGTGGGGTTTAGGCCGCCAGGTTGCTTATTTCATGAATTGAAATTTTTCTGGGTTTGATTATGTAGCATTACACTGATTGGGATCTCATCGAAAAAGATTTTGTCTCAAGAGTATTGAGTATTAGAGGGGGGAGATAGAGAGACAGGGGAAACAGGGTAGGAAAGGAAAGAAAGGAAAGAAAGGAAAGAAAGGAAGGAAGGAAGGAAGGAAAGGGATAATCAGCTTTATGTTGTGTTATGTTGTGTTGGAGTCCTGTACAGCTTAAGGCAGGTGCTTAACCCAAGAAAGGTACGAGCATATACTGGGTGTTCTTGCCATTGGTTCAACTTCTTTCCTTTTCCTTTTCCTTTCTCTTTCCCTTCCTTCCTTCTCTTCTTCCTCTTACACTTCTCTCTGTTTACACCGAACCTTCTATCTCCCACTCGCATCCATTCACCTCAATCTACTAGTATCAACACACTACACTTTCATTTGACCAAGATGGCGCCGAAAGTTCCCAAGGAGTTGCCCCAGCTCAAAAAGAGCCCTGTCAAGTCACCCAAGCCCCTCAAGCCCCCCAACTCCCCCAAGAAGAAAGACCCCGCTCTGGTGGATCCCCAGGTCCTTTTCCTCTGGACCTGCATTGAATGCAGGACTGCTGGCAAGGAAGGCGGTTGTTTCGGGGTGAGTATTTCCAGGGATCTTGGACGTTTCATCGCGACTGTTTCATTTATACTTATTCGGACATACAGATCGATTTTGCAGCAGTTGCTGGAAAACTGAATATCACCAATTCCGCCGCTAATAAGCGTTTCTCGCGTCTGAGAATATCCATGAAGGCAAGGGAGTCAAAGGACGAGCAGTTGAAGGATGAGGAGTTGAAGGACGATCTCGACGATTCGGAGATGCCTCAATTTGAGGAGAGCCTTGAGGACTAGACTGACCAGGCCAGCTAGGAGAATGCGTGCAATACATCCATGGATACACCTATGGGATATGTTTTTTGTTTCCGGGGAGAATCATTTCCTGTGAGGCCCAGGTTGTGCCTGGTACATCGGGCTATGTGGATGGGGCCACCCATTAGCTAGGATCAATGTGATTTTCCATTCCTGGCCCATTGATATCAATACAGGACATCGGTATTCAAAGTAAGATAATCCAGAAGAAAACTACTAGAAAAACAATCACAAAAAACATCACTACAATGGTGTTGCAAAAGTTTGAAACTCTTGTTGACCGCCCTGATCTCTGCAGGAACAAGTAGCTACCCAAGATGGAAGAGACTGGCCAATATATTCTATCTTAGTAGCTACCAGTGGGTTAATCTTTCCATCGTAGGTAGCTACTAGTCTGCCATGAGAAGACGATTAAGAAAGGTGGGCAGTAGGAGGTTTCAAACTTTGCAATGCCACTGTAATATCTTGCGATACCTAGAGATATCATATTACGTTGCTTATGGACAGTCAAAAGGATGGGTTATGAGCCTGCATTTATTTGCTAGCCAATTGGCTTTTCTCGCCATAGTCATGCCGAAGGGTAGAAAAAAAGCCACTCGAAAGTTTCCATTTGAAAAATCCCACACGATAAATCCAGCTCAGATCCAGCATTTTCCCGGCCATCCACTCCGACATGGATCCGAAATTCTTCCATTCCTCAGACTCCCTCAAATTCCCTCAAATTCATCCTCCCCGCCCTCCATATTGGCTGGTGTATCCTCCTCCTGCTCGTCCTTGGCCAATTTCTCTTCCTTCTTCGGGGCAGCAGATTCATTTTCCTGTTCACTTTCCATGGCAGGCTGGTCCTCCGGACCCTTGTCGCTGGTGACAGTCGAAATCAACTTTTGGACACGAGAGCGCAGCAGGTAGTAGCGGGATTTAGCCTGGGCATACGAGAGGCCAAGCCTCTTGCCAAGTGCAGTGTAATCAATCTGCGGATCCATAAAATAACGGAAGGGTTAGTGAAATTTTGAGGATTGACTTGCACTTTTGAAACATAAATTGCATTTACCGTGGTCTGTCCTTCTTTGATGCCATCACTTTCCTCAAAGCAGATCCACAGTAGAATGAGGTCGTTTTCGACCTTAGACCCCTGAAAAATGGTGTTTGTGGTGCCACGCTTCTTGGACTGCACCTTGGCTGACTTTTCCACCTTGGTGGACTTGGAGGGACGTCCGCGTCCGCGTTTCATGATGATAGATGTTTTCAAAATGAGATCGGTAAAGTAAAGAGAGATATGTGGAAATCGACGAAGGGGTCTGACGGGAAGGGAAGTTGGTGGGGAAGAAGAGCAGTGAAGACGGAAAGGACTCGGAGTAAACAATCATTTGTTGGGGTCAAAAAGGCAGGAAGGCAGCCCCTCCAACTCGGGAAGTTTGGGAGAGAGTAGTAGTATATACACCATTTTATTATACTATTAATCTTGTAGATTAAGTTTAGAACACTGAGCCACAAACTCATCGAACAGCTTGTTTAGCCCAAGCAGATTCAACGGATCTTTGTCTCCTTGGGCATCCATAAAGCAAAGCATGTTATGGATATCAAAAGTGATGGCCAACAGGTATCCATATTCGGATTCCTGGAACACCCGATCCCCAGTATCTGTATCCCCGGTCAATTTGTTCCACTGCCTGGCATATTCGCCACAGAAATGTTTCTTCTCCTCCTCGGTATATTTCCTGCAATTTGCTATCCTGCTTTCCTCGTCAAACCATTTGAACATCTTTTGCATAAAGTGCCCACCGATATCAAATGCCCGGTAGTTCTGCATCACAAACTCAAAGTCAATGAGTGTGACTTTGCTCTCCCCTTCTTTCGCATCATTTTTCACCATCACGTTCATGAATTGAACGTCATGAATACACCATCCTGTCTTTCCTCCTATAGATTGCAATTTGTCCACCACATTTCTCAGTTTCCCCCCAAAGTCGTAATCAACTAGTTTGTCGATACTGACACCTCCTTCTTCCCCAAGTGCCTTCAACTTGTCCATCTTGTGGTAAACCCTGAGCCCATTGACGACGGCTTCATAGTATGATTCCACCGCCTTTTTCTCCAGTGACGTCTCCAGGACATGGAATCGTGCGAGTCCTTTAGCAACATCCGCTCGGATAACCGAATTCTCAACATCCTCCGGTTCCATGTTACGTGCATCCAGGAACTCCTCGACTCTCCCAAGTGTGCCATCCTGTGTCTCGAAGAACCCATAGACTTTGGCTCCCAGCCCGGTTCGGCCATACTCGTAGGAGAAAAGTGCTTCTTCATGTCTGGTTGGCGCTAGAGGTTTAAATACTTCGAGGGAACCTCCGGCGTCGGTGTGGAATTTGATGAAAACCTTCAAGGTGTCAGTAGTTGTGCCAGTCGCAGGTTTTGGCCGCTCCACGGGACAGTGGGCGTTGGCGAAAGATGCATGGTATGACACCGTAAGAGTCTCTGGATCCACAAATGGCCAGTCTTCCGTCAGGAATGCGCCGATAATGTCCCTGGCGTTCTTTTTAGTCGGTACTTTGTCTTTCGGAAGAGTCACAGCAACGGGGGTTAATGTGGCCATCTTGTTTGGATGAAGAGGGGAAGAATCTTCGGCGCCGAGCAAAGAAGAAATGAAATGAATAGGAAAAGTTGTGTCCAAGAAGCGCTTTGTTTTATATTGTAACTGATCGTTTATATGTGCGACTGCTTATTCACAATATAATTGAGCAGAGATGAAGAGGGCCGATTCTTATTTATGGTTAGGCCTTCTCCCATTGGCTGTGAGGAAGGACGAAGGATGTCTCATTCTGACTCATGCCGACCGACTGACGAAGAACGCCCAGGGCGACCAAGCATTAAATTGGCACTGCGGATACCACACTTGCAGAGCTTTCATACAAAACGCCTGGGCGGAACCTTGGAAGCTCCCGAGGTCCGTGATTCAAGTTGCAGTATGATGATGGAGGAATGACCGCCTAGGTAGGCGCTTCCAAAGTTGATATCATTTGCCCTAATCCCTCGCAATTTGAAGGTGATTTGCTGGATACTAGTACTGCAATAAATATACTATATACCGAGTTATGCACTTCAGGGCTTTCTATGAAATAGAACAAGCTACTTATATGAGAACGGCAAATCGGGCCGTTCTGCAATGGCTGACCCAACACTGCAGTTAGATAGAAAGAGATTGTTTTCTGAATTTCATTCCTTCATTAAATAGGGGGTACTTTTAGATTTTAAGACTGGCCGAGTGTCTTCTGTAGTGACTCCCTCACAGCTTCTGCCAGAACGGTATGCGCTCCTCGAGCAGCATCAACAGCACCGTCTATTAAAGCTTCATGACCACTTCGCTGATCGCCATCCGCAGTAGAGACCTTGGAGCTATCACCCTTGAGCCAAAGCTCTGTGATCTCGTCTCGAGCAGGCATGTATGCCACCACACAAGCAGAGACAATGGAGCGGTGCTCGGCTGGGTCTGTGTCCAGCATCAATTTCGGCAGCGCCGAAGAAGAATCAGTCGAGTCGTCGGAAACTAGAGCCGCCACGCCTCCGGATACAAGGTCTCAGACAATCGATATGCGCATCCGCAATGGCTGCCGACGCAGCGCTGATACAACCCGCCAGAACATTCATCATGCCCCATGAGGCATCGTGTGAGTCCGGCACATCGCCCCACCAGCGGTCATCCTCTGCTTCAAGAATGGTAACAGTGATATCGAGGCCACTCTTGGGCCAGCGCTCGGCAATAATGGCGCCGCGCAGAGCTGTTTCAAGGTGGACACCCAGGTCGCGTTCGCTGGAATCGCGGACATGGCCCTTGCGCCTGCGGGCTGCGAAAGGCGCGTACTTGACATGGGTTGTTAAGACGAGATTCGGAGAGAACGGAGCTGATCGAGGCAGCGGTTTCGGACCATGGACTGTGCAGGCAAGCTTCAAAGCCGAGGAAGGCGGGATCAGAGATTTGGGATTGCTGCGGGCGGCAGCAAGAGAAGCGGAGGGTTCAAATTCAAGGTATGAGGAGCCCGAGGCCGAAGGAATCAGTCCAGTCTTGAGGACTAGAGAGGGAATTCCACGAATTAGCTGGGGTATTCTTGGGTACAGGGAAGGCAGCTCGTCGTTGCATACAGATTTTCCTTAGATCGGAAGGTTGTCGCTGGCGCTGGGCGCGGGTGTCGGCACCAGTCCCGGATTGAAGTAAAGAGGCATACACCGGAGGCCTTGTACCCCCTGGTGGGCCATTGACTCGTCTTCTGTCATTCATGGTGTTTGTTTCTGCAGCTTGAAGATCGATAAGCTGTGGCAGGTCTTCCTCAAGTTGCGGCGTTGAAAGCCAGAAACGGAAATCTTGAGGTTTGCACTGTTTGCACCGGACCCCACCGGGCTGCTTTTCTCAATTTTCTTCGCTCTTTCGCTTTCTTCTTCTTCCACACCTCTTCGTGTTGTTTACCCTTGGGTTTGCAAAGCACTTCTTATGTCGAAGATGCTTTGCCAGGAGAATATCTTCATTGAAACTTCCATTTCTTCCAACTAACCTTCATGTGAGTATCATTGCCCCCCCCTGCACTGCCAATTCCACCCTCCGTGTCTCTTATGAGGAATCCGATCCAAATCTCTGTTCGGCGACCAAAAATGGGCCTAAGAACAACATGCACTACCATCTGATGGACACAAACATTATCACATTATGTTTTATCTCAATATTGTCACCTGGAATTGAAGCTGACCATCATTGAAGCCAGGATTTCGTAAACCCTCACTGACCTGCTTTCAAGCACGTCGCCCACAGCTCCAACCACTATGGTAAGCTACCCATTTTTTCTTCTGCTTTTCCTTGCCCTTTTTTATGATGAGAAAAATTTTCAGTTCTGCTTCTGCAAAACCTTTGAAGATAACAAAATACCTTACCAAAAACTCCTGATCATGTCTACCTTACTGCCATTCTCTTGTCACAATCTGTCGACGACAAGTGCTGACAATAAAAAGAATTTTTCCAGTATTCCTGTCATCTTCTCTTGCTATCCGACATTGCCGCCAAAAGGTACGAATATATCTGTTTTTGCTTCACACACACCACCTCCCCCTTTATGATGACAACTAGTCAATCCATTCAATGATCTCTCAAGAGAACCGCCTCCCGGGCTAGCACCCATACCGTGCAGTTGTCACCCAGAAGCAAAGTCACGATCCACACTCTGCGACTCCCAAACTGGACCTCGGATATCCTCACGGACGTCCTTGGGAGGAAAGTTGTGGAGCACCGGAGAGCGTGGGCTCAGTCGTCGCTTGCTAATGCTTCTGGTACTGACTTTTGCTGCGGTATGGTTCTTGCGACGTCTGGCTTGTGTTGGTTTCCGCGGGCTGGGCTGATCGTCCGTCTTGGGCGCCAGTTCGGTTCGCGGGGCCAACAGAGGATGGGATGAGTTAAACGGCTGGCTGATTACTTGCTTGCTTTCTGCTTGCGAGTTATGCCATTTTCGTCTTTCGCTTAACATAACCGTCTTGCAATTGACGCTAACAATATTTGCAGAGATTTCTCAATACCCTATTATCGTAATAAATTTAGATAGCATTCGAATCAATTCATATTTACTAGCTTCAAGCAGGCTCTTTCCACATTTAATTTCTTTCATTAATAGTACCTGTTGCATAAATTCTGATAACAAATAAAGCTATGTATAAAGAAATAATGGCAAGAAAAGATTTTGTTTGAAGCGAAGGTCCATCGAGCACCCCGGTCCTCTCCACCGAAGGTCCTCGACGACCAAGGTAGCAAAAATAAAAGCACGCGACCACCCAGCCCAATTCTAAACAGCCAGGGGAATCACATCGAAATCTAGGAAAAAGTTATTTAAAAATCCTGCCTGCCCCCCTATTTTTCTCGAGACAAATCCTCCGCATCCATACGCAGAGGTAATCTTGTTGTTTTTCTGATTTTCGCTTTTCGTTCTTCGGGAGCCGGACAGCACCGCAACGCAACTTCGAAAGAAAATCGGGACGTTTGCCATCCTTGGGCGCCGGTACCACTCTAGTATCGCCATAACCAGTCTATTGCGATTTGTGTGACTCAGGCATGATAGTACGTATGGTGGTCTTTCATTTGGGGGGTTCACTCTTGCTTTCCCTCAATTGTCTCGACTGGAGTCGTTGTTCCGTTCGATTGGGACATGCTGTAGGGAGCCTGCGATAATAACGTTAGCCCTCATTCTCACGCGGAGAGGGATGGACATGCACACAACTTACGAGCACTTTCTTCGCATTGCATATCCTCCAGGCGAGATTCCGGACGTTACCATCTGCCTTGACGACTTCAGGCGCTAGCTCAACACCGAACCTGCGGGGGAATGATTAGCAATGTATTTGGAAGAAATACCTACGATTGGGAAGGGGGAGACTCACATTTGGTGAACGGCAAATACAACACGTTTGGCAAACTTGCCATCCCTTTCGACAAGACTGCCGAACTGCTCGTCGAAGGTTTCAGGTGCAATCTCAGGATCTTGGTCGAAGCAGTTCCGGACGACGGGAAGCAAGGACTGTTCAACAGTGGCTTGCACGATGCCATCGGTGTCGACGGTGATATCGTCCTCGTCAAATCGGTGCATACGGATCTCGAACGGTCTCGAGATGGCCATCACGTTATGCAAGCCGTTGTGGTGGTAGCGGAGCTCGAAGACACCTTGGGTCCAGAAAAGCTTATCTCCGGAGAATACTACTTCGCCGGAAGCAAGTTCATGCCCTGGACGATCCGATTTGGTCACAAGATCGCTAGTGATGATGCCCTTTTCGCAGGTGAGGTTGTCATAGGAGCCCTCGTTGATTGCAACCCAGCGGCCCTGCGAGGAAACCCGGGAGACTTCGCGGGAGGTGTTGTCCGTAACACGATAGATGCCGATCCAGTCCTTCTTGCTGTGCGTCAGAGGTGCAGTCCACTTGACCTTGATTGGGGAGCCGTATTCGAAAGTCAGGTTCTTCAAGTCACCTCGTCGGTCCAGGGGCATACGGGCATTAGCACCTTCACGACCCTTGCCCAATTCGGTCTCCTCAAAGGACTTGGCCTCAGTGCCCTCCACAGACAACGAATAGTCACTCATGTCGAGACCAGCCACGTCTGCATCGATACGGGAGATGGTGATGCGAGCAGGATACTTCTGGAAGAGGGCTGTCGTGTCCTTGACAAAGGTGCTAACTCCAGCAGCCAACTTTGGTCGGGCATTGTCGAGCAGCTCCTCAATGAATTCGAAAGAATCGTCGAACATCTTGTCCACACTTCCGTGCAGCTGCTTGAGGGGAGGCGGGAGAGACTTTTTAAGATTCTTGACAACACCTCCATCCTGGCGAAGACTGCGACCATACAGCTTTTGCATGTGAGGACGTTCCACGAATTGAATGAAAGCAAGGCTGAGAATGTGGCTCAGCAGCGCTAAGAAGGTGACTGCACCACTGGTAGTGATTAGGACAGCACCCCAGACGCCTGCAAGACCCAAAACACGCTCGGGGTTGTTTAGGAAACGGTAAATTCCATTATAGGTTAGCTTGGGGGACTCGTCAAAGAAGAAGTCACCGTAGAACCAGCCAAATTCGCCAAGGGACTCATAGATGCTGACCGATGTCCAGAGTTGCAAGCTAATTAGACCTGCGCCTAGGACATGTCGGAAGAGCACGAGACCATAGCCCCAGTCTGCTGGAAAGTTGTACATCTTCCAAACAGCAGCGATGAAGCTGGCGTAGCACATAATCATACTGAGGTGATACGAACCCTTCCATTGGCTCCACGCCTCATGCGGGGTCTCGCCGAACTTCAGGAAGTGTCTTGTCCAGGCCTTGTTGTTAGACTGGTTGTTCAAAAGATACCCGATGCCTACAGAGAACCAGACACGCCATACAACGGCATTGACCACGAATAGGAATTGGTAGCGTGGGGTGGACGGAGTCAACGCAGTGACTGCAAATACGAGCATCTGGACCAGCATGGTGGACGAGTCGGTGGTTCTATACAGATCCAGGTTATGCAGCCCCAACATGTTGTGAACCGAAGGGGGTGGCTTGGCCGAGTACGAAGACGCATTGGGAGGAATATCATCGGATGGAGTTGGCGCAGTGGGAGTATCCAGGTCGATAGGTAGGCTCGTAGAGGAATCGGCACAGACGGAGCGCTTGCGGGGAGGAGGCGGATTGTAGGTCTTGTCGATGTGCGGGTTCTCCACGAGAACAAGGAAGGCGAATTGTGCTGCATGGGCAATGATGGAGATGAAGAGCACCTTGTAGCTCGCCGCCATAAGCGAGATACCGTAGTATCCAGCATATCCGACAGAGTACATGGGGTGAGGGGCCATCTCGAAAACACCGTCGAAGGTCAATTCCTGGTCGATGAGGTAGAAGAAATCACCCCAGTACCACGCATAGTCCTTGACTACTCGGTGGGCATCTAGCTTGACCCAAAGGTTGAACAGAACGAGCACGATGCCCGCTGTCCACCGCAGGACTGTCATGAGAATGTTCTCATCCACAGGATGTTTTCCACATGCTATCGCGAAGAGACAGTAGGAAGTGAAGTCACACATAAGAATCACGTCCACAAGACGCCTAAAGACAAGCCAGGTGTTGTATTCAATTGGGGCATTTTCGAACTTGTAATCGTGGGGAATCTTGGTCTCCAGCTCCCGCTTGATCCAATTGTACAGAGTAGGGTGTGGGTTTTCCCCGGTGGCCGGATCAACGAAGATCTTCGTCTTCTCGGCCCATCGGATCAAGGTCTTGTGATGTGACTGGTGGTGCAGTAACCATCCGATTCCTCCATTGTAACCCGCGCGCCAAGAGAGGTAGATGAATGCAAATACCGGGACTTTGGCACTAGCGGGGGAGGGCCCAGAGCAGGAGAACATGGATCGCAAGCAAAACTAAAACCACCACATCTGACAAGTTCTTGGGTTCGGATGGCGAGAGCAGCTGGGAGACCATATCATGCGTTTGAGGCACTGTGAACACTAAAGAGAAGGCGCACGAGCGGGTTAGCGGGGAAGCTCCACCAGAGGGGCAGTGAGGGTAAAAGATAGCAGGAGAGTCAAGTGTGGTTCTCTGTTCAATGGTCGGAACGGCAATCAAGTCCTCAGCTTGTTCCTGGGGAAGGGTGCAATCACGTACCAGTTCCATCGGGAGTCCGCCCAAAGGTCTTCTTGTCTTTGCCGGCCGCATCCTTGATCTCAGCTTCCCCATGGGCGTTTAGAGCATCTCGGCCCCCAGTTGAATTAGGGCGTTGAATTCGCTCGCGCAGCCCTTCAGGCTGCAGGGCACCTGTTGAACGGCCCTGGTCCATGATGTTGTTGAGGAAGTGAAAGAGAAAGAGGAATTGTTGGGTCTGAGTGACGACAGAAGCATGTGACGGACTCCAAATATGATTGACCTGTTTGCATCCACTGCCAACATTCAATCTGTCCACAAGTATCCGTCTCGCTTATTTACGGCAATCTGACCTACCGTGTACCAGATACTGTTCAGTGAACTGGATTTGGCTGTCTTTTTTCTTTTGCAGAGGGGAAAAATTAATAAACTTCAAAAGGTTGAGCCCGTATTTATGTGGTGGATGGTGAATGGTGGATTGTGGACACCCTTTTGAGTGGAACCAACTTCCAGGCCAGTGCTTCCCTTCCCCCCCCTCCTCATCGGCCCCGAATGCACCAGAAAGAGAAAGAAACAAAACAGGCTCTGATCGCCATACGCTAAATTGACCCTCTTCAACATTCTGCAGTCTGCAGAAATATTATCTCGGGAAAACATTGGAAGTCCATTATATTTGAGTTCCGGGTCTTTACGATCACTGGCAGGATCACCAATTCGCTGCTGGGCCTCGTGCGGGATGGGTTACACGTTGGTGACGGCGGGGCCTCGTCGTTGAGAATGTGCAGCAGACAGCGGCAAGTGCGGATACCAATGCGAGGATTCATGCATCAATCCACTCTGCAGTAGGTACACACTACAACACACTACGGAGTAGCCTGCATTGAACTTATACACGCTCCGGCTCGGATGCGAGAACGCGAGATTTCTCGGCAAATAAGAGAGAGAGAGATTTGAATGACACAATGCTCCAGCCAAGGCTGCACCTCAAATCGTTGAAAGCGCTGCACTTGAAGTTGCAGAACTGGGAACTGGGATCAAAAATAAACCCTTGTTTGGTTTGACGTCAATGCGCCGAGATTGATAATGGTTATCCTTGCCATGTGGTAACACTCCATACCTATTCACATGGACTCGCTACTCGTACGTACATTGGCTGCTCTGGAGACCCTCAAATGATATCATGCCTGCCAGATACTGTACCATCTTGAGACCCTCCCCTCTCATTGTCTCACCCGCAGTGCATCGGCTGTCCCACCAGTGACCGGGGCCACTCTGATCACCGTGCAGTGGAGGCGCATCAAATCAAGATTCCGTCGGCTGCTAAAGTTCTGACAGAATGAGAGCCTGGCCCTGGACTTGATCAAACGTGATTGGATACAATGAGGCACACCCCAAATGAACAAGAACAGGGATGTTGCGCTAGTGCTCTCTCACCAGCCCCTTCTGTCAGACTAACGCATGAAAATCGTTACTAAGAAATAGTTGAATGGGATCAAAGGTGTGCCTGCGTGTAGCAACCATTCGACGACGGCTTTATGGCGTCCTGTACGAAGTATATGGGACGCAAAGGCGAGGGGACCCTGCCCCATCGAGGCTGACGGGTAGTCCCTTCGCCCCCAGATTTTGTTTAAGTTATTATTATGATTATTTTTCTTCTTTTGCCTGATCCGTAGTGAATAGCTTCACATTTGATATAACCTCTGTAGGTTTTGAAGGTTTTTTTTTTCTTCCTGGCCCCCCTAGGTACTTTGTATGCTCGATACGCTCCGACACCGCAGAGCCCCCCCGCCAATTGCGGCGGACATTTAGTCATCCCCGCTTATCAATCATTGCTCGCCACCAGTGCTTTTCTCCCTCTACACCTGGGTGAGTTGTACCCTTCTTACTCCCACTTGCCTCCAATAAAACGAAGATGGTGTCATACGTGGAGGAGTCGAACGAGGCGTACCTTGAGGCGCCTTCCAAGCGAGCACCGAACCTGGTGGCTCCAGAACCAGGTACGTATCGCGGGGAATCCTTCAACCCGACACAAGCCCATGAAGCCTAATCTTTTTCCCAGAACACTGCCCTGGACCCGAATCCGAGAAAGCTGGACAAGGTGATGCTTGCGCCGGCTGTCCGAACCAACAAATCTGTGCCACCGCGCCTAAAGGCCCAGATCCCGACATCCCGATCATAACTGAACGACTGTCGCAAATAAAACACAAGATCCTCGTCCTCTCCGGCAAAGGAGGAGTGGGAAAGTCGACATTCACAAGCCTCCTTGCACATGGCTTCGCCACGAACCCAGACTCTACCGTTGGCATTATGGACACCGATATTTGCGGACCTTCAATCCCCAAGATGATGGGCGTCGAGGCGGAGACTATTCATGTGAGCAACGCGGGCTGGAGTCCCGTATGGGTGACGGATAACTTGGGCGCCATGAGTGTACAATTCATGCTGCCTAACCGTGACGACGCAGTGATCTGGCGTGGGCCTAAGAAAAACGGGCTGATCAAACAGTTCCTCAAGGACGTGGACTGGGGCGAACTGGACTTTCTGCTTGTGGACACACCCCCGGGCACGAGTGATGAACATCTCTCGGTCAATTCTCTTCTCAAGGAATCCGGTGTTGACGGTGCTGTTGTCGTGACTACCCCGCAAGAGGTTTCGCTTCTCGACGTGCGCAAGGAGATCGACTTCTGTCGCAAGGCTGGTATCCGCATTCTTGGACTTGTCGAGAACATGTCTGGCTTTGTCTGCCCGAATTGCACGCACGAGTCTCAGATCTTCCGCGCTACCACCGGCGGTGGACGCCGCCTGGCGAAGAAGATGGGAATTCCATTCCTCGGGGCAGTGCCCCTGGACCCTCGCGTCGGCATGGCATGCGATTATGGTGAGAGCTTTGTGGAGAACTTCCCTGATAGTCCTGCTTCCAAGGCGATCAAGCGTGTTGTTCGAGCAGTTGGCGAGGCTGTGGGCGAAAACCCGGAAGATGTTCTCCCTGAGGAAATGGTTGGTTGAGGTAGAGCCCTTGAGTTGCTATCTATAATTCATTGCATGGCCTACGGTTTGGATTTGTGATTCCACATTTGGCGTTTGGACATATAGAGCTTTCTTCGATACCATGAATATACGAGCGTCACGAGCATCCTAAGACGTGGGAAGGATATTTGATACTCTCCCCCTTTTAAGTCTATAAATCGAGGACATGTAAAAATGACATCCGAAATGATCACAAGCTATGGATATTGAAGGAATGTCAGTTTGCTTCTTCAAAAATCCCAGATTCCCTTGGTCTTGATCACGAAACGTCTAAAATTCTCTTTCCAGGGCCTCCTTTTTTGTTTCCTCAATGAATCTTATCGAGCTTTCATGCCCCAAATCTCTGCATAGCCAAAAGTAGTCTCGCCAGAATTCCCGCGCGGCACTATGGTCAGGCAAATATCTTCGTAATAAAGCCTTCCACTCCTCATCCTCGTCGCTATCGCGAACCGAGGTACAAGCATACTCCCCACCATACTGGATAATATCCAGAATGTTCCCAATCAATGATGCCAGTAAGAGAGCCATTATGGACCATGATGTTGACATTAGTTAGATCACCATGCGTAAAGGTATAAGGCGTTGCGGGTGGCATACGACTTCGAAGTCGTATACGCGCAGCTTCAGACATATCTTCGTGCAAGCTTTTTTCCATTTCGCCCCACAACTCGTCATCAGTTGCCAGAGGACCATGAGGAAATCCATACCCCTTTCTATTCGGAAAGAGGAAATTCGAGTAAACAGGACGACCACCAATCCCTTGTATCTTGTCAGAATGGATATCGCGGAGTTGGAGGAGATTCTCAGCGGTCTGCTGTGCTATGTTCTCTTTCTCGGCGATAGAGAGCTTTGGCCAGGCACTGCTGAGAGGTTCACCAGGAATGCGCTTCATCAAGATAAGGGTGTGTCCGTCTTCTTCCCATGAATCGACAAAAGTGGGAACTGTGATCGATGTCTTCTCCTGAACAAACTGTGTGGTTTGTACTTCGCAGGTTGGAAAACTATTAGGGCCTCGATCTTTAAGAACTAGCTTCGATCCCAATGACCAGACGCCTCGGTCGCTTGCTTCGTAGAACAGTTTGATCCGGCTTTCATAGCTACAACATCTCTGGCGTTCACTCGTCCAGCTACACGCCGGGCAAGGGTCTGTGGAGCTCATCTGAAACGAATAGGAAGGGGATTTCTTTCAAAGCATCTTGGAAAAGTAGAATCGATAGAGAAATTCCAAGCTAGACACTTTTGAGGCTCAAAGCTGCCTTCACCGCCACATTGTCTTCAGGTTGTTTACATTTGGCTTTTGTCTGGCCATCCATGTCAATTTGTCTTGGCAACCATATCGGCCATCCTATTACGATTATATACTCGTATTACATGCGGGTGTCATGGAAACAAGTTGGTATCTTAGTGTTGATTTACGCCAGAGCCACCGGTCTCGAGCTAATTTGTTGCATTGTCACTTATATCTACTTCCTTTTTGAATGAATTAAAATTGCCGGAACCCATTTTACCTGGGCACCTCTCGCAATCTCATCACATTGTGGCTGTCAAGTTCGTTGTTTGCAACAAGATGCGCCGGTAACTCGTCAGCGGATGATATCCATTATCCGTAACCTCAAGTATCAGATGGAGTAGCCAGCATCCAGACGGGTTGATACCTTCAGCATTGCAACTCTCCTTCTCGGTAGGGACCTGGACTTGTGCGAGTCTGCCGCCCTGGGCAATACTAACATTCAATGCTGGAACCTTACCAGCAACGTTCCAGTCATTAGTTCCGGGCTCCTTGTACTGAAACCAGCGGAAGGTAAGGTGATCCCCATCTGGATCTGCGGTTCTCGCTGCATTCAATGTGACAGTAGACCCAGCCTCGACAGTCAGATTCAATGGTGTCAGCGCCGCACTCCCGTTGATCGAGATAACCGGGTGGTGGTTTGCCCGACTAATGTTAGCAGGTAGAGACCACTGCATACGCGCCGCGAAGTCATTTTGAAAAGCATCGCGCCACCTCCAGATGGTAGCTTGGCTGGATGTATAGGTCTCGTTATTCTGGCCCAGCACTCGGTCCGCCGCATCACTGTAATGATTAAAGTTTAAAACAGTGGAAGGGTTGACTTTTTGATAGCGACCTCCCCAAGACCCATAGTCTGGATTCTCGGGGAATCCGAGCCCGTTTTGGATGAGGTACAAGAAAGTCGGGGTGTCTCCCTCCATGATGAACTGATACTCTGGGTACGCGGTTTTGCCATACGGACCAACTTGGATATTGTCGCGGAGCCATTTGTGAGTGACTCTGGAGAAGTCTGGCCCACCTTCATCTATACCGTAATAATTTTCGCCTGAAATACCGATCCATGCCGCCAGGCCGTACTGGTTCCAGCCATGGGTTGAGGAAATGTAAAAAATGTCCGGGTATTGTTGGCGCATCCAGGCTCCTGTATCATCTTGATCGGAGACGGCGTATACGCGAAGTTTGGCTCGTAGGGAGGCTGCATCAGACTCGGAGTGTGTTTCGTGAATTTTGTACAGAACTTGAGCAAGAACATTCGTACCTCCCCAGGCCAGGACCCACAAAGGCTGATCAGATTCGACTTGAAGGCGCTCGAGTAGAAGCTTGCCTCCGTCACTGAGAGGAATGTCCTTTCCGACTGCTTTCATTCCGTATGTCTAGACGTGTGAGACGATTAGGTAATTCTTTCATTGTGCCATTTCACGATCTAGGATTTTCAATGCACTCACTGCGGCACCTTTGCGTAACAGACTTCGAATATGATCACCCGATGGATACGGGGAGTCCGGAGGAGCGTGTCGGTTGAGATTATCCGTGACATTTCCATACGCATTCATAACCGATAGCATTGCCTCCGGGTGGACTTCGTCGGTCAACCATGTCGAAGTTACGGCGCAAATTCCCTCTGTCTGGAACTGATTGGCATAGAGCAGGTACCGAGTCAATGATTCTTGATCATCGGGCTCATTTGAGATATCTGAAAGAATAAACACCCGAGGCTTATCGGGGATTGGCAAGAAAGAGCTGGTGTTTACAGCTGCTTTGGCCAGAGCCTGGGCAGCCAGTGTCCAAAGCAAGGTGAGTGCTAGAAGTTTTGTCATGATTTAGCCTCAGAATACCCTCCCCTTCCCCAAACAGGGGCGCTTGAGGTCCATTTTAAACCATTGTGTTTGCCAGTGTCCTCGAAAACTCTTCCGTCATCTCTCTCCCTACTCCGTATACCTAGCGGATAAAAGGCAGTCTCTCTCATGATGCCATGATGTGGGGAAGGACCCCGCGGGGGTTGTCCGAGTGGTCCGACATGCCTGATCGAGCAGGATCCCGCCTGAAAGAGAAGCTGCAAGCACTGGGATGCCGATCTGCTTCGGCAGGTACTAGTATTGCGGAGCTCGGCTTGGTTTCAATCCCGAAGTTTTGCCTGAATTGCCTTCGACATTTTGTACCCCTTTTAACCTAGTCCGCCATTCGGTGAATCTTCGGCATTGCTTAGCGTCCCAGGCCATTCTCTGGTCAGTGAGATAGGGTTCATTCATTTTTGACGAATGCCTCAATACTGGGTAGTGAAGCTTTTATCCTGAGTAAATGTCAATGGGCAAACTTTTCTTTCGGGGCCTGCTCCAGGGAGGTCAACCCTCTCTAGACGACGAATACCTCCATAACTTGCTTCTAAGGAATGGTTCTTGTGAATTTCCACAACCTGTAGTAGATGAAGTTACTTCTTTCGTTCGCGATCTTGGAGGGATGAAGAAGAGCAGTGAGCCTTAGGGGATCTGACAAGTGGACCTGAACTCCCGAGGAGGCGCAACCTAATCTCGAGTTAAATAGAACATGTATCGACTACGTATTTAAACCTCCTATTTGCTGCATTCTCTGGTGCAAGTTACCAGGCGCCTCCATATATTTGGGCAGTGGCTGTCAATTATTGTCAAACATGCTTTGTACGGGGCAACCGAACTTCTTGACAGGCTCAACATTCCTTCTACGCAAATTCCTCCTGAATTTCAGTTCAATCTTTGGTTTCTTAGTCTCTTCACGAATCTGTGGTCTTATTGACTATTTCTATGATGTGATAGCTAAAAATATGTTGGCGAGCAGTCGTTTTGGCCGATACCGGCCTTGCAAATAACCTCGTTGGTATTAGTTGTTACACCTCGCGAGCATCTAAATCCTCAAATGAATAACTGCCTCATGTCCGATATTTTATTCGGTTCTAAACTCTGGAGTTATATTATTTATTCGCCGCTTTACAATACTGGTATCTTCAAAGATGGCAGAAAAGTATGGGGTAGCATAAAGTTCAATAGTTTCAATTTCTTTTCCCCTCAACCCTGTGACTATTTAGAGTGGTGCATAGATATCGAAAATAAATGCAAGCATGCACGTTGCCTTTTCTTAAATCCTGCAAATGATTGGCCCAGGATAGCCATGCAATAGCAAATAGCCGCCACCATGCTGACAGTCATCTTATACGTCACATTGTCACATTTTGCTTTTTTTAATTCATGAAAGTTAAGTTCAGACAAGATCTTGCTGTTTTCAGAGAAAGGCGGGTCTGCTTTATTTTTTTGGGATTTTCGAGCTCTTTAGGCTGAAACGGTGACCTCTTGAGCTCCCTGAAAAAAATCCAATCGAATTACTAATGTCTCTCCTCTTTTGTGCAGACTCATCTGAGAAATTCTCACTAGATGCTTATGCATATTTTGCTTAGAATATTCCATGGGTTTAAGAGGAGTGGATAGCGGTGAAATGATTCTATGTGGGTAAGGATTTTACTTTTTCGCTGTCAAGTAAGGTGCCAGCTATATGCAATGCATGGGTACGGGGAGAGTCAGGATGATGCCACCACTTGACCAATCATCAAACCGTAATAACTCATTATTAGTATTTCAAGAGTCAAATATTGGCCCTCTTCACTAGCCCTTATAGCCCGTGCGCCATATTCCTGCCCACATAGGCAAAATATGCAGGATGTTGTGTCTGGTATGTAAAAGGCTGTACACAGAAACTCTATCAATATGTATGAGCGCATAGGTTACACAGGCTAGCTATCGATCAACATCTTTTCTTTGTAGCAATCCGCAACTGCGTTGAAGTTAGATTAGGGGACTTCGTCAAGATCATATCCCTGAGAAACAGCAATCCACATGGTATATGCCATCCAGTACCTTCCATACCTCGCCATGGAAGAATACTTTCTGTATATTATCATATTTTCTGCTTTCACTGCAGTATATTTCGGATCGGTTCTTGTCTACCGCCTTTTCCTCAGTCCCTTGGCGAAATTTCCAGGTCCCCGCCTGGCAGCTGCCACACGCCTCTACGAGACTTATTTCCAGCTCATTAAAGGTGGTACATTTACATGGCATATCAACGATCTCCATGATAGATACGGCCCTGTGGTTCGAATTACTCCATGGGAAATTCACATCAAAGATCCTGACTACTACAACACCCTCTACGCTGGTCCGGGAAAACACCGCAACAAGGACCCCCTATTCAGTTATATCGGATATCCCCAGTCTATATTCTCACTCAACTCGCATGAAGCTCATCGACCATGGAGAAAGATTTTGGGTCATTTTCTCAAAAAGGGGGCCGTACAAGACCTTGAGCCAGTTATTCAGGCAAATACCCAGGCCCTGTGCAAGCACTTCTCAGCAGCGGTAAAGAACAAAGGTATACTGGAGTTATATGCTGCTTTCCACTGCTTTACGAGCGATACTCTTTCCCAGCATGCTTTTGGAAGGGACATCGGGTTTCATCATCTAGATGAGCCGGAGTTATCGAATACTTGGAAGACACAAGTGAACACGATGTTTGAATTCTGCCGCCCGATTCGACACTTCAACTTCATGGGTGACATAGCGCATCTGATTCCTCGTCCGCTTGCGTTGGTGCTTCCTCCATATGCCCACGTCTATGCAATGGAGCAGGTAAGGCAGAAATTTCCTCACTTGAGCTCTGGAATTCCCATACTGATCATGATACTGTTGCTAGGGCGTCAGATCTCGAATCCAAACTCTGGTAGACCGCTACGATAAGTGGGAACATGAAATGCAGTCAGACAACCTCTCAGTGGAAAAGAGCCCTTTTCTGAGTAGCCCCAAGGCTATATATCCTGCGATTATGAGTGATCCCGATGTGCCCTTAATTGAAAAGTCCCAATCTCGGCTGGAAGATGACGCCATATTCCTCATGTTTGCCGGAACAGATGCTCCGTCCCAAACCTCCGCTATAACTCTCTTTCATTTGATTAACAACCCAGAAAAGTATCAAAAACTAAAGGACGAGCTCTTGGCAGCGATTCCAGATGTAAAAGCTGTCCCATCTCTCCACCAACTCGAGCAGATTTCTTATCTAGTAAGCATAATGCTATGCCCAGAATATGGAGTCCGCGCTAACTTTCTTGCATACCGCTGTAATTAGAGAAGGTATCCGTCTGGCTTCAGTCGTGACAACTCGGCTTCCTCGCTCGGCCCCAGATGAGGTTCTACAGTACAAGGAGTGGGATATCCCAGCTGGGGTAAGTGGCGCAATGATACTCGTCAATTTGGTATTATCCTAATAATTCCAGACTTTTGTTTCTATGTCGACATATTTCATTTTGAGGGACCCAAAGATATTTCCCGAGCCGACGAAATTTCTCCCAGAGCGGTGGTTGCTTGAGCCAGAGGAATTACAGCAGCTTGAGCGTTATCTAGTTCCAGGCTCGAAGGGAACTCTAGGGTGTCCGGGACAAAGGTATAGTCTTCCATGGATCAGTTGTATAAATCCTGGAGTGTTCACGTTGCTAACAAATGAAAGCATGAACTGGTCGTGGATGCATCATACTATCGGCAATCTTGTTCGTCGATTTGACATGGTCCTGCATGAAACTACGGAGCGAAATGTGCAGATGGTTCGCGACAATTTCATTGGACAGACAGAGCCAGGCACTCATAACGTCCAGGTGAAGGTGATCGAAGAGTATTTTGTATAGTGATTGGTCCGAGTGGTCGAATTCGGGATTTCGGCCGCGTTTATGGTCGCGAACCAAGTATAGCGGTGATATTTCGGGAATGAATATCGTTTTAATTCGGACTGTGTGCTACAAAGCCAACCTAGGAAAGGATTTATGCGTAAAATAGAGCAAGCATATCCCGTGGGCAGACTTCATACCTCGAGGGGTTTAGTCATAGTCTAAAAATTCTTCTTGGGAGGAGAGCCATCTGGACCCTGAGACCATTTGACCCCTGATCCGAAACAAAAAAAAACACCAACAACCACCCCCTGATGTTCTATTTTCTTCTGGCATTGAACAATAAACCTCGGATGCTCCCGATCGGAACCAAAAAATCCAGTTCTAAACTCTGTTGGGTAGTTCCTCAGGTGAATGCATCGGAGCACAACAGATACAATAGGCAACCTCCACCCGAACGCCAGGCTTTTCTCTTACCTTTTTTTTTACAATTCCGAGCCTTCACACGGTCAGTGCCTTGAAAACGATTTTGTGGCGAACCGCCAAGAGGCCATAAGTAGAGTATCGTCTGTAACCTCTCACAGCGTGGCCTGCCCCGCTGTTTCAAGGGGAACAGAGAACAGACCAAGTTGATTGGCCACACACCCCCTGCTACGTTTCAGGATCAGTTAGCTGCACAGCCAGTGCCTTTACAGATGAGATGGGGTACACTACGTACCTGTCACAACTCGCGCCCAAGAGGAACTCCACTGGCCCAGCACGCCACGCCGTAGCAGACAAATGAGCCGCCGAGAAGCTGGGCTCTGCCTGATCCGGACGTTTGTCCTTACGCGGATCTCTGTGACAGCTCGCTCGGTAGCTCGGCCATGGCGCCCTAGCCAAGGGCTTAGCCTACTGCTGTCGCTGGTGAGTGGTGCATTTGGGTGGGCGTGTCTTGCGTGTCTTGCGTAGTCGGGAAGATCAGAAACGTACTACCCTTGTCGACCCCGATCCACTCTACGTCAACTCTCTTGCTGTTCTGCACTTCCCATCGCTGAATGGACCTGGTGTTGGACCTGGCTCTGACGAAAAGCCTAGCACTATGTACCAGATGGTCTAAGCGTTGTCCCTTTTGGTGTACGGAGTAGTTCTTTTCTTTTGTTTTCCTTTTTTTTGTACCCTTTTTATAGATCTACGGCAGTCTCCCCCCCGGGGTTGAGGATAGGCGGTCGTTTTCTCCTTTTTCGTTTCTTGATACAATAGTGCCGGGGTCACTCTTTCTTCGATCTTCCTTTGATCAATCCTTCACTTCTCTTCTCTTCGTCTCTTTCGTTTCTACTTCCCGCTAGCCTCCGGGCCTGTCGACTCCAGGCTGTGCCTAATTTGCCTCTCCTTTTGGCGCTTTGTTGATTCGTCCCATTCACTCCGTCGAGAGTCCACTACTCACTCCCATTCATTAAAAGGCCCTAGAGGTTTTTTTCGGGCCTGTATTATTCCTTCTTTTTTAAACTACCTCCTCACTCGTTCGCTTTTCGAGATCCCTGGCTGGCCCGGGTCATCCAGTTTCTTCAAGGAACTTCTTCTGAGTGCGTGCGATATCAGACAGGATGTATCTGATTATCTCGCTGGTACTTTTTCTCTCGTTGAGCTATGACGCTCTAGCAGCGCCGGCCGCTGCCCTCCATCCTCAACACAGAAGCAAGTCTTTTCGTGTTGAGCGTGTTCGACGAAGTGACTATATCGCGCATGGACCGGCGGCTCTTCGTAAGGCTTACCGCAAGTTCGGTATCGTCTCAACTGACTTCAGTGATCTTGACCTGGATGACTTCGAGCCCTTTGACGATCTGACACGCACAAGCAAGAGCGCCTCCTATACCGACAGCTCGGATGAAACCGACCAGACTGGTACTGTGACCGCAACCTCGGTTCAAGGCGATGTGGAATTTGTATCGCCAGTCCAGATTGGTGGACAGACGATCGTGATGGACTTTGATACCGGATCATCTGATATGTAAGCATCCACCGTCCAATTATTAGGAATCTATGGTTCTTACAATTGCGAAACAACATACTGATCACCATGTATGATGTAGGTGGGTCCTGAACTCTGAGCTTCCAGAGTCCATGGTCTCAAACCGAACAGTCTATAACCCCAGCAAGTCAAGCACTTACAAAAAGGTGGACGGTACTTTCAAGATCTCATATGGTGATTCCTCCAATGCCCAGGGTGGTCTGGCGAAGGACGTGGTCTCTATCGGCGGTGCAACAGTCAAGAACCAAATATTCGGTCTGCCCACCTCGGTTTCCGATTCATTCATTTCCGACGAAAATTCAAACGGTCTTGTTGGCCTCGGCTTCACTTCGATCAACACCTTTGACCCTGGCCCACAGAAGACCTTCTTCGACAACATCGTTCCAGACCTCGACGAGCCCGTCTTGACGGCTCGTCTAAAGAGCGAAGGTGTCGGCGAATATGAATTCGGCAAGATCGATCATGACAAATACACCGGCTCCCTGGTGAATGTGACCGTCGACAGCTCCAATGGCTTCTGGCAATTTGAGGCCGCACAGTTTGCTGTGGGTGATGGATCTCTACAGCAAATCACCGACACCCCGACTGCCATTGCGGACACCGGCACTTCTCTCATGCTTGTTAGCCCTCAGGTTGCCAAGGCGTACTACGCTGGTTGGGCTCAGTATTCGAACAGCGTGAGCGGATACATCTTTTCCTGCGATGCAGACATACCCAATCTATCTGTTGCGATTGGCAATAAGTTCCAAGCAACTATTCCCGGGTCGTTGATCAATTTCGCGGAGATTGGAACAAACAAGACCACTGGTGGCACAGGTATGTTCTCATCACTTTCTGATTTGAGACTGGGGCTAATAATCATTTCTAGTGTGCTATGGTGGCGTGCAATCCAACTCAGGCTCCAGTCTTCAGATCTTCGGCGATGTCTTCCTCAAGGCGCTGTTCGTTGTCTTTGACCACCGTGGTCCATCTCTTGGATTTGCCTCCCCGAAGTAATAGAAAAAAGGACGTGGGCGTGGTGGAGATATTTCAGCCTCATAATAATGGCCCGGTAGCGAGTCGCCACAGGCTGTGGGATATTGTAGATCTTTCCATAGAAGTAGCATCTTCAATGAGCATTTCCTTGCATAATCATGCCTTCAAGTTCCTTTCTTCCCTCTCCAACCCGAGGAGACAGTCTTTGCCGGAGCATTCATTAATGGGTGTTTACGCGGACGTCGATGCTTGAACAAAATAATTGAATTGAAAAGGGCTATTTTTATTTCGTCTTCTCGTGGGTATGCACTAATGGTATTTCGATAAATCCGCAACTTTTACCGCACGGTAGCGTCCTTCAGGGACTTGACGGTACAGATGACACCAGAGGCAGTTGCCAGCTTTCCAATGGCAGGCTTGTCCTGGCCGGCGACAGCGGGGACAGCGCTGCTGTCGAAGCAGACTTCAAGGTCACCGTTAGTGGTGAATCCGGGCTGGAAGGTCTCCCAGACCTTCTTCTTGGGGTTGAGCTGCTTCTCGGGCTCACCCTCGGACCAGCCCTGGAAGGTGATACGCTCACCGGCGGGGGCGTCAGCAGGGGGGCTAACAAGCTCAACGGGACCGGCGTGGGCATCACCGCCCTCGGGGACACGGGGAGAGGCAGCCAGAACCATGGCTGCGGACTTGATGCCACGCATGGTCACGGGCTTCAGGTTGCAGACAGCAACAATCTTGCGGCCCTGCATCTCCTCCAGGGGGACCAGGCCGTTAAGACCGGAGCAGACAGTACGGACAGTCTTGCCGGTCTCCTCATCCAGAGAGGTGTTGTCGGAGCCGGGGGGCGTCACCGCAGTCGATGGTGGAGACGAAGAGGGAGTCGGCATTGGGGTGGTTGATAGCGCGCAGGATGTGGCCGACACGCAGGTCGATAATTGAGGGCGAGGGGGGGGGCAGCAGGAGCAGCAGCAGGCTTGGGAGCCTTGGGAGCCTTCTCCTTCTTTTCCTTCTTGTTGGTCTTGGGGGGGACCGGCGGAGGCAGCCTCAGCGGCCTTGCTCTGATCCTTGCCGGGCTTGCCCTGGCCAACAACAAGAGGCTTCTCAGCAGCAGCCTCGGGGTTCTGGGCATTGGCCTTCTCGCGCTTCTTGCGCTCCTTCTCCTCCTTGGGGTCGATGGGCTGGGGAACGAAACGAACGTCGTTCACGTCAATGACAACCTTCTCCTCCTCGGGGATCTGCAGAGAGAAAACCTTGGAGTTCTGGATGAAGTCGATGTGACGAACGATGTGGTGGTATCCCTTCTCACCAGTGCGCTCCTCAGGCGACCACTTCTCGACCAGCGGGGCAACCAGAGCGTAGATGGCAACATCGGCGACCGAGGGCTTCGCGCCGAGCAGGGTAGTGCGGGTGGCAAGGTGGGTATTCAGCTGAGCCAGAATGCTCTCCAGTACAGGCTTCTCATCCTTGGCGAGAGCAGTCTTCAAGCCGGAGACAGTGTTGAGCCATTGCTTGACATCGGCCTCCTCGGCCTCGCCGTAAGAGGTCTGGGAGAAGATCTTGGGAGTGGCGTGGAGGTAATCGGGCTCGGTGGCATCGGGGGAGATAACGTTAGGGTACGAGCGGTAGAGGAGAGAGAGGAGCGAAGAGTCGGGGGCAGCGGCGGTCGCCATGATGAATGCGCGTGGAGGGGATGGAAGAAAAGAAAATCGAAGAGGGGCACGGAACTGTGTCAACGATTGGACCCGCGGGGTTGTGGTTCGGGCCCGCAATAGGCCAACACACCTGAAGACCGACACCTTGACGGGCGATCCCACGGGGGATCTGCTGGGCAATTAGGGGTTTTTTGAGTCCGATTAAAGCCAGATTGTTCTCGGTATCCGCCGCTTGTCCTGTTGAGATTTGCTCGCGGAGCTTCACGTGATGACTCAGCGTCAATTTTCCTAGCTACGCGGAGTATATAGTACTTTCGAGTATTCTATATCTAGAATATTTTGAGATTTGAATCTTGAAAACTTGAATTCCCAATGGTACTAGCTAAACAAACAGCTTCTGTTTAATTGAAATGTATCTGGCCAGAGTAATATTGGTTCTGATTGCAATTCGTACTATCAGTACTACCAGTACAAACCTACTAGTGGATTTGAGCGCTGAGACGATAACCTTGGAAAATCACAAAATTTATACGAGATTGGTTGAAAGCATGAACCAGAAGTAAACTCTATTTCGTTACCCAGAGGGTTTGGAAGAAGAAAAGAAGAAGGAGAAAGAAAATTCAAGTTGCTTCATACCACCTACTCCATAGTGACATATAGTGTCCCATACTAGTAAACGGAGAAGGTAGGAAAAATCTCGATGATACCATTACCACTATTACACTGAGTACAGAAGATTTTCTGCTCCTGGTATTTGTATGGAGCGTAAGGTATGCATTCATCAGCTTGATTGTCAATTGTGCTGTCCCAGCATATACAAGTAACGTGATTTAGATGCGAGCCGCGCAGCCAAGCGAGCCGGAAAATCATAGTAAAGCTGTATTTTTAAACTTGAAAATCTCAACAACAACAAGTTGATTTTATTTCAATTTTTATATGGTAACTATTTCTTAATTAACGTAACTATGTACTGTATTATAGGCTAGTTTAAGTAATTGTTTACCTATGATACTGAAAATTACTGATTATTTCTGTCAAATAATCCATAAATATATATTTCAGCGACAATATCCAGAAAAAGGACTTGAGGATAATCATGAATACAAGAAACACCAAGAATAATCCTATTTACAAGGGCTTTCAATCAGAAGTAATGGTTGTTGAGGTATTCAGTTGTAATTTATTGTCTTAACTACGTGTATTGGTCTGCGCGGCTCGCATCTAAATCACGTTATAGCATGGTAGGACACATACGAGTATCCGCCGCGACGATGCCAACCTGAACACTCACGCTAATAATTTAACATTTCTGCACAAAATACAGGGCTCAAAACTGCCCCTTGGCGCATAAACCTCAATCGTGATCTGCATTTTTCTCCTGGAATTGTATAATAATACCATGGTCTCAGATCCAGCTACAACACTACGACGCTATGCACACTATGAATACCTCAACTGTATCTCAGGAAGGGCTGTGATTGGTCAACCAAGTCTAGAAGGCACGCACTAAAATGAGTCACGATGAGTCTTGAGGGCATCAGCCAATCAGCGAGTGGAATGGCTGCAATGACTGGGGCAGTGCCCGGCCAGACTAGGCGGCCTGAAGCGGTGTCGATCCACGCCCCCGACTTATATCTCACCCGCAATCGCCGCCCTCCGTTTCTTCCTCAGGACACCTTCCTCGGCCATTCGTGACCGAGACCAGCTTCCCAAGGGGTTATTTCCCTCTCATCCCCCTTTAAAGAATCCAGCGCCCCGGGCCCGCTTAGGCCCGTTGATACGATCTCGTCATGGCGGCCTGCACTTGCACCAGCACTGCAGCCGTTTTCCAGGCAATGGCCATCTTCTGGCAGCCCTCTCAATCGCAGTCCCTCCTCAAGCCTCCAGGAGTCGGACTCTCTGCCGAGGCCTAATTCTTCCCTTTATCTCCAACAACCTCACTTCTATTCGCTCTCTTCGGCGCCGCCGTCTATCCCCACGACCGCGCCATTCTCTCAACCCTTCAATGCTACCTTTGCGCAAGAGTCGGATCTTTGGACACAATCGCACCTGTCCTTTGCCAATACCGACTGGAACATCGTTTCCGCCGATCATTCCGTGCCTTATCCTGACATTGACGTAGCTGTCAATAACTTGGGATATGGCATGACCCCAACCTTTACTTCGATTTCGGATTCAGCCTCCAATGACCCTCAAAGTTTCGCCCCTTCTCCTCTCGTTCCCAGCCCACCGAATTCTCTAGGTAAGACTGTACCGCACTTATCGTGAAACGGATTGTATTCCTAACACTCCACACAGATGGGCAATCTCACCATTCCCCTGTATCTCAGATTCCAGGATCTGCATCGACATCGAGCCCTCCAACCTCACAAGGTGATGAAGTCTTAGGTCGTGTTAGTTCATCTCGCGTCGAAAAGCGCAGACTCAATACTCTCGCGGCTCGCCGATGTCGTCAGAGGCGTGCCGACCGAATGCAAACCCTAGAAGACGAGTTGGAAAGTGTGAAAAGGGAGCGCGATGAGTTGAGACTGCGGGTCTCAAAGATGGAGGGTGAAACGGAGGCTCTGAAGGGGCTGTTAACCCGTAAAAGCAAGTAAAATTCTTTTCTTTTTTTTGAGCTGGTCTCTTCAAGTTCTTCAATCAAATCTATTATAAACCAGTCAATTGTTTCTCCCCTTGTAATGCCATGCTCCTTCTTACCACTACCATCTCTCGCCATATTCAGGGAAATATGTTCTATTAACTTCAGTACTTGTATTTTTACTGGATAAATTAAATGTGATAAATAGTCTCAACACTGTTCTTCTGCCATGCAATTATCATCCTCAAAAGGCCATTCCAATTCCCAATCCCACAAGAGCCAACCAGCTTCCAGCAGCATTGCCAGCCGCCGCCCCCTCCGATGTCTTCGCGCTATTTTCTGCCTTCAAGGACTTTGTTGGCTCGCTAGAAGATGCCGACTTCTTGTTATCGAATTCGTCATCGTTAACATCGCTGATCTGTGCCGGGGTCGCCGCTGCAGGTCCGGGGTGACCCAAGTAGCGGGAACGTCTGTGAGTCCGGAGTCGTATGCGTTGGCAGTGGCGCATATCTCCGCGCTGGATAATTGAGCCGAGAAGCTTTCCTTGTTGTTGAGGCAATCAACATAGCAGCTATTCAGAATATTAATATTAATTGATTGTGTCAAAAATGACGAAACGCACTCAGTTGAGGGCGTTCAGGGTGATAAGGGACTCACTTGGCGATGTTCGCTTGAGCACTACATTTGCAATCCCAGTTGTCATCTTGACATTTCGCCATCGCATTTCTCATCGTCAGGACACATTGATCCACAAGTCTTCTTCCATTAGCAAACTATCCACGCTTAATTGACGAGCAATTTTGAAGCTTACTGTTGAGATGAGCATGCACCCTCGTCTGGGGTTGCCACGGGTGTCGGCGTCGGGTCTTGGGCTGCTACGAGAGCAGCCGAGACAATAAAAAGGTATAGGTTAGCGAATAATTGCATGTTTAAAATGTGTTTTAAGTATGCACCGAGGCGAATTAGGAGATCGAGTATCGAAAAATAAAGTTCAGACAGTCGGAACCGATGGGGATATAAGGGATATGGACAAGGTACTAGTCCAGCTTGAGTGTTACATTCATTCGAAGATAAGATGGATCCTAAATGGTTTTCTTCCGGGCGAATTGAGCCCAATGCCGGAAACTCCTTGGTGAGAGAGCATGGAAGAGGTCCCAGGAGGAAGCGTACTCTGGGCCCAGACCAAGGAATAGCGAACTTGGTACCATAGATAGATATCTATGACCCATGGACAGTGTCTATTCAACTAGATACTAGTAATCCAAAGCGGCTCAGTGGTATACAGTTTATAGAATTGATTTGTCAATCGTATACCTGAGCCCATCATCCAATCTCTGTTTCCTTTCTGTCAACGATATCTCCCGCAAATACGTCGTCTAGCACATGCTGTATATTCTCTTTCTTTGCTCTTTAATAAAAGCGGTGTAGATATTGATCGCCACTTTCAATTTCCAGACCACGCCTTCCACGAGGTCGCATTCCAAGCTGACTTTGTGGTTACATTCCTTGATCGGCACTACTGCTTCCGTCGATCAATGACGAGTTTAAGAGAAGGATCCCGGAACATGAACGTCTTTTTTTTTGGTTATCATTGTCTTTGTAATTTTATCTTTTAGATAAAGAGAAGATAAGTTGGTTCGGGTACCTGAAGGCCCATTGAGTTGATCTAAATGAGGCGTGGGTTAGTTGGTTCTACGGTAATGGTTTTGTCGACGGTTAGCCACCTAGTAGAGTCCCGGCCCCTACCATCGAATGAACTATATCTTGTAGCGCATCAATCTTATGATCTTATATTTCCTCATTTCATTATGATTTTTGCTCAAGTGCGCCCCGGGTAAACTCCAGAGTATCTGCTCATTCACACCACGTGATTTCGCACCAGTGCCGGAAATGGACTGAAGATAAGAGGCGACACCCGAACATAGAGCATGCCTCAAGCGTCGATATTTTTTTAGAATAATTCTAATACTGCATTAAATAATTAAGAGCAAGTGCGGAATAGAGGACAATGGATTATCCGTACTCCCGTGGAACAATTCACTGCGTAGATCTCACGTGGCACAGGAGTCTGACGAAGTAATCTGTCAATAATTAGTCAGAAAACACACAGTTTTGTTCCGCAGTGGCTGTCCATTCCGATCATCCTTAAGTCAGACAAACTACGGGTATTCGTTAACTTCCGCGGTCGTACATTGGTACCCCGTGGGGTCGCGGGGAAGAGGGGTCATTTAGCCCAGCCTCGGATAAGAGACAGCCGTGAGGAGATTTAAATACCAACTAGGCTCGCATGCAGGTAGGTTTTAAATAAAATCTCCGAGACATATTCGTGGATGAGAAGCGGGGCGACTATTGAAATTTATTTGACGACTTATAATATTCTCCTTCTGTAGCATTAGCTGAAGGTATACCCCAGTCAATCATACCACCATAGGTAGGTGTCGGTCGTTATGCGAGCTCTTCGTTTCCATGGTAGGGAGGATGTCCGCTTGGATGAAGTCAGTGAGCCTAGCTGTAGGAAGGGTCAGGTTAAGGTAATGCAGACATCATCCATCAGGAAACTCGGGTCGTGATATAATCTATCAACCCGATCGATTGCTGCTAACACTCTGCAAAGATCAGACCTGCTTTTGTAGGAATATGTGGTAGCGGTAAATTATCAAACAATCCTTCCTCTACTTCAGATTCTCATCGACATAGATCTCCATGAATATCTCACCGGACCCTCGGCAGTTCCTGTCACGCCACATCCGATTACAGGCGCCAAGCTCCCGACAACATTGGGGCATGAATTCAGTGGAACGATAGAAGAGATCGGAGAAGGCGTGGTCAGCCTGAAAGTTGGAGACAGGGTAGCTATTAAGCCAAATCTTTCTGATGGCTCATGTTCGCGGTGCGCTATGGGGAGGCAGAACATCTGCAGCAGTCTGGGCTTTATTGGATATAGCAGTATGTCGAGATACTCCCCGATACGTTATAGATCTGACCAAGTATAGGTGAGGCTGGTGGTATGTCCGATCATGCTGTCATTGACGAAAAGCACGCGATCAAGCTACCGGATACGATGTCTCTAGATATTGGAGGTATGTATGTCAGATTGGGGTCGTATGATGGAACCTGGTCTTCGCTGACGCCAGCAGCATTGGTGGAGCCTCTCGCCGTCGCATGGCATGCAGTGGGTCGCAGCCCCCTCAAAGCCGGAGACACAGCTCTTATTGTTGGAGCTGGGCCCATCGGGCTAGCGATCGTGCAGGTATTGAAAGCTCGAGGAGCTGAGACCATCATCGTGGTCGAGATCTCAGAGCAGCGTCGACAATTTGCCCAAAACTTTGGTGCATCTCATGTCCTCGATCCTCGGAAGGTAGATGCCGTTGCACGGATCCGGGAGATTACTGGTCAACGACAGGGTGTTTCAGTTTCCTTTGAAACATCTGGGGTGCAAGCTGGACTGGATACAGTCATGGCGGGTCTTCGGGCCCGTGGAACGGCGGTTATCGTGTCACTGTGGGATGAAAAGCCGATCATCAATGCATTTATTGATATAGTACTCGGGGAGAAACATGTCACAGGTGCGGCGGTATATGACGAGGGAGATTTTGAAGCCGTGATTGAAGCAATAAGATCTGGTAAGTCAGATCCTTTCCCATCTGTGGGGTACCCCCATAGAAAGCCTTGCTCCGAAACGGGAGAGTCATTTGCCTGTCTCTGATTTATTTGCCCCTTCTTGAATTTTAGGCAAAATTCAGCCGCGACCGATGATTACTAGCAAGATTGGGATGGCTGAAGTGGCAGAGAAGGGGTTCAGGGCACTAATTAATCACCGCGACCAGCATGTCAAGATCTTAGTGGATATTTCTATTGGGCACCTAGAACTCCAAGAGTGATCGTGTTGTTATACCAGATTGATTGGTTGTCGGGGTTCTTTCGGCTTCTGTTAGCGTGGGGACCTCGAGTCTGGTTTACCACGCTAGACTTGGATTACCTACCTTGCTTGGTAGGTAAATTTCAGATATATGGTACCTACTAGGTACCTTAGGGAGCCGAGCCGAGCCCTGGCGCTGACACTGACGGGAGGGGCGCGGGTTGACAGCAGGATAATAATGGTTATTCATTACTTTTGCTTCTCTTTCTTTGTTTGAGAACTTCCTGGTACCCCAGGGCTCCATTATAGCATCTTCCACCATTGGAACCATGGATCGCCTCATTGTACCTTATTGTACTCGGGATCTCGATCCACTACTTTGCGTTCTAGTCGTTTCATTATTCGTATTGGCTTTCTCAGTCAACTCTTTCAGTCCAGTAATTGCCCCCAAAATATGACTAAGATATGCGAAGCGGATGAAAGGGAAACCCCGGTCGGGGTGGGGGTTCTGTACTGGGCACTGCTGACAGCAGTTCGATCTCGGCTGCTGAGCTGTCAAGCCACGATGGGATCGTCCAGGGTGGTCGCTTGCGAACGATCGACAAGTCCACGACGCTCCACGATGGCCCACACGGATCAATCATGAACTGCGAACCCAATCGCGGCTGATCACCTGCTGGCCGATGACAGTCTGTCAACATACGAACCCACACGAAACCGAAGATATTGTCTCAAGGGCCTGAAACATGTCATCATTCACGGTTGCTACCTCGTCGGGTTGACAGGGTTATTTTTGTCTCTGTTGGGGCGCAGATGGGGTCGCTAAAATGTTTTTTTTTCTCTTCCTTGCGGCCGGCCACTCCGCTAGCTACGCGGCACTAAGGCATGTCCGTCTGTGGACGCATCTGATTGATCCACTGCCTCTTCTTCCAGAAGACACGGACTCAGCCGTACATATGAGCCTGAGACACGCCGGTTCTGACACCGCCGATGGACCATTAAGGCCATTGGTCCGGGACACGCAGTAGATCTACAGTTCAGTTCCCTCAATGGCGTATATAGCCCTGTCCGGGTCGTAGCGCATTGGCGAGCCTTTTTTAGTTTGCATTTTTGTTTCTGTTTTCAATGCCCTTTGATCTTGGCTCAAAACCCCCCCTCAATCGCATCATCCCAGCGTTTCATAAGAGCAGGCTCTCCTATGCAATCCGTGGCGGTCCTGTTTCGCTGGACACGAGTACCCTTCAGACAGACCGAAATATCGACAGTGTCATGGGAAGAGCACTGACGGGGACCGTTATTATCACGGGTGGCAATGGGCAGTTAGGATCAGAGATCGCTGTGGCCATTGCCAAAACACAACCTTTTGTTCACCTCCTATTGACAGCACGACATGCCAAAGCCGATGATGTCCATGCTCTCACCACACGAATCCGCCTCATCGGGCCACGATCCATCGAGGTGCTTCCTCTTGACCTAACCGATCTCCGGGAAGTCACCAGATTTGCCGAGCAAACGGTCGATCGGGTACGCAGGAGGGAGCTTCCTCCTATCGTCGATCTAATCCACTCCGCCGCCGTTGCATCCTACGTTGTTGATGAGCTTACCTTGGACGGGTTTGATCCGGTGTACCAGATCAACTGCGTCGCCCCATTTCTTCTGACCGTCGGTCTCCTTGAAGCCTTCCGGGCCGGCGATGGAACGCTGGACGGTGGAGCCAAAGTGATGTATGTCGGATGCTCCTCGGCGTCTTATGGCAGACTCGACTACTTCGACCACAACCAAGGCCGAGACAGTCGTCCTCCGGGGACCCCTCTTAGCGCCAAGGAAGGAAATATTCGATTCGGCAGCAGCAAGTTGATCGCAAGTGTTGCCTTGTATGCGTTACGTCGAAGCCTGGCCTGTGTAAGTCTGACCGATCGCAACGGCGCAGGATCGTACAAGACCGCTGACGTTGTACTTTGAATCTCTCTAGACAGGAAATATCCCACTGGACATCTTCACCCTCGACCCGGGGGGTATTGCAGGGGAGAGTCATCTTCGAACGGGGGCGCCCCTGTCGGTCAGAGTTGCACATCAAACACGAACCGGACTCCGGCCCTTCTTGCGCATGGTATCCCGTAGTTCGATCAACAAGGCCAGTGTTCCAGCCAAGGTGATCGCCAGGGTCGCATTCCAACGGGAGGCGGTGGAGAATAGTGAGAGGGAACGGTACTATATCCTGGACAGCGAGTACGAGGCCGCATCCGTCGTATCAACCTTGCGCAATGGGCCACAGATGGCGGGACGATTAGTGCAAGTGATGCGAGAGGCCGAGGGAGGGAAGGACAGGGGATCGCCCTCGTCGATCAACACACTTCCAAATGAGTTGGAAGAGGCGCGCTAGAGAGAAGATCAGCAACGCCTCCAACTGTAGATAATAGTTAGTACAAAGGTAGTTTTCACCAAAAGCAAGTCCGAGCCCAGCTTAGGGTAATTTAATTCCATGCAATCTAATCAGTTGGATCACCAAAAGGCTCTTTGGTAGGTCCACTGGTATAATGTACAAGTAATCTACAGATCGGTGGCTGCAACCGGCCGCCCGGATTCGGTGACGCACGCCCTTTCTGTCTTTCTCGTCCACTTCACCACTTAACTTACTCTTACTCTTTTGACACCCTGGTCCTCTCAGCTGGATTTGAATGGCATTGTCCTTTTTGTTTGATCTGGTGGTTCACTTCAAACAACCTTCTGCTTTTTCCATTCCCTTATTCTCCTCGACATTTCGAGATAGACTGGGGGCTGCCACCCTGGCCCCGTCTGCCCCGTCTGCCCCGTCTACTTCCCGCCCCCAGCGCCAACACCCACGCCAATGCAGTGAGAATCCCTGTGAACCATGAATAGGCCTCACGCCTTTTCCAAAGGCCATTCCGCCTACCCTCGTGGATCCGCCTTTTCTGTATCCCCCAACCAGTATGTCGAATTCGAGGTCGAGATCGTGATCGTGATCGCGATGCGATGGTGACCAGTGGTCTCTTGTTGACACGCACGATCCACAACCCCCAATTTCCCACCTAAGCCGGTTGCATATGACAATGATACATCTTCATGCTGACGACCAATTCCATCATATAGCTTCCAGCCACGCTCACAACCCGCCCTCCGACGCAGAAGGCAGCTCCTCCAACGACTATGCCTTCTCGCGGCGGTTTCCTTCCTTGTGACAATCTTCATTTTTCCCTCATGGCGCGCCATCATCCTCCCTACCTTATCATTAGGCCTCCTCCACCCCTCCGAAGACCTACAGCTCCAAACCGTTCGATATTATGACCTCTCCGAAGTGCAGGGCACCGAAAAGGGCTGGGAACGAGGGGAGCGTGTCCTCATGTTGACCCCTCTGCGGGATGCTTCCTCGCATCTCCCAATGTTCTTCTCGCACCTCCGCAACCTCACCTACCCTCACAATCTAATCGATCTCGCTTTCCTCGTCTCCGATTCGCGCGATGATACCCTCCAGATGCTTTCGAGTATGCTCACGGAGATTCAGAACGACCCGGACCCCAAAATGAGCTATGGAGAGATCTCGGTCATTCAGAAGGACTTTGGGCAGAAGGTGCAACAGGATGTCGAGAGTCGCCATGGCTTCGAGGCCCAGGCTAGTCGGCGAAAATTGATGGCCCAGGCTAGGAATTGGCTGCTCAGTGCGACGCTCCGTCCTACTCACAGCTGGGTCTACTGGCGAGATGCAGATGTGGAGACAGCGCCCTTCACCATCATCGAAGATCTCATGCGCCATAATAAGGATGTTACGGTTCCGAGTAAGTTTTGGTCTCCTGGGGTCATTCGCGTGTTTACTAGCCACTGACAACTGACCACTTGTTTCTAGATGTTTGGCGACCACTTCCTGACTGGCTGGGAGGGGAGCAACCATACGATCTGAACTCATGGCAAGAATCAGAGACTGCTCTGGCATTGGCAGACACGCTCGACGAAGACGCAGTGATCGTGGAGGGATACGCCGAGTATGCGACATGGAGACCCCACCTTGCCTACCTGCGCGACCCATATGGCGACCCGGACATGGAAATGGAGCTGGATGGCATTGGAGGTGTCAGTATCCTAGCAAAGGCCCGCGTTTTTCGTGCAGGCGTTCACTTCCCTGCATTTAGCTTCGAGAAGCACGCCGAGACGGAGGGCTTTGGCAAGGTAAGATAACCTCACAACCTGACATTTGATTTATTTACTGACCGACGCATTTTAGATGGCCAAACGGATGAAATTCTCCGTCATCGGGCTGCCTCATTACACAATTTGGCACTTATACGAACCTAGCGTGGACGATCTCCGCCACATGGAGGAAATGGAACAAGAGCGACTCGAGCAGGAGCAGAAAGAACGAGAGCGTGAACTTGCCGAGAAGAAACAGGGAACCAAGTCAAAATCCCAGAATAGTGCTGGAAAGCCTGATGCCGGCAAGGGCTCCAGCGAGGGTTCTGCTGCTCCGCCAGCCAAGGATGCTGATAAGGAGGGCTCCAAGCAAGCCAAGTTGTGATCAAGCTGATCTAAACGAACTTATCTATCTCATTTCGACTGTACACCTTGAAGGTGCCTCTTCACCAGCTGGCTGGATTCAACTGCGCGGCCTTGTTTCGATCCACACGCTGGTCTTTTCCTTGTCCAAGTGGACCGAAATTTGCTGCAAATGAATTATTTTCCGAGCACAGAAGCGATATCTCATTTCTTTGCCTTTGACTTTCTTCTTTGATGTATATTTTCGTCGTCATTGGGTGGTCTCTCTGTCATCATTTATTAGATAGCATACTAGACGGCGCGACGGGAGCACAAGCAACATGGTGCTGAAATTGAATTTCAAGCCTTTTCTCTTTTGAAATTCGGATCGTCCCAGAAGCATCATACTTCGATTTCCTCAATTCTATAGTCTACAAAACAATAAATAATTTCTCGTCATCGCTGAACCATCCCATTGACGTTACCCATTAAACGGTGGTCTGTGCTGGGCGCGTCCACCGCGTCCCGCCATTTTCGCCGCGTCTCCTCTTCCACTCCTCTACGCACATCATCTGTTCAATCACAGCAAGATCGCTTGCAAAGATGTCGACCCAGACTTCGCGAAGCGTCCTATTCACGCACACTCAACCCCAGCAGAGTTTCCGATTGCTAGAGCTCCCACCCGACCTGGAGGAACTATTGACATCAAAAGATGCACCTGTGTACGCCACCTTTCCGCTCAAAAATGGCCCAATCTTTTTTCGAAAAAAAAAAGGAATTGACTGATGGAACGTTGTTAAATCTAGAATCAAGCTCAAATCCCCCTCCTCTGCCCTCGCGCAAGCAGTAAAAGACCCTGCCGCACAGGAATACGTCAACCTCTGCACCCCGACCAAAACCTACCGAATCCGCCAAGTTATGTCGTCGAACTCAATCCATATTCTCCAACCAAGTCTTGGACAAATTTCCCGGGATGATATCAAGGTCGTCGAGGAAGAAGCTGGAGAGACTGGCGCCCTGAATTTACCCGACGACTCAGTAACTACCATCGCGAATTGCGGATCAATACTGGAACTACACATCCCCGATGGAGGCTTCTCTGCCGTTCCCTTCCTTGAAAAGAGTCTTCGACTATATGACCCCCGAAGCGGTGACGATGACGGCGATATGGCAATGGACGATTCGAACCCAGATGAAGGGCCAAGTGCGACCCAGACGCAAGAGGCGAGGGAAAAGGTTTGTGAAGACGTTCCTGTCTCCACAGCACATTGTGAAACGGGTTGGTTAGAGCTTTGTGCGTTTGTATATGGGGACCAGGAGGTCTCGTGTTGGAGACCTTCGGCACGGATGCGGTTGAGTGTGTGGAAACGCCTTATGGAAGGTGCGCTATTGCAGGGTATTGATCTGCAGAAGCAATTCCTTGTTGGCGATCTGTGGAAGTCTGTTCTTGATGACGATGTTTCCGCGCCGCCTTTCCCGCGAGCTTTGCTGGAGGCTCTGGCGCGCAGGCTTTGTGCTGAAGATCAGCGACCAGCTTTGTCAGAGGATATCAAATGTGAGTTGGAGTTTGCTCTGGAATTGATTTCATTGGGGATTGTGAACTAAGCTAACTTCTTTCTTCCCTAATTCAGGGGCATGCTTTGACAAAGAAGAGTGTACTCGGTGGGTTGGGGAAATCTGTCTCGCTGCCACTGCTCCTACTGCCTCTTCTGCTGTTGGGCGGAGCGAATTTCTACAAGTATGGAAGGATTGCCTACCAGAATCATGGAGGGCCGATGCAATCCTCTCGAAACTGCCAGAGGGCTCATACCAGAGCCCCAATCCTACGACGATGTTTTTCGTTGACGCATCTCAGCGGAAGCAGATTAGCAAGGCCCCAGCTGCTGGAGCTGCAGCTGCAAAAACCAAAGCCAAAACAACCAGGAACTGGCATGAGTTATTAAAAAATTCAAAGCGCTGACTGCACACTGTCGAAGCAGCGTAGATGCCGAGCAGCCTCCGGTCTATGATATGATGCTGGTCGTGTCTAAAAACATCATGGTCATGTTTGCCGCCCAATTCAACCCAGGTGCGGCCGGCACCTGGGGAATATGTTGAATCAAAACAAAAAAGGAAAAGAAAGAAAGCAGAACAAAGAAAATATCCCGAAATTATTGAAGGCGGTCGATCAGCACCAAGTGAACTTCTCGTTCAACAACCACTGCACGTCCTTACCTAATCCTTGCTCGGCACCCGTCCATCGCAGACTGGAAATGCTGCTCTCCTCGCGGTGTACCACTTCAGCCTTGGGGTCGAGAAGGGCCACTGCTTTCTCCAGTAGGGGCGATGGGTTCCAAAATTCGACCTTGCTCAGGTTCCACTCATGGGCTTCCAGTTGAGCCCGTCGCAGGATAGTGGCCATTGCTTCGATCAATGTCTGCTCATCTTCCGGTGATGTAGGGTCATCATAAACCCAACGCAAGATGTACAGGACATTGTCCTCGGGGGCGTCACCAAAGTTGCGGTTCCATACGCAATACACGCGAGCTTGGTCATCACCGGCACCCTTGATCACTGGAGGAGAGCGATCCGAAAACAACTTCTCTGCGAAGAACTCCTCGCGAGCCCAGTGCCACACGAAGTGATCAAAATCTGGGATTATGGCAACCGTCGCTCCAGGTGATTGGGAGGCAACCTGCATGCGTTCCTGCAACTTTGCGAGGGTGGCATCATCACAGACGCAGTCCTGAACATCCTTCGCGAGCATGGATCTGATCTTGCTGTTTTCCAGACTACCATTAAGCACTTCCCTCGCAACCGGCGGCAGGACCATATGCGAAGACAAGAAGGGCCGCCATCCAAACTGGGCGTAGAACTTCTTCCCGATATCTGAGAAAAGAATAGTGAACAGAGACCGTCCGCGAGACTCCTTTTCCATCTGCCAAGTTTCCAATTTCTGGCTCAATTCCTCCATCATTCGCTTCGCGTAGCCTTTGCCCCGGAAATCGGGCCGACAGTAGACGCTCCCGATCCCGTGAGTCTTGACATTTTCGACTGTGCCGTCGTGGGCTAGTAGCGCCTTTTTCCGGTAGGTTTCGCAGGAACTGAGAATTGTTCGCTCGCCCTCGGGCTCGTTGCGGTCGACAAGAATCCAACTGGTGAGGTTATCCCGAGTCAACCGTTGATTGTAGAGGTGTTCTTCACGTGCAATGTAGGCGTCCATGTCCAAGGGTCCCTTCCAGGCCACGCTATTGAGCTTGATGGATTTGATCCGCTCCTCCGGCGTGGCGGGGACTAGAATCAGATCGGGTGAGTCTCCCATTGGGAGGGATTGAACGTCTGCAGCAATCATGGTGATGGAAACGAAGCTACGCCAGCGTCGTGATAACCTGAAGTTTCGACAGAAGAGGTTTTCCCCGCAAATTGCTGTGGAGAATGGTAACCTTGGAATAAAGTGACACGCGTGGGACAGCGTATCGAGACTTCTTTTCTACCTCGTCGCTGGATCAGATTTGAAGTGTTCTATTGAAAGGATGGATTGCCTAGGTGTGCCCAGGTTAAGTCACACAAAGAACGGGATCTAAGATTGAAAGAGAAAGAAGAAAGAATCCGGGGTTCGAGCGAGTTAAAGAAGTGGATTCCGCTTATCGGCGTGGCTGGCCAGATATATAACTTCAACTTCTCGGAGTCGCGGGACAGCGTCACACCAGGAGGGATAGTGCTCGCCTTATCCCCTCATTTCCCCCGCTCCAATGGCTCCATGCACATCATGATCCGGGCCGGAGTGACCTGCTCTACACGGTGACAAGCGGACTGTAAAGTGTTTCTCTTTGTCAAACGAACCGAGGGCAAGCGATGACAAGCGGCTCTCTCGACTCGACTGGCAGTTAGAGGTTGTCCCCCGGTTGCACCTGCCGTTGACGTAAGGTGCGGGTCACCTGGTAAGGGCACGGTGGGTCACGGGGCTGTCCAGTCATATCTGCCATAGTTACTGTAGTTACATAGTTCCCTTATCCTAGGTTCATACTGAACTTACTCTAGCTCTTTCCCGAGGGACCAGGGTCATCTGTTCGATGACCGAATACTTCAACTTGTGGCTGTGGTACATCCCTATCCCTGCCAACGAACTATACTGCACACCGCCCATTCTTCGAGTTCATTACTATGGAAGGGCTGGCTGTTCGTAGTGGGAACTTAAATGATGGTCATCTGAAGTACGAGAGAAATGTACATATAGTAATTACTACCTGTAGTGATCGTGATAGTGTAAATTTGGTGGCTGGCTATCTATAGTTGGAAGCTGCAGGAGGGCGCGGCACGTGATGCAAACAAATTGTACTCGAAGCGGTGCAATATATCTGCCATGATGTCCGGACCCTTGGAATGTCCTATTTCCTAGTTTATCCTTTGCTCTATTTCTATTGGAAAACTGAAAAGGTCTCTGACATCTACGGAGACTCGGTCTATAACCACTGTATGCCCAGGTGTTGACACAGTACATTCGTAGTAGACTACGTAGGAAAGTCCCATATTCAATATCAGTAACCCTGCAGAATAGAAAAAGCAAGACCCAATTTATTTATTCATAAAGTTGAAGCTGTTCTTTTAATTGCATTGGCTACAATGGCCATATTAGTACACTTCTTGCTTGGACCACATAGGGCGTCTCGCGGTATGGAGATAAGCTCCCGAAGCACTTGATTGGCCTCGCAGGTAAGCATCCATGTTTCTCTAAATTGATTCCTCCTTAGTCAGATTCAAAGAAAAATAATATTAAATATAAGTGACTGAATGGTTCGTTGCAAGGACCCTCCTGTGCCACACAAAATCTTTCCAATATAACATTGCACTTAGCAACAACAACAGCTGCTATCATCATCCTTGTCAATCGATCCGCAGCACCCCCCACAGCAGTCACCACATTCACAGCAACTGCCACAGCAATCACTATTACTTCCATCGCCCCCACTACTTTGGACTGGCCCAGGCGTGTTCATCGTATCCTGTTGATTGTAATATCCACCTTGATTATCATCCTGCTGTGGCAAGTATTGGTCGTTGTCATTACGGTAATAGTCGTTATCGTTTCGATCGTAGTCGTAAGGATTATCATTTCGGTCGTCGTTGTGATCCGAGTCACTGATATCTTGATCCGGGGGTCTCTGGTCTTCGTTTCTGATAATCTCCTCATGAACATATGTCTCTTCGCGATATCCCTCATAGATCATGGCACCACCAACACCCGCTGCTGCGCCCACTGCTGCACCAGCCAGAACTTTCTTACCAGCACCACCATGACCTCCACCACCGTGGCCTCCACCCTTCTGCTGCTGGTGTTTCATAGCTTGCAGCTCATGGTTCATGTGCTGATTCTGTTTTTGCATAGCTGCATTTTGCTGGGCCATTTGTTTCTGGGCTGCTGCGTTCTGCTGCGCGAAATGTCTTTGCTGCTCGGCATTACGGCGCTGTTGTTCCGCCGATTGGTGTTGCAATGCAGCCGAGTGTTGGTTTATTTGGGCGTTGTGATGAGCGATTTGACCGTGTTGTACATTCTGCTGGTGCTGAAGCTGAGCCAACCGTGGGTTGGAGCCACTGTTCTGTTGCTGGTGTTGTGGTCGATATTGCATTTGTGGTGCTGAGCGTGGTTGGCCCGGGTTTAGATGAGCAGGGGCAGGATGTTGCGGGTCTCTGGCCTTGTTGACTACTGGCTTACGATTGACTTGCAGCATGGTGGAAGTAAACCGTATGGACTTGAAATGAGATAAACTCAATTTGAGAAGAGTGGCTTAATGATTGGTTGAATCTTATGATGGATTGGAACAGAGTTAGAACTGGGACTTGGGTGGGAATACGATGGCATTTATATCTCCCGGAATAATACACGAAAGTCACACACTGGCATGAATCGCGCCCCCGCCATATGCGATGTGGCGATGCCCCCGTCTCGGTCGGTAATCGAGTCAGTGCCTCGGCGCTTTCTCCCAAATTAGAAAGCCAGAGCCTCAAAACACTTGGTCAATGCACTTCCATGCTGCGGTACTGCGACCACCCTAATCCTGAATTGAAATACGATAGCAAATCAAGCAACATTATAGGCTGCGATTATGCACAAGCCATCTATCTGAGGTCAATATGGGTCAGAATCAGGAACAGCGTACCGAAACAGGCTGATTCCTGCAAGCCTTTTTATATTGGCACATGAACAGGGGGCTCGGGAAAGGGCTATGGCCAACTCGTGAATAATTTAAGCCAAATATAGAGTTTTATTGCCCAATGTTCGGCTTATGCTATTCAGCTGAAGTAGAATTCCGGCATTTACCCCGGTTTTGGCCCTCCAAATACGAGCGCCACAGCCTCGTTTCTAAAAATCCAGAATACTATAGAGTCGCAAACTACAGAGAAACCAAACTTCTAGTAGGCCGATAGGCAGGTCGGTAGAAAATAAAGAAACATATTGATAAGCAAGTACAACTCGCAAATTTGTGATTGTTTTATCTATCTCACTATTTGCAACCACTATTTATCCAATTCGCGATGCGTTTGGTACGCCACTATCGTCGACCATCCTGACGGAGAACATGCTGCATGTCAGCAACGGCCCCATGCAGCTGACCACAGCAAGAGACCCCGAAAACCCCGACATGCAGCCACTTTGGTCTAGAACGGACGATTATTCATTAAGAGTTGCTTGTATGGTAGATCACCACTGTTTCCATTACTTTGGTAGCCGACTATCTTCCCGGTATATTCACAAATGAAGGCGTCCGTGGACAAGGAATGCCGCAATAACGAGTCGCAAAAAATCTTATTCGAACAATTGTTTTCAAATATTTAGCCCTGATGCTTCAGATAATTTCAGAAGATAGAGCATGTTATTTCTGAGGTCGTAAGGTGGCGCGCAGTTTTGATTAAGATTTAGTATGATCCCAGCCGCCACTTTGGCATTGGCAAGTATTTCCGAATAGTGAAAACGACAAGGTTTATTATTATCCCAGGCCTTCCCATGTGGCTATTAATGTAAATATTCCTTGATTCTCGATTCTCTGCCCTATTAAAATGAGCTACAATTATCTCCAGCCTCGATGGAGGGAGCGTATTGTCTCTGGATTGTCTTCTAATCCAGCTTTTGCGATGCAAATAAATGTCTTAATCTGAACTCGCTTCTACAATATTAGGTATATTGCTTTCCCTTACGAGACTAATATCATGATTCTAAATTCTAAGACTTACAAGCATAGTATTATCAAAAATAATCAACTACATCCGTTCTTGCGACCGGAAACTGAAAAAAGATGTTTTCATAGCAATGCAGGCAGGGCTCCAGCAGACAATGCTGTGTAGCAACGCCATGCCAACGGTCCTTACGTGTAATTTCTATCACATTCCAACGCAGATATGAGAGCTTTGCAGCTATTTCTTTAGCACATAAGAAAAGACTTTCTCAGAAAGGGCCCGTTCGTTAAAATAAGCTTCCAATACAAACGTGGCTTAATTTGGCGACCGAGCATGGTACTACAAGCGGGGGTCTCCGTTCAAATTGTCGAAGCCCTAGTCCCCGCTATAAAACCATCGAAATAAATTGTCAACGACTGGCCACATCGGGAAGGTCTTGACGTTTTTTTTTTTTTTTCACCTTGTGATATTTGAGAAACATGTGCCTTTCAACTGGAATACAAGATACTGGGTGCTATATCGGTTACGTAAGAATCAGTGCTAATATTTGGAGCTCTCATCTGCAAAACAATCGGAACTTGAATATTAGATTGAATTTTGGAGGATGATAACTAACAAAGCAGCTCTTTATGACAGAAACTTTGTCTGGACGAAACGTTCGAGAACTAAAAAAGAATCAGCTTGATACTAAGAGAAAGCAATCCTAATCGATGAATCAATGGGGCTAGTCTTGAAGCAAATACCCCTAGCACCTTGACTGCATGAATTGACCTGATAATGTCTTCGCCAAGGAATGAAGTCTGTCGTATCTTGTGCATTTTATGGGCTTTCTCGAGCGAGCCAATAATGAAAGAGAATATTGGTGATTCGACCCACCTCCGCAAATTAATACCATCCATGGTCAGCATGAACCATTCTACTTCGAGGAACTAGAAGACTAGGAGAAAAAAAATATGTTCTTGGGGTTTTGAAACATGTACTAATTCATCTATGGATGTTTTGTCAAGGCGGGTCAGGCAACGAGAATCCTGTTCGAACCACAACGGCTTTATGCATACTACTTGATTGTGTCTGCTGTGATATACTGAGTGTCATTTTAACTAGTAGTATATATTGGAACTCGAACTAACCTGCATACATAACTGTACTATCCCGTTCGAAACGGTCTCCATTACGTACTAGTATACTGCCACCACAGGACTATATGATACTTACACGCCAAAGACCAAAGACCTATTCCCCATCAGCCGAGTACCAAGACAAGATTTGAGGCAGAGAAACAAAACCAAAAGAAAATGCATGTCACAATCGCATAGAGAACTTGAAAGGTCAAAAGGAGGAAAGCCTGGGATGCAAGAACATTACGACGTAAGTACCCAGCACAAAACATGAAAGTCGTGAAAAACTGGCAAATTTGGAATCCAAAAGGCCATGACAAATGAGACAAGATGTGAGAACAATGACAAAATAACACAGCCTTGGAAGGCGTGAGCAATTCCAGACACGAGACGACATTGGGAGCTAGGTTGCTAGATAGTTGAATTGGCTAGAAAAAAAATGAGAATCATGTAGTTGAGAAAGATTCGACAAAGGAGACGAATGGAATACAACAGAAATGAGATGGTATGAAATAATAAGAAAGGCCGAACCGCAAATAAAAAAGATCAGCATGGAGAGTTAATACTCGAGAATTCAGCACACGATGCAAGAGGGAGAACGAGCTGAGTCGAAGAATGGAAAGACCAGAAATCAAAGAGGGAGGAGAGGAAGTTGAGAAGGAATGTCGTGACGAAAGAAGGGTAAAAGAAAAGCAAAGTGCTGGGGGAGAAGAGGTTAAAGGATGAGCAAAAAAGGAAAGATATGAACCTGATCTATGTAAGTGTGAAAAAAAATGCCATGCGAGTCCAAAAAATCGTCCGCTCCCCATTTTATATATTCGCGCCACTTTCTTGCGGACGGCAATCCCTAGTCTCCTCGTCCATCATGTATGTTCGATCATTGGTCACGCTAAATCAAGAATGAGAATGAGATGGGAGTGGAGTGGACAAATAACCAAACGAACAACAGTTTCCGCAGATTTGACACAAATATATCCCTAATAAGGAATTATCGTTCAGGGTGGCTGCTCTGAATCCACCGGTTCGTTAAATTTCTGCCGCGCTTCTTCCACCCATAACTCCAACCGCAATTCCCCGGCCTCCACACGTCGTACCGGTACTGTTTTGGCACGCCCATTTGACACTGGTGGGGGTGGCCGCTGTGGCTCACCGTTCCGTACTTTGGAGACGGAGAAAGGGGCGGTACAGGATCGGAGGTGCACCTTGCCAGGTTCGGCCACAATCCACGTTTGTTCTTCGTTGGTTGTTCCAGCGGGTGGTAATGCATCCTCCCGCACTTCAATGCAGACAGTAAAGCTGAATTCGTCATCCCGCGGCAGGGGAGTTAGGCGCGCACATGCGGACGCCAGTCGAGCCAAACAAGCTCTGAACTGTGATTCGAGGTCAACCGAGGTTGGCGCGGGGCCCCGGTCGGAGACGGGAGCACCTGGATTAGATGAATCTCCATTTCTGTCCGCAAATGTTGTGTTTACTTCTCCAGCTGGAGCCCGTGGGAAGCCCGACAGGTCGAAAGCATATCGTTCGAGGGGTTGATTTGTGCGGAGAGATGAAATGATGATACTGACTGCGGTGATTGTACCTTTTAAGATCTCTGTTCCGACCGCGATTGATGCATCATTAATATAGTCACACACTTTAGGGTGACGAGATTGTCGGACAGGATAGTTGTATGCCCGGACGGGAAGGAATGTCGCGCGCGGGTAGACGGAGCGCAGGAAAAGTATTTGATGGACAGACACGGTAAGGAAGTTGGTGAATGACGCCGCTAGCGCCGACTGGTTTGTGGGCAGCGATCTGGTAGCAGGGACCGGAGCGGCGAAGGTGGTCATGGTGGTGGTACTACTGATCTCACTGGCCATCGGCATTGCCGTCGAACGATCCGGAGTCGGGTCCACGGTAAGGGTGATCTTGATGGAGTCTCGAGGAATCTGAATGATGTTCCACCCTGAAGCTAATCATCGCTCTGCCTTTCTAAAATCATCGGTCAACGCGGGCGTCTTTTTTTGTTAAGTGGTGAGCGTAGTGGTGATGTTGTGGTTTTTCCCAGATGGGAGAGCCGGGGTCCGATTATCAAGGATTTTTTTCCCGCCGGTCCTCGGTCAACGACACATTGGATCGGGGAGAATGTGCGAACGAATGAGACGATCGGAAAGGGCAAGCAAGAATTATGAGAGGCGTAGTGAGGCCGAAACAGCCGATTGTTGGTGATCAAAAGGGAAGTGAGGAGGGGGGGGTTGGGTAGATTGGTGATTGGTGGTGGATTGGTGGGAGGGGAGGGAGGGGGTTTGTGAGGAAATCCGAGGCACGTACGCTTGGGTGGACAAAACGACAAGATGCAAAGCCTCAGAGCATGAGGGAAGAAACCGATGTGAACCTAAGCGCCGATCCCAAAATCGAAAGAAAGAAAGGTAACTTTTTTGGAGAAGCGATGTGCCCAGGTGAAGAGGGGAGGGTGAGGAGGGGCTTAAAGCGAAAGTGGACGACGAGGGGCTCGAGGGGTGGGGAGCCGTCAAGTGAAACGGCTAAAAAAGGCTCAGGGGCCTGTCGAAGGTCGGCGATGGGTCGAGCCGGTAGTAAAACAGATAAAGTCGATGGTGATGATTGATGTGCCCCGTGTGGCTCGCTCGAGGGGAGAGTGAGTGGAAGAGAGTAGACGGTCAGGACTTGCTGGCCCGTCACGTGTTGCGTCATTCTACGAACACTTACAGATAGAGTACAGAGTACTATGTACTATGTACCCTGTGTACATTTACTTATCCAGCTTTTTTTTTTTTTTTTTTGCTTTTGCGTTTGCTTTTGCGTTTGCTTTTTATTTTAAATATTCTCACTAACTATACTCGTATGTGAATGATAATGTTAGGCATGGGATATTAGCATGGCTGTTCTGCTCTGTCTTGCATGGTTCCAATACAATTCCCCAAACACTTCACGTAGTACCTACTGTTTACCCTATTTGATCGCGGGAATCTATGGATATTTTTTGTGCAAATTTCACCTCTTTTTCTCTTTTTTTTTCTGTCTTCTATTCCCCACCCAACGGGTCAGTGAGTGGGTGTGATCATGGGATACTCAAGGAGGGGCGATCATCGCAGCCAAGCGAAAAAAAAAAAAACGAAAGAACAAAGTGTAACCGATTATCAGTACCAAAACATTCAGCACCCTAAAACCTTTACTCCATAAATGGGCCATGGAACCATCTGCTCAACCGTGGATGTGGTGCAAGAACCGACGGGGCATAGCCGAGTAAAAAAGAAATACCCCCATCTTCTTGTGTGTAAGCTTAACTCTTCACCCTACAACGCAAGGCTCCATCCAGGGCATCTCTCTTGTACCTGGATACGTTGGTAACCAGTCATCGGTGCAGGAGGGAGCCGAATTCCTCATCGGACCCAGCAGCCCAACCCCAAAGAATACCGAATAATTACACCGCCGCACCCTTCTGATTGCCAAAGGAGGGGGCCACGGTAGTACCGGGTATGGCGCCTTACCATATCATACAATACATTACTACATACAATGCACTCCATGTATGTACTTACTCCATAATAATTAAGCAGTCATTTCACTGTGTACCTGTACCTCCTCCATTTATGATTTATACGGACTAGCTCCCTCTGATCCGAGCTGTCGCTGCTTTTGCGAGGCCCTCACAACCACCTCGCGGAGCCTGTAGATTTCAGTCCAGGGTCAAATCCCATGGCCACCACGTGATATACAGATCCCATCTACTCAATTGGATTAGATTCCTTGTTCATCGTTAAGGTCAATAACAGGAGCATCCAGTTGATTAGGTATCCGATAGGTTTCAGCTCCACGGCTGCGGAACTAGGTACCAGTAAGGTGTTTGGCCAGAAATAGTGGAATTTGGATATGCTCCGTACCATCACGCTCCCTGGATCAGAGTTGTGTCCATTTACTTGAACCTATACAGATATCTAAAAAACAAAAACAAATAAGGTATGATCCGGCACCGGTTTTCTAAAGTGGACTCATAAACCCCAGCATAGGCTGATTTTTTGGGTTTATGGACTCCATTTTCAGTCAATGGTACTTACTCCGTACAGAGGTCAGGCCCGTGTGAGTGATCTACATCCCTATGCGATCTCGGGCTGGGAAAGATACAAAGTGCATTTGAAGAAAGGCATAGAGATGTCTCTATTTGGCCATTCATCACTTGTCAGCATTTTAGACTCAATTCTTGGCATCCATTGCCGTGGCGGCGGGCTTGCGGGCGTCGGGAGACGGTGCTGACAAGGACAAGCCTTCCCAGGGTCTTCGCGGGGGTCGAGGGGAAATCGTCAATTCCGAATAGAGTCAAAATCTCACGAATCCCCACATGATCACTTTACAACTGTCTCGGAACCATCGAAAGTTCCCCGGCTTAGTCAATTCAACACGTCACCTTCAGCAAGAAGAACCCACAGTGTCATCGCGACCGTATGAGGCCGGTAATAACCCTGAACATAGTATGTTGTACCACCTGATGAACATGCTGATCTACTAGTTATGTACTGACGAGTACTAGTTAGTATGCGAATGTTGTAAGTTAACATGTATACAATTCCTCCGTTATGGGCCGACGGGATCTGCTGTGATTCCGACGATAATCTCCACGAAGATCTGGATATCAATGTGTGATGCGCCTCGATGGTCTGACACCAGCGGTCTGCCTTATTGGGTGGATCGTGATCTTTCGGAAGAATTCTCAAGAGGCCCACAGGATTGGCTTCAGGCCAGTCGCTGAGGCTGTCCAGTGTCAACAGTGGGCTTGTTCTGACCTATGTCGTGTCCATTTTCAATTAAAAGGATTAAGCTGGCTAGTTTGAGGCGAAGCGACCGCCGGTCATCAGGGTTTGTAATTACTACACCGGGGGCCGTCATTAGAGGCGCTAGAGCAAAAGTGGCCCTCACTCCCTCCCCGCGATCAATGATCACCGGAAAATGCGGCTGACGATCTCACCACAGCGGTGACAGGCGAAAGAGTAGAAGCCGATGGAAGACTATTGATAATCCAGGCGTTAGGATTAACCCTACCCTATTGGCCTGCAGCTCGCACCTCTTGTCGGGGAGAGGCGCCTCCCCTAGGAGATCCCATGCCGCCACTGCCGTCACTTGGGATGATCATCGGTAAAGGGCCCTGTGGACTTGGTAATGAGTTTCCTTCGATTCCATTTTGGTGCCCAGGCCCCGCCGCTTTTGCACCCTAGGTATAACTGAGCATGCCTGTGAGACCAGTCCAATGCCAGCCTATCGCATTCAAGTTTACATGACGTTTCTATGGGCACGATGATCCCTAGCTGTTGTCGTACTTTAGGTTAGCGGATTATTATTTTTAAGAACCGTTTCAGCCAGGGCTTGAGGCTAGAGCAATGGAGAATGTTGAGAGGGGTTGATACCTACAGTAGTGTTGCAAAAATTTGATTCCCTTTGTTGAGTGCCCCGATCTCTGCCTTCCCAAGGGGAATAGAGTAGCTAATCTATTCCATCTTAGGTAGCAACTAGTCTGCCATTAGAAGGCGGTCGATAATGGTGGGCAATAGGAGGTTTCAAACTTTTGCAACGCCAGACAGGTGTAGGTTGGAAGTACTAGGTATAGTACAAAGACGACAGTATAGTACAGCGTCTTGTAGTGACTGGGGCATCTCCCTCAATGGGAGTCAAGGACTCCAAATTGAGGAGGATACCTGGTAAACTGCTTAAAATAAGGCATACATAGCGACTAAACCAAAGGTAACTCTAGCAGTTCTACTATGTAGTTCTACTATGTGGTCAAGGCTTACCGCCTCCACTGCCCCTCCGCGTCCCCTTATCGCGCCGCGCGCAAATGGGATAAACTTCTTGATCCCACCTCTCTGGCGACGCCTCACCCTCTAATTGACCTCTCCGTGATCAATTGGTCATCCATTACGCCCGCCATGGAGCAAGAACTCCTATCGCTCCTGGCAAACACCCAGTCGCCTCAGGCCGACGCCAGAAAAGCCGCTGAGCAACAGCTCCACGCCCTGTACTCGAACGAATCATTCCCCATCTCCCTAACCGCCATTGCTTCCCACGAGTCCGTGCCTGTGAACCTGCGCCAATCTGCCCTCTCCATCCTTCGCACTTTCATCGCCGCTGGTTGGTCGTCCAGCCTGGACGAGTTCAAGGGTCAGGTCCTCGTCAACGACACAAACAAAGCCCAGATCCGCCGCGCACTCCTCGAACTCGCAACCACAGTCGAAACTCCCGAACGTAAAGTTAAGAGCTCTGCTAGCTATGCTGTCAGCAAGATTGCCAGCGCCGATTTTCCCGATGACTGGCCAGAACTCCTCCCCGCTTTACTTCATATCATCAACGATACCTCCACCACCGATATCGCACTGCACGGCGCTCTGAAGGTCCTTCTGGACTTGGTGGACACTGGGTTTGGTGAGGAGCAATTCTTCAATGTCGCCCGTGACCTCGTTTCGTCTCTTTTCTCGGTAGCGGCGTCCGAGTCCCGGAAGCCTATACTGCGAGCCCTCGCGGTCGCCGTTTTCAAATCCTGCTTCGATACACTGGAAATGGTTCTGGAACAACACAAGCAAGCTATCAAGTCATTCGTTGATGAGATGCTAAGCGTCTGGTCGCCATACTTTGTTTCCACCCTGGAAGCACCCTTGCCTCAGCCACCATCCGAAGAAGAGGCGAACAAGACGGGCGATGTTGCGACGCAGTGGCGCGGGTACGTTGCCCTGAAAATCCAGGTCGTGAAGGTAAGATAAGATCTTTCTCTAGCTTGCAGTGACTTTCTATCCCAGCTGACATGTATGATTCTATAGACTCTGATGAAGATCCGCAATGTCTTCCCCGGTCTTCTCTCGGCCCAGAGCCCGAGCTATTTCTCTACTGCCTGGGCAGAGCTCACCAATGCTATGCCAGTCTATCAAAATTTCTTCATTGAGAACGAGCGCCAAGGTCGCCTAGAAGATGTGGACAGTCTCGCCTACTCGCTCGATTACCTCGTTCTGGAGGAACTGGATCTTGTTCAAACTCTGCTGAAGGCCCCGCCTGTAAAGGCAGAGCTACACCAGCAGCTTCAGAATGCCGGTACCGCAGCGGGCTCCTCTGGATGGGTACCCGAGATCATGAAGCTGTGCAGCTCTTATGCCCAGATTACGATGGAAGAGGAAGGTCTGTGGGAAATCGATGTGAACTTGTTCCTCTCAGAAGAGACGTCAATTACTGCCAACTACACCCCTCGCACATGCAGTGCTGATCTCGCGATCAAGACTGGCGAATGGCTGAAGGAGAAGGCAGCCGAAGGGCTTCTGACCCATATGAATACACTATTCGCCGACTCATCGGCCACGTAAGTAGTTCTTTCTGACTGGTACCCTGTTACACGCTAATCTGAGACCCTTGTTTAGATGGAAAGCCCGCGAGGCAGCCCTCTATGTCCTGAATTCCTTGCTGAGAGACTTTGGCGAGGTGTCTCAAGAAATCCCCTCGGAGCTCGCCACTCATTTCAATCAATTTGTCCATTACGCTCTTCAGCAGAAGGAGGAGCTTCTACGCGCGAGAGGCTACCTGGTTGCCGGTTCTTTGGCCAAGGTTGCTGGCGATAGCTTCCAGCAGACTGCCACTTCTTATCTGGAAGCTGCTTTGAAAGCGATTGCCGAGGATCCCGCAGAGGTCGTCAAGGTCGCCTGTATACGTGTTCTACAAGATCTTATTCCATCTCTGCCGATCGAAGTGGCTCGCCCATTCCAGGTCACCGTTATCAACGCCATCTCGGAATTCGTTTCAGCGCATGACCTCCGTGATCAGAGTGATTGTGACGATCTCAAGGTGACCCTGGCGGAAACCCTCCGAGATGTCATTATGGCCGATTCGAGCGTAGTCCTTTCATCGATTGCTATCGATGTTTTGTTCAACATTGCTAGCAGCGGGGCTGAGAACTTCCAGCTGACCATGACCGTGACTGAGGCCTTTGAAGATATCGTGGACCAAATCGCTGATCTTGGCCCCGATGCCTACCGCCAAATGTGTGAAAAGGTGCTCCCTTCCCTGATGGGTGCTATCGATGTCGGAAACCTCACCGAAGAGAACTCCTTGACCAACTTTGCCGCCGACCTGTTGCGAGCTCTGGCGGAGCGCAGCCTTGAGCCCATGCCGGCAGGATTTGTGCAAACGGTGATGCCCAAGCTCAACTGTCTACTTCTGGATTCTGCTGAAGCCGAGCTGATCCGACCTGCTACCGAAGCCGTGCGCTACATGCTTTCCCATGATTTTGCCCAGTTTCTGGCGTGGGACCCGCAGTCTGGAAAGGAGCCGGTCGAGGTTGTCCTGGTGATCATTGACCGCCTGCTTGGACCGGATGTGGATGACAATGCGGCTACCGAGGTAGGACAGCTGGCGGCCGAGCTGGTGGAGCGCGCTGGACCAGAACGCCTAGGCCCCTACCTGCCGCAGCTTCTGCAAGCGGTGGCTCAGCGACTGGCGACAGCGCAACAAGCACAGTTCATCCAGAGTCTCATTCTAGTCTTCGCCCGATTGACACTGATTAGCGCACGCGAAGTGGTAGACTTCCTGGCGCAACTGGACTTGGGTAACCAGAACGGACTTGCGCTCGTACTGGGCAAGTGGCTGGAGAACTCGGTCAATTTTGCCGGTTACGATGAGATCAAGCAGAATATTTTCGCGCTGGCGCATCTATACGAATTAGGCGATCCTCGTCTGGCGGAGGTGCCAGTCAAGGGGGATTTGATTGTTGAGAACACTGGGCGGATTAAGACTCGGTCACAGGCACGCAACAACCCCGATCGGTATACTACCGTGCCCGCCTCTTTGAAGATCATCAAGGTCCTTGTGGAGGAACTCTCGGCAGCATCAGGCAACAAGGAGATGGACGCAGCGACGGCTGCTGCACTCGACGACGCTGGAAGTGAGGATGGCGACGATGACTGGGAAGACATGCCCGGACAGGTGCTGGATCTGGGATTGGGTATGACCAAGCAGCAGCTGATGAGTTTTGCGGAGGGTGGTACTGAGAGTGTTTTCGGAGTGCGACGACGAGATGACGAAACACAAGCGTACCTGGGTGAATTCTTCCGACGAGCCTCGACACAACCCGGATTCCAAGAAGTGTTTGGAGCTCTGACCCCGGATGAGCAGGGAAAGCTACAGAGCCTGGAGTGAGCAAGAACCGAAAGAACCGGAATATGATATGATCATGATCATGATGATTGATAACAATGTATGGAGTAGGGGAGTAGTGGTAGTTAACTCATCAAATAGTTGACCAATTATACTCTCTAGTACATCACTGGTAGTATACTGTAATAGAATCGACTGAATCAGACCGGGTTGCAAAGCACGCCAATTCCGAGTGGCTCACGAGTCAAACGCATCAAACCAAGCAAGGAAGGGGCCCGCAGAAGTGGAGACGAGGGCCCAACTGGGTGGGAACGCAGGGATACTCCCGACGGTGTACGCTGTGGTTGCATAACCCATACGCATAACGCATAGCGCATCACATCTGCATCACTCCATACCAGCTGAAAATCTAGCCCAGCCGACTCGTATCAGATTCGTCCAAATCCCAAGCCCACCTCATTCAGCGCTCGTCCCTGCTGGCTGGAAACTGCGGGGACTCCTGCAGGCTTGACCTATCGCGCTGAGTTCCAGCCGGGTGATGCATCACTTGCGCCCCGACGACCTTTCTCTCGGTATTCCGCGATATCTTCACCAATTTTAATTTCCCTTTCCTTCTTATGCCTGGTCTTGTTCTTTCTTTTCTTCCCATGTCTCAGCCAAATCCCAACGAGAGTATTCAAGTTGATGTAAGCTGCCCTCCGTTCCTGGCCCTGGCCCTGTAGCTTCCCTTCCCATCTTTGTAACCATCCCATCTACCCATCTACCCCTCCAAAACCTACCTCACCTCACCTCACCTCGCCTTTGCTCCGATCGCCAATTCCCAGCTCTAACCACACTCCCAGACAAGTGACGATGACTCTCTCTTCGACACACAATCTCTCGTGGGCTCTGATTTATCCTTCGCTTCCTCAGTACGAGACTACTGCTATGAAAATGGCCGCCGCTACCACGCCTATCGACATGGCCAATACCCTTTCCCAAACGACGAAGAGGAACAAGACCGACTAGCCCTGATGCATCATCTCTTCAAACTTCTCAGCGGTGGCGATCTTCATCGTGCCCCCCCTCCCACGCGACCGGGATCGCGGGGATCGAGACCCTGATATTAGCTCTAGCTCCAGCTCCAGCTCCGGCTCAATCTTAAATTCCGACCTCAGCACCGGAGATGATATAAACATCAACAACAACAACAACAACAACACCACCACCACCACCACCAATCCACCGCGACGAATCCTCGACATTGGCACCGGCACCGGCGACTGGGCCCTCGAAATGGCCGAAGACCTCCCAGCAACCGACATAATCGGCACAGACCTAAGTCCCATCCAACCAAACTGGGCCCCACCCAATTGCCGCTTCTTCATCGATGACGCAGAGAGCGACTGGACATTTACACCCAGCGAAGCCTTTGACTATATCCACGCGCGCAGTTTGGGCGGTGGAATCGGCGACTGGCCGCGATTATTACGACAGGCATTTACACACCTGAAGCCTGGCGGGTGGTTTGAGGCACAGGAGTTCGAGACGTGGGTCATTTCTGATGATGGGTCACATCTTCGGGCGACGGCTATTACGGATTGGCAAGATCGATTAAGTCAGGCGAGTAAACAGTTTGGGAAGCCTGTTAATGTTGCGCCTATGATCTTTGATTGGATGACCGCTGAGGGATTTGAGAATGTTACGGATGATATTTACAAGGTTTGATGCTCCAATTCCCGCTCTCTTCCCGGGTACTCTTTTACACTCTCTTATTATGCCCTTTTGTTTCTCTTCCTTCCAAGCTTACCCTTAACAGTGCCCGGTCGGCGGGTGGCCTAAGAATCGCCGGCTCAAGGAAATCGGTCGCGTGGGAAAAGCGACTATCCTCGAAGTCGTCGAGCCGTATACCCTTGCCCTCTTCACTCGCGTGTTGGGGTTCTCTTTCCAACAAGCGCAGGAGTATATGGATCGAGTCCGCGCCGAGCTGGTGAGCAATAAGTTTCACCTCTATATTCGGTTCCACTTTGTCTACGGACAGAAACCATTCGATGCGAATTCGACTTCGACTTCGAATGGGAATGGGAATGGCCAAGCCCCATGATGGTGACAATCATCTACGACTTGACGATCGCTTTTTCCTTCCTTTCTTCCTTTCTATTCTGTTATTTCTTATGTTCTCTTTTCTCTTCTTTGCATTATTTACACGACGTGACGACTTATGACTTGCATTGATGTATAAAGGCGTTTTGTTTTCCCTTCTCTTTTCTGATGTACTAGACCAGACACCTCCCTTTGGACAACAGGAAATTCGACGACAGCGAATTGCAGTGGAACCAGCCCACGAGCATTCAATATTGCATGTAATTACTCATTACCACCGAAATTCGAAATCTCTAATAGTATGATGTATGTATGTATGTATGTACACTGCGCCCTGTCTAATCGGATCTGGTATGTAATATGTACTCGTACGAGGCTATGAGCTCTGACCAGGTCTCTGGCCTTAAGCCTGAGCTTCGGTCATTGGCCGTTGATTCCGCTGATCCCTAGAACTTGGCATATTCCCGAGACAGCCGCCTCAGGCGTGGCACTGGCTCTCACAACGCTGACGACTTGCGCGACGGATTTCTCGTCGCAGCTGCTGATTGTTTGGAGTAAGGTCTCCAGAAGCTCTTCTTTCCCTTCTATCTTCCAAGAATCTGGGATTGAATCGATTGGATTTGGGGTGAGTTCTCGCTGAAGTGGATCCAGTTGGTGTTGGTGTTGGTGTTGACTAATTGGTGGTGGTGCAGGCGGACTTTGGAATAACGAGTTCGGATTCGGATTCGGAATCGGCGGTGATGTGGTTTGCGCATTTGCGTGTGCATCAAAGTGATTGATAGAGGCTAGGTGTGAAGAGGAATCCGAATAAGGGGCCGAGAATTGCGATCCCATTGCATCGTGACCCCATGGATATGCGTGTGGTTGTGGTTGGGGTTGTGACTGAGGGTCTGGTTTCTCGTAGTAATCGCGTGTCGGGATATAGCCCTGCGCGTCCCCGTACGGCCCGTTCAGCTGTATGGGGGGGATCCCCTGGAATTGCGAGGTTTCTGGATGCATGATTGGTTGCGAGACAATCCCTGGCAGTAAGGGAGTCGAGGCCGGGATCTCGCCGAAGGTTGGAAGTCCGGGTTGGCAGTAGGCCACAGTCACTTCGTCTGAATCTTTATTTACTGTTTTCACTGGTCAGCAGGTTTAAGAGTTATTACTGTACTGTTCCCTGTTAGAAACTCACAGGTTGAGTAGCCGAGTTCGCTGAATGCGCCCGCGCCTTCGGCCTCGGCGACGATACTCGTCCCATACGGTCCAGCCGCGGGATACGAGAACATGGTAGAACCATTCTCACTTCCCGTGCTATCGGGGCTGGTCATAGTCACCGAATTGGAATTGGTCATAGTAGTCGTGGACGAACTGGGGGAGGACCCAGCCCAGCTCCCTTCGTTCTCACTTCCACCAGCATTACTCTGCCTTTGCGCCATGCGATTCCCCGCATATCCATTCCGACTATTGCTGGCACTGGGATTTGAAGCTGCGCCTCCTCCATATTTTCGCGCATAATCGTGTCGGCGACGAACGGTGCCGGGACTAGGAGCCTGTCGAGGACCCTGACTCAATTGTCCCCGCAGCTGCGCAACTTCACGGCGCAAGCGATCGATGATCTCGGCCTGGTTGATTTGCGCATGATCTTCGGCGGTTGCGAGGTATGTACATTCTGCTTCGAGGCCACGGATAATACAGGCGTGACAAGGTCTGGAACGATCGCACTGGGGGGGGGGGGAAGGTAAAAAGTGTTAGCGATGGTACGGCATCGGAATGATGAGGGTGGCGGTGGGGAGGAATGGCGAGATGATAATCGCGCCTAGTTTCAGCTCCAGCTCCAGCTCCAGTTCAAAGCATACCTTAACCTTGCGTTCACGACATCGCACACAGGATTGCTGGGGGCGAATCTTGGTCTTAGAATCGGGGGACATTTCTCGAGACGGAGACATGTAGAGAGAGAGAGAGAGAGAAAAGCTAAGAAGCTAAAAGACTCTCAAGTTTGGTGATTCCCAGTGATCACCGTTGGGCAAGTGGGGGGGGGGGGGACCTGCAAAGCAGAGTTCAAAGTTCCACTCGCGCCCTCTTCTCTTCCTTTCCTCTTTTCTTCCTTTTTTTACTCGTACCCAGCTGAATCGAATCCCATCTGTTTTTAGTCAATCTTGGCTTGAAGTGTGGGCCTCCGGTCTTTTCTTTTCAGCTGCACAATGCACAATGCCAATACACAAGATACAATCGTTTCTTCTTTTCTTCTTTTCCCAGGCCCACACTGCCACCATTGAATGGCGAATGTGATCCCTCAGATCCCTCAGATCTCTTAGATCCCGACTTTCCTCCCCATTGGCAACTAATCTGCGAAATGGGAATTTTCAAGGTTCTGCGAAACCCCATTTTCTGTTCACGGTCACGGTCACGGTCACGGCCCACTCCGCTCCCTTCCATCATCATGCATATAACTACCGAGAAGAACTCACATGGTCCGTGTGTTCCATATGGCTACAGTGGTGTTGCAAAAGTTTGAAACCCCATATTGCCCACTATGATTTACCGCCTTCTAATGGAAAACTAGCAGCTACCTGAGATGGAATAGAATGAATGGCCTATCTTTTCCATCTCAGGTAGCTACCTGTCCGCGATTAGAAGGCGGAGACAAGAACAGTCAACATGGGGTTTCAAACTTTTGCAACACCACTGTAGAACTGCTGCTGTTAGCGCTCGCGTTCGTGGTCGCGTTCGCGCTCGCGCTCAGGGCTGCATCATGCTGGAACGTAGAATGCAGATGCAGATCTTATCCTAGTTCCCCCCACGGGTCCGGACAGGGGCGCGGCGAGGCGAGAACGTCCTGATCGACCGCTGCACCTGTTCTTTAATTAATTATCTCCTTATCGATGAATGCCACCGTCGCAGTCCCCTTCGCCCTGAGTACCACTCACCCCAACGTATGATTCGTGTCGATCGCGGATCTCCGGTGCGGGGAATCTCCATCGTACATGGCTTCAGGGCGCCATAAAGCTTGCCTGAGGACTCTCCGGGGTATGGAATTCGATCGGACCATTGCTCAGATCTCTCAGTTGGACACTATCAGCTTGGCAAATTTGGCAAATCTGATTTCAGACTTTAATTTTTATTTTATTTTTTTCTCTTCTGGAGAATCCTACTACTATTCCAAATCCTTCAACCCTTCCAATCCGGTTTCTTCATCACTACTAGTACTATCACGGAGCACGTTATGCCGAGATCTTCAACCCGCTGGTCCGTTCCAGCGAGCACGGCCATGGCTGGACTCTTGATGGTCCAATCGCTTCCTGCTCAGGTCCTGGCATCGGTGTCTAACCCAGATCTCCTTGCGGCTCCCCCAATGGGCTTCAATAACTGGGCGCGGTTCGAATGCGATCTTAACGAGACCCTCTTTACCGATACTGCCCAGGCCATGGTCAATCGCGGTCTTCGTGATGTGGGTTACAATCGCCTCAATCTGGATGATTGCTGGATGACCCATGAACGTGCCACGGACGGATCACTGCAGTGGAACACAACACTGTTTCCCCATGGCATTCCGTGGCTGGCCAAGTATGCCAAAAGCCATGGCTTCCACTTGGGTATCTATGAGGACGCCGGCAATGCAACCTGCGGTGGCTATCCAGGTTCTTTGGGCCATGAAGAACAGGATGCCGAGAGCTTTGCCAACTGGGGCATCGACTACCTCAAGCTCGACGGATGCAATGTTTTCTCTGAAGACGGTCAACCGCTGCGAGACGAATATCGCCAGCTCTATAGCAAGTGGCACAAGATCTTGAGTGGCATGCAGGATCCGCTAATATTCTCCGAATCCGCCCCAGCGTACTTTTCCACCAATGCCACGGACTGGGCCATAGTTATGGACTGGATCCCCGAGTATGGTGAACTGGCGCGGCACTCGGATGATGTCCTTGTTTACAGTGGAGAAGGAAGTGCCTGGGACAGTATCATGGTGAATTACCACTACCACACGCTAGTAGTGCGCTATCAACAGCCCGGTTACTATAATGATCCGGATTTCCTGATTCCAGATCACCCGGGTCTCACGGACGTGGAAAAGCGATCTCATTTCGCACTCTGGGCTTCGATGGGTGCGCCGTTGATTATCAGCGCGTATATCCCTGACCTGTCGGATAGTGAGATCGAGTTCCTTAGCAACAAGGACTTGATCGCCGTCGACCAAGATCCGCTCGCTGAACAATCGGCCCTAGTTAGTCGCGACAGCGACTTCGATGTACTAACTCGCTCTCTGGCAAACGGAGACCGGCTCCTCACCGTCCTGAACCGAGGAAATGATACCAGCAAGACGACCATCCCCATCACCCGGCTGGGACTGGACTCTGGCTGCAAGTACAAAGCCCGTGATCTCCTAACCGGAACCGTTTCGACCATCAAAGATGCCGTTGATATCACCCTGGAAAGCCATGCCACCAGTGTTCTCCGTATTACACCACCACGTAAATGCACCAAAATCACGCCAACCGGCATGATCCTTAACACAGCAACCAGCCACTGCCTAACCGCATCGTCCACGGGCGTCACGTTTGAATCATGCCAAGCCGCCGATTCCCAGGTCTGGCACGTCTCCTCTCACGGAAGCAAACTGACCCTGAGCCCTCTCTCGGATAAATCCAAGTGTCTGGCTACGAGCGCCGGCGGGGTCACCCTCGCATCATGCAATGGTGGATCCGGTACAGTATGGTCACACTATATGACTGGCCATCTGCAGAATGATAAGGGCGGCTGTTTGGCGGAGTCCGGCGGGGCTGGTCGTCTGGGGACTTGCAGTCTCGAACAAGCGGGTCAGATCTTGGGATTGCCGAGTGGCGTTCGTTTGGCTGAAGGCGCTGCCAAGAAGTAGATCTTCCTTCAGGTAGTATGGGTCAATGCTTGAATGGAAGCTGCACATAGTACAGTACAACGTAGTACCATTGTCTATAGTCTGCAATCGCAGAAAGGTATACCGGGTTACGAAATATCAGATGATTGTACATATCGATAAACAGTTCTCTTCTTTGTTCGATTGTATTTATTCGAAGGAATAGGAGAAAGGGTGGGTTGTATCGGTTATGCTGCATGCAACTAACAAACCCATCCCGAGGTCAGTAGCGGGCATACTCTACCCAGGCCTTTCAGAGGCATCAATCATATCATGAGTCTATCTAATTAGCATACACGATTGAGAGTAAATAAAATCTTTATCACTCAAATTCCCAACTGTACAATGCATTAAGAGCTGCGAATGCGAATGCAAATGCAAATGGTGCAATTCCACGCTTAAGCAAGCCATAACCTACAATATCTATCCCTGCAAAGAGAACCCGACCCCCTCCCCAGTCCCCATAGCCACAAGATTCGCCCGCATTTTCTCCGGTCTCTCCCCAAGCCCAAAAGCCGCGTCCTCGCGATGCACCCAAGCCCCAACACCATGCTGCAAGACCGCCGTAGCACGCACCTTCTTCTTCTCCGCATCATCCGCATCAGCACTCTTCAACCCCAAACTGCCATGAAGCGTCAACCGCGTCTCCTCCCCGCTGGCAGGCTTATGCTTGTACGTCCCGCGGTGCAAGATATTACTATCGTAGAAGACCGCGTCGCCGGGCTGTAACTCGACAATGAGCTGGTTGGGCATATGCGGCTCGTAGGGATCCGCATTGCGCTCTGCATCTGTGCGTGCGCGACGGTGTGAGCCTGGCACGACGATAAGCGAGGCATCGCGACAGAGCGCGAGGTTATATTGTGCGTGTGACTGGCGGCCGCCGGGCGATTTGGCGGCTAATTGGGAGATTTCTTCTTCGGCGGTGGCGGTTTCAGCGACGTCGTCGCGGTGCCAGCGGAGTTCAAAGTCTTTGGTTTCCGGCGCGACGAGGAGATTGAAGAGTTCCATTACGAGGGGTTCGTTATCGGTTGTTGTGTCGGCGTTCACACCCATTAGTTCTTCGGCGACGGCGAGGATTGTCGGGGAGAAGTAGCATTTTGCGAAGGCTTCGCGGCCTGGCATGGAGGGGTGCATTAGGTGTTGGACACCCCAGATTCCACCCTCGGAGGCTGGGGGTGGGGTGGAGGGCCATGGGGGGGAATTGTTTGGGGACGGTGCGGAAGTGAGGCCAGCTTCCGGTGCGGGTTTTGGTGGTGGCTTCTGTGGCGATGGTGCGGTAGTGGGTGATTTCGGTGGGGGTGAGGAGGTTGCGGACGACGACGAAGCCGTCGCGTTGGAGGGCGTCAAGGTTGGGTGTTGTGGACATAATGTGTGTGAGGGTGAGGGTTAGAATGGGGTTAGGTGGGGGAGGGAAGTCTGGAAACTTGAAGTCTGGAGAAGCCCGTGTTTATATGTGCGGGGTTGAAGTAGATGCTACATAGTACTAGTAGTATACTAGTAGTACGTGGGACTGCGACTGTGACATTTAGCCTATGCTACTGTGGATCCAATGTGACCTTCACAAATTGTCAATCTGATTGTTCGTTTCCCCCCCCCCCATTTTCCCATTTATCCCCCATGTTAGGGCAAAGATCGGATCGTGGGGTTGAATCGGAGGCTCTGGAAGACATTAAAGTCCGATGCCCCCACTAGATTCCCTGGGTTCCTCGTGGCAGGTCACGATCTGCCACGATCTGCGTGGTAGTATCAGCCAGTATCTCGGTGTCAGGGTATCACCGAGCTTGCAGAAGCTTGACTGCACATAATGCATGACGCCTGGCAGCTTCAAGTTAGCCTGGAGTGAATCGTTATCTTTGTTCGGGGCTTTCCAACACGCTGTTTCATAACCTTTGATGTCGTAAGAAGACAGTAAGAAGACGGCTGGAGGAATTTAAAATGATTTATACACTGACCTAAATCACAGGGACCTCGAGACTGTGCTTGATGTTTAGCCAACCCTCTACTGGTGGTTTGTATACTTCTACTTCCAGTAGATCTGCCCCGCGGAACAGCAGAACTTGAAACATGGAACCATGACGATAATTCCCACGGATTTTCATTCGGCGGGCTAAGTATAGGTTCAAGTTGGAAAGATGTATATACTACATTTATGTTGAATTTGGGAGACCGTGAGATCATGCAATTTCGCACTTGTTACTGTGCTTGTGTTTGTGTTTGTACTCTGCCCCTCCCACGTCATCGCGGACTGCCAAGGCCTGCCTGAGACACAGCGACTCTACTCCTACTCCAACTCTCTTTTCTTTCTTTCTCTCTTCTTTCTCTCCAAATCCTTATGGATTCCTAGTCTATCCTTCGCCCTTGATCCAAATTTATCTTCTTCCACCCCACCATGCCCTTCCTCCGAGCGGGTTTCCCCGCCCTGGTCGTGTGCCTACTGCTGCTATTACCCCAAGTCCACGCCTTTGGTGCCGGAAGTATGTCTCTTCATCCATATCTAATTAACCCATCAAGTTGCTGACATACATAGATATTGCCTCGATCTCCGCCGTTGAGGGGAAAAACTGGCGCCATGGCGATATCGAAGACGTCCTCAAAACAGTCGCCTTCATCCACGGTCATAAATGGACCTCCACCATGGTCAAGCGCGTATACTTTGGAAATTGGTTGCGCGACTAGTGAGTCTGCGCAATGTTTGGGGAGGGACGTGGGGACCGGAAGACCCTGAGCTGACACATGCCACCAGTTCGCAGGCAATGGATGTCGGGACCCTGAAAAATCTCCAGGCCGAAACAATCCGTGTTCTTGTGTGGGTCCTCTCGTTCCTGAGTTTCGGCTATGCGACAGGCGAATTTGAAGTCACCTCCGATCGTCTCGGGGTTTATCGGCCGGAAGAACATATTGAGTATGTGAAAGAATAAATCTTTCTCGGGGGACTTTTCCACTAATTACTTCCCAGCAACCCTAAGGACTACGCCGACAATGAGGATGCGCGTCAGTTCGATAAGCGCCTGCGACCCCCGGTCCGCAATGTTGAGCTGGAAATCGACCCCGAAACGGGAATGAAGAACTATATCGCCAATGAGCACGGTGACTGGGCTACTAGTGCTGCCTATGTGAAATTCAGTTTAAGCCGTAGTATTCACTACGGACGCATGTACACCAATGGTGGGAACAGCAAGGGCAAGGAAGAGGATCTTTGCGAAGCACTCAGATGCCTCGGCCAGGGCCTTCACACGCTTGAGGACTTTGCCGCGCATACCAATTATTGTGAGCTGGTCCTTCGTGAGATGGGCATGCACAATGTGTTTCCGCACACTGGCACGGCCACCCAATGCAATGTTCGTGGACACCATGTCTTCCCGCTTGTTACTGGTACCTTTGGCATGGTTGATTTCTTTCACTCCGTGCTAGGAGAGGCTACCGATCACTTTACTCAGTCCGAGGTCAACGAGATGGACCTAGCACTGGGTGACGCAGAGAATAATGCCCAGTCTAATAACTCACTCAATTCCCTTACGGGGCTTTTGGGGAAAATTCCAGGTACAAGAGACCTTGTATCTGAAGCTGAGAACCTGAAGCATCAGTCCGACACACAGGAGACCCTCAATCGCTCTCGCGGGTCGCATATGGGCTACGCAGAGACTGGGGGATCTCGTGCTGCGACACCTCAGCCTTCATCTGGTAGCTCCGGCCCAGGTCCAGGTCTCAGTGGTATGCCGGATTTCAACCCCCAGGAGACAGTGTCCAAGATCTATCCCATTCTGGCCTTCCGCGACAAGGTGGTCCGGAAGCTCAATTCGATCATCGAAAAGGTTCCCGGGCTCGAGTCCATCATCGAGAAGATCTCGGAGACCTTGACCGTCTTTATCATGTCTCTCCTTGCACCTTTTGTGAGACCCCTGATCAACGCCGCCTCGAAGTCTCTGCAGACTGGATCTGCGGGCGTTGTCGAGGCATCAGGAAAGCACCAGTATGAGCCATGGACTGATCCACACTGCACTGATCCCACCCACTCGCTGCTTTCCAAGGACCACTTTGCCAATATTCTCAACGAACCCGCCGGACAGGTTGCCTCTGCGATTGTTAAGTATGTCGCTCCCCGTGTGCTTTACGCCTGGCAGCACACCGACGTTCCCGAGCAGGAAGTTCTTAACGACTGCTTGCGCGTATTCCATCACCCCGTTCTCCGGGATATGAGCAATGAAGCCCACCGATCGATGTTCGAGGCCGTTCAAAACTGGACTCACTCTCGCCCCGACCGTGGCGCTAACTTGAACGATGTCCTCAGCTCTGAGGGTGTCCGTTCTGGCAAAAACACCGGCGGTGTTCCTCACACACACGGCGGCGGCCAGGGTGGGTTCGCTGCACTTGGTGGAAACCATGGACATGGACACGGTCACAGCCAACAAGGGCAATCCTCCGGTGGTCATTCATCATTTTTTGGATTTGGCCAGTCACAGCAGCAGGGACAGCAACAGTCCCACTCGTCCTCCGGTTTGCCTTGGGATAAACTCTCCAGTCTTCCAATTCCCGGTATGTCGAACTTGAATAAGCTGCACAATCTTGAAAGTAAAATCTCAAACTTCATTCCCGGTGGGCTTTCGCATGGTTCGTCGAGGGGCGTTGAGGATGATGGTGCTGGAAATGCGGGTGGGGGCGGATCACAGCACCACCAGCAACATTCTGGGTATCAAGACCAGACCTATGGCCAGCATGGTCAACAAGGACATGGAAATGGCGGTTATGGATATTGAACTTGGCGGTACGATCATGCTGTAAATGCTTTATGAGGTAATGATGGTTTCAAGTTGTGGTGCGAGGGTGTGGTTGGGGTGTATTTGGATGGTGCATCTAGAGGTTAAAATATTGAGATAGGTCTTAATCGAATAAATATGGTCGATTCCAAGGTTAAGTGTCTGTATCTGTTCCAAAGTTTGCTTTAAGCTCCAACTTGAACCTTCCAAGGTTTGGTTTACTACTAGTACTACTAGGGCCACAGCTACCTACCATTTATACCATAATTACGAGAGCTCTCTCTTCTCTTTCCTCGGCGTTTTTACTTTTCGTTAATACTACACGATTATTTTATTTGTCTCGAGCCATAACACTCAAGGAAAAACAAAATGATTCTAGCTTAGGTGTAAGCATACAAATTTTCTAGCCTTACTATTGTGCAATTGCAACAATTACCTAGGTTGTAACGAACTGGTGTTGTAACCATTCGGGGATGCCTTGAGCCTGCGGCATCCACTAGGCATCAATGTCTACATGTATCTAGTTCCATCTCAGCTTCCTCCTTCTTCTCCTCAAGCTATTACTTTCGTCGAACCGCTACTGTTCCATTGCTTCGTATACTACGCTGTACGTTGATCTGTGAGCATCTGAGCATCCTCACATAGGTATATAAATTTGGACATCTTACCACCTGGGCAAATAAGATCTATAGAATAAAAGAAGATTGATATTTAATATCTAAGCGCCAAAGCAATAATATGAGGCCATAATTAGCCCAGGCCAGCCACCTATGTGACACACTATCATTGCCAGCAAAGCCTGTGCATTCAAGTTCTCAACTTTAAATTTATCTTTCTAAAACACACTAATTTCTTATCAATGCCCCTATTCATGTTGAACATGGTAGCATAGTGGATAGGGAATGTGATTGATTGAATCAACATGGCTAGATAATACAGAGATACATACAATCCCCGGCTCTTTTCCAGAATTCTTATCTCAAGAAATGCTGCTGTGTAGTTCATGCCACCTCTGAATCACCCTATTTTGCTCTTCACTCGACGCAGTACACATCTCTTCGATACCTTGTGTAATGCGGGATTGAATGATTTCCTTAGACTTGCTTTTAGAAAGTGAGCTGCGCACATTTTTTTGCAACCCATCTAAAGGAAACCCTACTAGACCCAAAAGACCTATGCGAATTTTGTTCACCACGCCCGTGTGCCACATTGGGGACATATTCTTACCTGCAGTCGGCTTGAAAAAAACACCTCCCACACCCTTCCCAACCCCTTTCACCAATCCTTTGCTTCCACTATTCCGGAACCCCAGGGTGGGCTGGGTAATGAGTCCTGACACTCCATGGTAGAAGCCTTGGCGCATTTCCTATTCGTAAGTGAGCTCATCGGTTATCAACTGGAGTTTACGCACGATCGCTTACTTTGCCCGCGGCTCTGAAGCCGCTCTTGATCCCGATGACTTTTGGTATCGATTCCACTGTCTTATCACCGTAAAGCTTTGGGGCGTTGTGAAATCCTTTCGAGAGACTCAGAGTGAAATCGGTTGGCAACACTAACAGAAAGTTTAAGGCATATTTCGCAGACTTCGCAACGCGGTATTTTGTTTCGGACAAAGCATGTTTGACATGGCTGTAACCTTTATAGGGCGCTTTGGTGTTTCCCGCCTTCATGGAAACTTTGTTGTGAATAGAGCCTGAGTCATGGATGGGAAGGGCTTGATGTTCTCTTGGGGGCTCATCTGTAGCAGAATGGAGGGTCTGGTCTCTTGAGGAAGTATCTCTTGTACTCTCATGAATATCGGCCGAGCTCTGAACGAGGCCATTTGTGTCTGTGGCAGGTTGACTGTCTCTCCTGTTTTGCTGATTCGACAGGCACTCCGCAAAATGTGACATCGCCCACTCTCTGCCTCTGTAATCCTTTGGCAGGTTTTGGGATTGCGACCTAGACACTATGCGTAGGATTTGTCCCGGAACACGCGCGAATCCAATCACGAGATCAGTCATAAAGCCATATAAGACTTCTGCGCCGGCGAAAAGAGGACCACGAGGGTCGCGGTTGGTGTCGTATTCCTGAGCTCGATACCTAAGACCGTCAGATCAATTTCGAGAAATCATTTGTGTGGAACTCCTACAGTATGACATCTCGTGGCTTGACGTGGCCAGTATGTATCAGTATTGATGCCGCAAAAGCGCTGAGTTTGATGTGTGAATGCCGAAGCCACCACACAGCCGGTCGATCGGGGCAAATGGAGCATTTTAGCTTGTCGATATCCAAATGTCGGTGAAAGCTTTGGACAGCGTTCCGTACTCCTTGTTCGGAGCGTATGTTCTCTCCTATTTCCCTAGCACATCTCTGGGTCCTTTCTCCCAAAGCTTCTTCAATCGCCTCGGCCAGTCTTTCGGCTGTCAGCTCTTTGAAAGGGATGGGTGGTGGACCGGCACCAGCTCGATCAACAATGGAGCCCCAGAATGGCTGGTCTCCAAAGAAGGGAACGACAACTGTTGGGCGACCGAAGAGAAGACCGGCGGCTGTAGTTCCAGCACCACCATGATGTACAACACAGGATACTCGACGAAAAAGCCAATCATGGGGACAAGACTCCAAGAGATATATACCATCCGGGACCTCACTTTCTCCGCAGCCTAGCTTGCTCCACCCTTTTGAAATAAGTGCACGACGGCCTGTCCGGCGAACAGCTTCGAAAAGGGTCTCTGTCAGCCTCTTAGGGTCGTCGACAACGATAGAACCAAATCCAATGTATATTGGAGGCTCCCCCCACCTCGAGAAAGGCACTAAGCTCTTCGGGGGGCTGGAATTCCGACTCATTCGAAAGAAATTGAAACCCACAGATATCTATGTTATTGGACCAATCTTCCGGCTTTGGCAGGAGAGACGGAGACCTGTTGCACTTAGCTTCAACCAGTATCTTGGCTCGGTTGTTACACGAGGTGACTTACCAGAGATAGGAGTACGGGATGTTTAAACGGTGGACCATGCTAGGTGCCCGAATAGCGTCCAGTGGGTCAAGTCCTAGCTCGTTCTTACGAAAATGGTTGATAAGATCTCCAAGTCCTTCCCACATCATGACTTCCACAATCCCATAAGATGCAAAGTTCGCGACAGAGGGCTTGGTGTTTTGCGAGTGAATATTGGCTAGGGGGTGCGAGAATGATTGCGTTGGGGACCAAGGCATGCTAGAGAATATGGTGAGCCCTGAATTACGGGATCTATATCATCTTACATACGTGAACATCATATTCAAAGGAACTCCCAGCTTTTCGGCGCAACTCAGGTGGACAAAGCCGGGAGGGTTCGCGATAATAACATCTGCAATAAATGGTCGTGCACAGGAGTCTACAGCACCGTCTTGCACATGTTCAAGGATATGATGCATTGACGTTCCATCTCCCGCCTCATAACATGAGCGCCAGCATCCAGAAAAGATGGTTTTCATTTCGCGGCGGCGCTTCTGTATCGCTCCACTGCGGATGGTGCGCATGCCTGGCAGCAAGCCAGGGTTTTGGACCATAAATGCCATCAATTCCTCGGGGTTACCACCGATATTGAAGAATTCGAGTCCCATATTAATCACATCTTTACGAAAAGCCATATGGGTGGCAAGTCGAACGCGATGCCCGTGCTTTTGGAGCTCTTGGCCCAGAGCGACAAATGGCTGAATATCGCCCCGAGACCCAACAACCTGTATGACGACGTTTAGAGTCAAAGGAAAGACGGTCTGATCTTCCGGGACAGTAACCGAGCTGGGATGCCTTTCTGCATCAGAATGTGATGATTGCTCAACGTGTTGCATTAGAGTAGAAAGCCAGGGCTTATGCCGGTGCTGCCGGAAATCGATTTCCAGCCTTCCATTTTCTGGCTTCGTGAGTTAATGCGAACAGGAAATCTAAGTGGGATGGTCGGGACGAACCCTCTACACGGACACCAGTGCTGAGTTCCTGGTCTCTAATGGTTGTTCCATGTCCATGGGATAATTCTTGAGCGTTTAGCCGTTCGCGTGGCCCATCTTCTGCTGAAATGGCACTCTGCCCTCGAGATTCTGCCAGAGTCGCCATAGTTGGGAGTCCAGAGATGAATTTTGGGCAAGATCGCAGTGAGGTCCAGTGCCCATAGGATCATGATGGATTGCCTGGAATGACTCGTTCATTTAGTATCGCTCATGTTTTATCATGTTCCACCACCAGATTGCCTCGGGAAAATTTCAAAGCTCTTGGATTTTGGATCTGGGCGGAACACCAGACCTGTCAATTCTGTTCTAGACACCGGGCCTCCAATGGTGCTACTTTACTGCCGATGTTGGTCTGCAAATTAGGCTTCCCCAAATAAGCTGGGAAATTCTTTCTGAGATCAACAATACAGCCATTCGCGAGAGCCGCGGAAGTTTGAGCTTGATGCAGAAAAGCGGTCATGACCTCATGATGTCACAGATAGTTTCCCGCTTTGGAGTGGGAAAATGCATCTAACCATGGCAAGATGGGGGCCGCAGTAACGGAAATGGTTTAAATTATTTTGAAGGGGGCTTACCAGAAGCCCATAACATACCCGAGCTACTAAATAAACATCCATTGTGGATTACGGCAATGAACCTTTCCGACCACCAAGTGGACGGGCCTCTGCGATTATTTGTGGAATAATAAGCAGAATGCTGGCACTTCAGATTCGGGAATCATTGCTATGTCGAGCCCGGCTGATGGATGTATGATCAGCGATGGAAACCGAAAGCAGGAAGCAAATTTTACCATAATGGGTTTTCACGTCAGCTGCGGAAGCTTGTTCTGGGTGAGTTCAGTGTGGCTGAACTGCAATCATGACTCGGGTATTCGCAGACGTGAAAATTCTCTGAACCGCGGTTTCCAGTAGCCCAGATAAAATCTAGGCTCCGAATCATTCGCCTCGTCACAAATCAAAGTTATATAGATAATATTAGCTTGCCCAGACCTCGACAGGCTCTTGTACGAATTAGTTGTCTTGATACCGAACCGACACGTGTTGAATTATCAGATCACTTCCTGTCAGCAAGACCTAGGGGTGGGATCTCCAACCCTTCGGCATTGATCAAGCAACTGGAACGATCCACTATGGACGATCGGTCCCATTGTAAATAATATCTGGGTCATATAGCCATAAGATGCTCCCCCACACAACAGCCCTGCCGGGCTAGCTCAATCGGTAGAGCGTGAGACTCTTAATCTCAAGGTTGGGGGTTCGACCCCCCCCGTTCGGCTATTCCTACAAAAATCTACCTGAGATATCTTTTTGCCCATCGTGTAAAATACATCCAACCAGGATGAGTTAGAACTCCCATATACTGGTTGTTGTTTTTTTGGCCGGTCGCAACATGGATCGATCATCCACCCGATACCATGGTATAAGTTGATGTCCCAATATAAAACCAAGTAAATTTCTGCTCAGTATGGCGAAATTTCAGCAGATAACAAAAAATGCCCTTCACGCAAATTACAGAATAGGATGCACGAAGAGCCTAATTTACGATTGGCAACTTTGGTAGATAATCGTAATGCCCGGTTTTCTGGAGGCTTTTCTACTCATGGCCATGTCAGATAGATCAATCAGCCTCGGCCCACAGGAAACACCCTTCGAAAAAATCAAGATATTCTGTTTTCCAAACCACTACTGCTGTTTTTGTCTGGTACCATTATGTGATTGATACCTGATCTCTGTGAGTATCTCTGGGCATCCATCCACCTTAACAATATCGATCAAGATAGGTGGACAAAAGTTCAAAAAAATTGTGAAAAAATGACAAGAGTGGGATTCGAACCCACGCCCCGGAGGACTGCGGAATTATAGGAATTGACCTAAACACAGCGCCTTAGACCACTCGGCCATCTTGCCTGGACTTCAAGTCATTTTTCATGTGGCCATAAAGAGTTCTATACACTGGTAATGCCCGGGCAATTACGCTATTATCAACTTACTACCGGATAGCCTTTGTCCCTCCTACTTGTAACACTCTGGACCAGAGGCTACTTCCTTTTCGGGCTTAGCGCGGTTCCTGAGCCTCACTCTCTCTTTTCATCTCTTCTCTACACTTAGTATCGCGTACTCAATGCACTTGTTTCTTGCAATCAGGCCACTATTACACTCCTCTTCTCTTCTCTAGTATGCTTGTTATTTTTATGAATACTACTATATTATTGCTTAATCTTACTATCTATAACTAAGCCTATTGCAATGATTTTCTCTCTTTGCTTTTTCCCCCAATTCTACCAGGTTCCTTAATATCAGCTCCCTAGTAGCTTAAGGAGAGAGAAGAAAGCTAAGACAAAAGTTAGATACAGTGTGAGGATGCTCAGATGCTCACAGATCAACGTATAGCGTAGTATACGAAGCAATGGAACAGTAGCGGTTCGACGAAAGTAATAGCTTGAGGAGAAGAAGAAGAAGAAGGAGAAAGCTGAGAACTAGATACATGTAGGCATGGGTGCCTAGTAGATGCCGCAGGCGTAAGGCATCCACGAATGGTAACAACACCAGTTCGTTACAGAAGCACTAAATCCAAACAATGAAAAGGCCATGATTTTGATTAACCTCTTAGGCGAGAGCAATTTACTATAAATGGGTCTTAAAACTGTCGCTTTAAGATAGGGCGTTTCTGCTCAGATGAACGATATTAGTGGAAGATTGTCAAATATTGCCCGTGAGAACCATGGCAGAGTGCTGCATACTAGTAACTAATGAATAGTAGTACTACTAGTACAAAATCTCAGAGTCTCTCAGCATCTACCTCTGAGAACTTATGATGCGTATCGGGAAGAACAGTAGCAGGTATTGCCATATATTCCGTGGCACGCTATAATAAACCCTTTTTAACAAGAAGAAAGAGACGACTGTCCCTTGCAGGAAGCAGTCGATTTCAGCTTGGGGCTCTCTCTGCCCTCTGACTTATCGACTCCTTCAAACTCCTCGCACACGTGGCTGACGGATCCACAGGTGCCGCTAATATTCGAGGTATCGCCGTAGTTGGAGTTGATTCCTACCAAGGTAGACACCCCCTTGGCCTTGACGTTCTTGACCACCACATGCCGGGGGCTTTTGCTCTTGTTGTTGCTGCAGTTGCCGCATGATCGGTACAGCTTGCCTGCATTCACTACTGTGAATCCATCAATGGTGACAGTTCCTGCACCATTGTGCTGCACCACCTTGTCGCTGGCCTCTTGGGCACCTCCACCTTTGATGAGGGCATTTCCGGTTCCGAGGATGGAAATGGCGTCCTATAGGGCCGCGTTAGTACCAGTAAGCCATATATATAAGGGAACTACTCACTTCACAGACATCACGGAACCAGACGTTGGTCAAGGTGCAGGATCCCTTGCAGTGGATGCCTTCGAGTTGGTTCTTTCCAATAATCACGTTGCTCAGCGATGCTCCATCCTTCAAGATGAACACGGCGTTTTCGTCGCCTATATTCAATTAGCTCTGTGCTTTTGAATTAGTTCTTTTATTAGGTACATACCAGTGTCATCATCATTGTCGCAGGCTCGACCACGATCGTACTCGCGGTTGCCCAGATCAACACTGCCTGAGATCTCACTAGGAGAAGGCAGAGAGATAATATTACCCACACGAGAGGGGATGTTGAGAGTCTGGGCACTGGCAATGCCAATGAGACCAAGGATGATAGCGCTGGAATGCATTTTCCTCGGTTGATACTGCAACTTAATAGTTGATGCTTGATGCTTCATCAAATCGAGGGTCAACGAGGATATTTATATAACTTTGGAGCTCATGACAAGACAAGACAGGACCTACTCTGCACTGTCCCAGTCACAAATACTACGTCCGATTGGAGGACCCTTAATATCCATGAAGAAATTCTACGACCTTTGACTGGATGGAATTACTCCACCGCTCCCTCGAGGTCATGCAGGGTCCAGGTCACCGTTTGACTTGGGTGCATTCTATCTCTGCCTTTCGCGGGAATATAAGACATCTTCTAACGGCGTATCTTCCGCCTTGGCGCTTCATTGTTTCATGTAGCCAGTACCAAGCCATATTTACAGTGAAAATGCCAAATGCCAAGATGCCAAGATACGGTGAGCTTTTGGCATCGTGGCTGTGTCTGCGGATTGCATGACCGGGTCCGACTTCCAGTACATAGGTTCACCATGTTGAGATATTGGCCCGTGTTATCCATCCATATAAATATACCATCTGCATAATGGTAGTCCTGTCTTGTTCACACTGTGAGGATGCTCGGAAACTCACTGACAAATTGGGGATCTAAATCCAGGGTTCATGGCTTTCCCGCGGTGTTGGAAAGGGTAGAGAAAAGGTCTGTTTGGTTCGATGGAAGGTCTTCGATATTTGCGTTTAGCTTTAATTGGAATATGTAAATTTATTTTGAATTCATTCTTCGGATCGGCCTGAGATACTAATAAAAGTAGTCTGAATGAATCGCTTCGTGTCATTTGAATTATCGTACTGTTAAGTCTGCCTCAATGACGACAGCTTAGTAGTCTGACGGTCTCCTCATAAATTGGATGTATACCTGTTTGTTTTTGTATTCCTCTATTAAAATCCCCCCGTATCGCCCCCTATCTCGTCCAATTTAGATTACACCCAAGTATGTCTCACACCCCCAAGGGGGGGTTCTCTTAGTGGGAAGTCTCACTGTGTCTTCCAATGAAGAAGCATTCAAGCTGTGCGTGGCTCTACCAGCCCACCTAGCATCGATTCCCGATGGCGAAACTGGGGACAGATACAATTGGATTGGCTGGCAGCGCGAGAACTTCCCTAAGGTTCAGAATTGGCGGTGTTCCACTTCCCAAAGACCACGAAGGAATCTTCACCCAGGACGATGTCAAGCCATCCGGATACGACCTAATTGCGAAGGAGTCAAACCAGAAGTACAAGGAGCTTCGCCATCAAGGTATCATACCTCCAGGCGTACGGTTTCAAGTCTCGCTCCCTTCACCACATGCCTGTATCCAGAGTCAGATACGACCGGAGTTCCAAGAGCAACTGGAGCCCTTCTATGGGAAGTGAATTTACGATAGAGTCGATCGCTGAAGAGATTCCCGCGGACGACCCTTCAACTGGATCTCAGTTTTGAAGTCACTTCGCTAGAGTATGAGCCTAGAGTATGAGCGAGGTCGACCGAATGACGAATTATTTAAGCCGTATTTTTCTCCAATTTTTAACGGAGCTCTCAGTCGCTTCCAACACATGGTAGCTCATATAGCCTTCAATGTCCCATTGGGGGGTCCCCCTGCTATGGCGACTTGGATCACAAGCATCTCATCGAGCCGGAAGACATGTAAATGGTTGTGGACTTTGTCAATGATATTGCCAAAAAAATCTCGCATACGAATGGATTGATCTGGCAGTACCTAAAAGCAGAGATGACCCGGAGTATTTTGCACCTTTGGCACGGCTTGATATTGGTACAGGGGCAAAACTCTATCTTGGATTGGTACACTTCAATGACGAAGAGGGACCCAGGAGGAGGAATCGAGCGGCACAAATTGTTGTCAAAGATTTTGGAGTGGCAACCGAGTGTGGTATTGGAAGAACTCCAGCAGACCAGCTGCTGCCAAACATACTTCAGATTTCAAGAGATGTGACTATAGGCGGGAATGATTGCGAGTAAGTGGAAGTAAATGGATCTCTCAGGGTCGAAAATTGGCAATATGAGATTTACTGTTAGCTAAGCAAGAAAAAAGAAATATGAGATACGTTAGCAAACGAAACAAAAGGAGTTGAAGATCTCGCCTGGGAAGTAAATTATGATGTGTCGATTTCGCGTTTGTAGTTCCCCCCCCCTCCAACCCCAAGCATGTGGACCGCCTGCGGTGGAGACCGACTTTTTGACTCTGGCACTTACACGAGTTTATGCCCAGGTGGTATCCGACCACCAAAACCATCGTCATGGTCGCCAAGTGGCCCAGCATACCTCCGATCGAGGATGAATGTATTGATACCCTCGGCCTGATCGAGGGGTTCAAAGACCAATACATGGAAATATGCTCGCACACACTGAAACACCCGACTGCGGCAGCTCCGGCGGGCTATGTTATGGGTTTGATGTTCCACGCGAATAAGGTCATTACTTTACTGGCTGAACAGCTTCAATCTTCCTATCAAAAGAAATCGGGCTTGGAGGAAGCTCCCCCCAATCCAGAGCCCCGGACCGTTCCAAATGCAGGTGTAACGCTTCCCAATTCCCCGGCCCCTGGGCCGTCTCAAATCGTCGCGCAGGCCAGTGCGAATGGAATTGAGGCCCACGCGGTCGCTGGGAGAACCCGAGATCTGAATGATGGACTTCTCAATGGGGCTCCCCAGAATAAAAACCCGGAACTTGTCCCGACGCGCGTCGAGGAACATGTTGACGACCCGATGGACGAGGAAGGGGATGCGAATGAGAAGGAGATTCAAATCGCAGCTTCCAAAAGTTGCAAAGAGAATACCCAGAAAGATAAAGCCGACAGTGGAAACTCCTCTATGCTCCAATCTGATTCTAGTATGGCCGACGCTCATATGGCTCATACTCCAACGGCCGCTGGTGCCACAGTCGACATCGAAATGGCAGACATCAGCATGACTGAAAGCAACACTGTCGAGAATGGGTTAAGTGACCCGCTCAGAGAAGACATGTTAATCGCCGGGGATGAGGACCCAAATGAAGAAGGCGAAGACTACCACTTCGAAGATGACGGACTTGATGTGACGTCTGTATTGTCATCAGATATCGCAGTGACTGAACACAACAACCCAGTATCCGAGGAACCCCTCACGGCACCAATACTGTACACTGGCCCGAATTCTTTCAGAATACGCTGGGAATGCTCTGATCCCCCATACGCAGCACAGGCGTATCAACAATACCACCAAGACCCCCAGAAAAAGCCACTAGCCATCGTTATCGATTTGAATAAAGCACTGCACACTAGCAGCGACACAACTTTGAAGAAGAAGTTGATCAAAACTGTCCAAGTTCAAAGATCGGGGGACTTGGATGTGTATCCGTGGGAGGGGTCAAATATAGAGTACCTTATTCAGAATGCTCAATACTGGTTTCCTCACCTCAAGAAAGGTGATGCTGCTCGGGTATCTGGCCGCTACGTTACAGGCGTTGATGGCCAAGATCCTTCATCCGAGGGGATTTCAGCACCAACAGGTGTTGAGCAGGTGTTACCATTTGCCCTCAGGATCTGTTGGAAAGGATCGCGTTCTCCGTACAAAAACTGGGAGTCCGACCGTGCAGTACAGTCTATTTCACAGTCGATTACATCTGCTCTACGATCAAGTCGCATACGTGGTCTGTCGCAGATGAAAATTTTCTATATCGAGCACCGGCCTGAGTTCGGGGATATCATACTCTACCCCAATGGTCACTCGGAAAGGGAAGAGCTCATCAAGCATGCTCATTCTTGGATACCTTACCTCGAAGATGGAGATTCTGCCTGGCTTCCGGGCTTTTATTACACGGACACCAAAGGTAAACCCACGCCCAACCCTTTTGAGAATGTGCATTTCCAGCCATCGTCGCTACTTGGGATAACTTGTTGTCCATTCTACATCACACTGAAAATGACCGAATTCCACGCCATGGCCTGGAAAGAACAGGGAGGGTCTCTTTCTGAAATGAGAGAACGAGTTGACACTGCGCTGAAGCGGAGTAGTGATCCCGAAGTAGCTGCGGTCAAAATCTCAGGCATTGTTCATGAAAGCGAGACTAGGTCGTTGCATGTTCATCTCAACTCAATCGAAGACCGCCATATGCTGCAAAAAAATATCGATAAGTGGGATCTCGGGATTTTCGAAAATCCCCCGCCCGTTGCAATGAAATCCACGGAGAACGATACGCAGAGGAGGAAAGAGGACCAGAGAACGATCACACCAAACCAGAGCAAGAATCGAGATCCCAAACCCGGGCCTTCATACACTCTAAGCAAACCAGTGGTTCCGGGGTACAATGGCGCACACGGCGGATCGGTACCGCAAGGGCCTAGGGATCAAACCTCGACCTCCCTGCCCTTCAACGCACCGGACAGACCAGCTGCATTCGAGCGCAATGGTATTGCCACACAGAAAAGACCGGATGATCAAGGGCCCAAAGATCACATCTCCAAGATCCCATATGTCCACCCATCACGAGTGCAGCAAAACGGTGTGCCTAGAGGACCGGATCCTCGAGGGTCTAATATCGCTCCAAACCAGATGCCTCTCAACAATCCAAGGTTGCTAGCTGCACCTGTCTACAATGGTACGCGGCGCAGATCGGAGCCGCAAGAGCCAAATGGCCAACCTCCCAATAGACTTCCCCTCAACAATCCAAGAATCCCAGGACCATCCGGGTACACTGGCACACATCACAGATTCGAAACCCAGCAGCCGGAGGTCCAGGCCCCCATTTCTCAACCCTTCAACCCACCAAACGGGCCAGCTGCAGCCCAAGCCCCAGCCCATGGTGGTAAAAGCAGAAAAGGAAATCGCGAGCCGGCAAGACCGAACAAGTTGGCTCAACCGCAGAATAATTCGAACCCACCCAATCCCCCGAGGCCTGGAAATGCCGAGCAGGGCAAGAGGTCGAAAGGAGACAAAAGACGCGATGCTCGCCACCGGCAGAAAGCTCGGATGCGAGAAGTCCAGAACAAGTAAATTAGACAGGGCTATGTGTATGAAAACAAGGTGGAGAATTAGATGCGACTTTTCATAGATTTCGCATAGGCAGGTTGGACTAGCAGGATTACAATCTCCAATATCTAAAGCACTTGAGCTATCCCTCAGGCCTTTATCTTTCGGATGACGACGAATTTGCAAATGAAAATGAACAAAATAAACTAAAAACCTACTACCGCAGTAAGATCAATCGAACTCAAGTAAATTTTCCTTATAGTCAATGTTCTAAAGTGATAGATCCATCTTAGGCCCTTTCTTTCAGATCGTCGATCCTCCGCCTTGGTCGGACGTCATTGAAACCCACACGCGTTTGATACGCGTCGTGAGAACACCCTTGCACAACACACTACGATCACCTACCAGCATGGTATCCCCATGGCCAACGGCTCCTCCGATTGGGGATGATACCGAAAGCGTTCGCGGCTTAATAGACAATTTCAAAGAACAGTACGGACATGTCTTTTCGCACACGACTGAAAATCCGACCGCGTCGGCCCCTGCGGGCTATGTCATGGGTTTGATGTTTCAAGCCAACAGGGTGATTTCGCTGATGGCCGAGAAGATGAAGAATTCTTCAGACCCTCAATTGGCGCATCTATTTGACTCAGAGTTGTCATCTACGACAGAGGCATCGCCTGCTGTGGAAACATCAGTCGTCGAACAATGCGCTGTCGATGCCTCTAAGCCCAGCTGGTCGGAGAAACACAGCCCAGGAACTATGATAAAGCTTGCCTGGGACATGGAATATCCACTTCATCCCTATACACCTTCCGCATTCCAGGAAATGGCACACGCTGATGTTCTCAAAGAGTTCGAGGCTGCGCTGCATCAGAGTTGCGACAGTGAGCTCCAACGTATTGTCTTCAAATATATCAGAGCCTTTGAATAGGGAGAGATAGGGATATGTACGTTTACGCCATTGGATAAGAAACTTCTCATAGAGAAATCCCATCTTTGGATGCCATTCCTACAGCATGGCGACTATGTTCGATTCGCAGAGGACTATCAACCAATTATCGATCGATACTTGACTGTCTCTGCTGGGTATGAAGCGCCGATCGAAATTGTCTGGAACTTATACGATAATCTCTACGTGCCAGGTGTAAAGTGGAGATTTCAAAACCATCCCGCAAGTTTCCTTTTCAAGAGCTTCCACTTGGCGCTGGAAAGGTCTGGGAACCCCGAACTCGCTAAAATCCGTGCTACTATGGCGATGCGTCGTTGTTCCAGGGGGATTAACATATACGTTGATTCCCGAGAAAAGCGGGATATCATACTTCGAAATACCTCACTCTGGGTTCCTCACAGGGAATGGTTGGTGAGGGCCCAAATCGCGTCTGTTTGCGGCCAGGCCATGTATTTGAAGGCACCCAATGCTCCACCGATGCCCGGTCCAGACTCACAGGCGAATATTTCAAATGGATCTTCGACCGGTGTCAAGGCTAAACCTACACCTGATCATTTGAATGGCCAATCTGCTGTCCCTCAACAATCTGGTCCTCAACCCCAAGGCCCGCATAGCCCCCCAGAAGGGCCATGGCTGAAGCGAAAGCGACAAAAGCTTCGCAGCCAAGAGAAAGCCAGCGAAAAATACGAGGCATGGAAAAAGGCTCTACGCGATGACCCAAATGCTCGCAGTTACAAACCATACATGTGACAAACGGCAGAATAAATGTACATTAGTTGATGAAGATGTTGATATTGATTAATAAATTCTGAGATACAGCCCTAACAATACGGGGCGTAGAAATATAAGAGACAAGACCCATCTATCCAAGACACCTGCCCCGACAGGGCAACCCAGCCCAATCATCACTCATAAGCTATATGAACCCAAGACCATCCTATACTCCATCTCCATCCATAATTGGAGATAATGCAACGCTCAAGAAATTCCCACCTCACAAGACCCAATTACAGCTTTGTTCCTTCACGCCCACTATCGCTTGGTCTCCGAGGCCGAAGGGGTCCCAAAGATGGGCCGGCGGCTTGGCTAGGCCCCGGTGCGGAAGTTGATGTCAACTGCGAGCGAGGCGATTCTGTACCAGCAGTGCTGGTATTGGTGCGCATGCCTCCTGCTCGAGCACCATTGTGAAGACGGGGATTCATGAGCCACTGAACTTGCATACGGACGCTGTTGACAGCAGCATTTGTGTGGGCCATATCCTCTTTGATCCGAAGACATTCATTCATGATCGTCATGCTAGCACGAGCGTCGAGATCTGTGAGAGCGTGTGACATTTGGCTGACTTCCTCGCGCAACGATTCATGGAGCGAGAGAAGGTATGTCGTGGCATTAGATGAGAAGACGTTTGAAGAGTTCGTCAAGTCGTCAAAATCGTCAACCTGGTTCTGTCCGTCTCTTTCGCCATCAGTAGCAGCTCTACCGCTACCACGATGCCCCTCACTCGCGCGGGCGGACTCGAGTAACGTAGAACGAATATTTGAAAGCCCGTCCTCGAATATTTCATTTCTTTGTTGGAGATGTCGCATTGTCAATTCAAGAGAATTTAGCCGGGTGTTCTGGGACTCGAAATATGGTCCGATAGAGACTAGTGGACAAGATTGTTCATGGGTTGCGATTTCTGCCCGACGGATCTTGGCTGTACAACCGTATTTGGACGCCACGCAAGGGCTCACAACTTCAGCGCAAGTTTCAATATGTTTTTTCAGCTCTCGCTGCGGTATTGTGGTCCCACAATCCACACAGGTCGTGTCGAGACTAGGGCATAGCTCTTTATCATGTTCCTACAGAGCGGCTTTTGTCAGCATGGCTGCTTTAGCGCCGATAATTGGTATTCAAGGGATACGAACCTCGTAGTCCTGTTCCATTATATCCTGCTCGCAACGCGTGCACAGATAATAGCTATGCATGCATCTCTCTTCCCGCTGAAGATCCTTTTTCCGGGTCATCTTATCACAGGACTCGTCCGGGCACGGCAAGGGCCGATACCCGCAGTATTTATCCACATGCGACTGGACATGGCCCCGCGGAACGATTTCCTGGCAGCCCTCCGCAAGGAAAGGACACCGCACTTGAATCTCGTCGCACATATTTATTAAAAGGCGGGGGACGTTTGTCGAGACCTGGCTGGTGGGGGTTCGGCAAGAGGGACACGGGAACTCTTCCGAATCGGCCGAGTGGAAGGTGGTGATTGCGGATCGAAGGCATTTCTGGCAGAACACATGATCACATTGCAGGCGTGCCGGTTGAATTAAAGGGCAGTGGCAGATTGGGCACATCAAATGTGAGTCGTAGCTGGAGACGAAGTCAAGGGAGCGCAAGTCGACTGGCATGTCATGGTCACTGTTGACCTCGGGGTCGAAAGCCAGAAAGTCCTGGATATTCATGATGCGCGGAGATAACCACCTGTCTCAAATTCCATGAAGCTGTTTCGTGTAGTCGAGAGCCTTTAGATGTAGGTGTTTTGAAGAAAGAAGACTTTCCCGGGGGGAATTGCGGTATTAGCTTGTGAATGCGGCGGATATTCAGGCGGGATGTAGATGCCGAGGTCAAGGGCAGGTCGATCACGGGGAGCAAAGAGCCCCTTGAGGATAAAACTTGATCAGAAGAAGGTCATCCAGTGTATGAGATAAGGGGGATCTCAAGTCCGAGTCGGAAGAAGCACGAATTCAAGGGGTTACATGCAGATGGGAAGAAGAAGTAGAAGAAGGGTGGAGTTGCGGGGAGGCAAAAGGCGGCAGGCCCAAAAGGAAGCGGCAGATCGCAGACCCGCGCTCGGTCATGTCGGGGTTCCCTTAGCTGCAACTCTCGTCTCACCTCACCTCATTCCACCACGATATCTCCTCCAACCATCTCTTGTTCCGACTGATTATCCCAGTCGATTGGACTGGTTGTCTCTCGCTTTGACCATATATTCCCCCCAGGGGCGCTCAAATACTCGAAATACTTCGTTTCACGACCAACCCCCCGTCTGACGCCATCGCCATGTCGAACCCATCTCAGCTCTTCCTTCTCGCTGATCACATCAAGCTCTCACTGCTAGAGCGACAACGTGCTATATCTCTTGATCTTGAGCCCAATGCCCAGGATGGCGAGATTTCCCGCTCCCTCGACTCCCTCCGAGAGGGTATCCAAGCCGTCGAAGCCGAGCAGGCTCATCTCGCTGAATCCAACGACAGCACTGGCGCTGCCGCCCTAAAGGACCAGCTGGGCCCCCTCAATGCCCAACTCCGAGACCTATCCTCCCAGTTTTATGGCACTGATTCCGAAGCCTCCAACCAGGATGCGGGTGTTACCAACCGGCCCGCAACATCGCCCGATCTCAAACAGCCCGTTCCACAACACCCTCCATCAAAATCGGTGCGCTTCATGGATAATTCGGCCGCGGCCGCGGCTGTACAACAGGAAATTGATGAGGAAGAGCGTGATCGCCGGAATGTTTTCCCCTATCGCGATGAGCCTTCGCCCGTTGACCAGTCTGATTGGTCTAATCAGCAGATTCATGATCATCACTCGGAGGTGATGCGCGATCAGGACGACCAGTTAGATCGGCTCGGCGAGTCGATTGGCCGGCAACATGAATTGAGTATTCAGATTGGAGATGAGCTGGATGGTCATGTTGCGCTACTGGATGGGGTTGATGACGACGTTGACCGCCATCAGGGTCGCCTAAACAATGCGCGGAAGCGGATGGATCGGTTTCGACGCAAGGCAGGTGAAAACTGGAGTATGATGACAATCATCGGTCTAATAATTATACTGGTTATCCTGATTGTGATTCTGAAATAAGATAACTGGCGGGCTCGGTTTTATCTTCTCTGTTCAACCCTATCTGTTGCGAGCGGGCGTTTTCTTTGGGGTATATTATGGGATAGCTCTCTGTTTGGCCTCTTTGGCCTCTTATCAAGTCGTTCCTTGGCGTTGGGATTGATCCTATTAACATGTCGCCGGTTCCCCCGGTTGAAATTCTACTTCTACATCTACAAGCACTCTGCCGTGTCTGTCCGATTTCATTTCATTTGCAATATCGTAAACATAAGCATAAACATAGACAGACGCATGATACCGGATCCGTCCGAGTCTCACAAAGAATTTCCATTAAAATGACAATCTGACTCAGGCGTCAGGTTCTCTTTCTCCGAATACTGATTGTCTGCTAACACCTTAGACTCCTGGAGACCTTGTAGATGGATGGCTCAGGTAGCCTTTGCCTTCCTAGCCTTCTCCTTCTCCTGCCACTCCTGGAAGACTTTATCGTGCTCGACCTCACCTCGGTCAGCCTTGACCTAATAGCGCGGTAAATTAGTACTAGCTTGACTCGACTTCTCGACTGGGGATAGGACTCATACATCAGCCTCGCTGTTGCTCGCAAGCTCAGGCTCCCATTTCCCTTTCCCTTCTTTGGCCCTCTTCACCTGGGAAACCTTTTGTGTTTCATAGATGTTTGGTAGATCATCACGGTCTGTACTTCATATTTAGTATGTCCGCTTGAGAGTTGTAGCGATTGCAAGGTGGCTCACTCTTATCGGATTCTTTGAGACTGAATCGTGGGGCAGAGGTGTGAATTGAAGCAGCCGTCGACCGGATGAGGAGGGATCGTGGGATTTGACGGGTGCTGTTTCGAAGAGGAGTGAGGAAGGACATGGTGAAACTTGAGGTTTGAAATGGAATTCTCCTAACTAGGTAGTACCTGTTAGAACAAGTGGCCCGGGAAGTTTGGAGATATATATGGATTCGACAGATGAGCAGCTAGCGATGACGACTTCCCCCACAGCCCGCCAAGCCTAGGAGTGAAGCTCCAACGCCATCTGGTCATCATGAGAGTGACGACCCACGTACCGATATTCGGAGAGATTGCTAGTACACCTTTCAAGATAGTGCTGGAGGTGTCTAGATGGTTGAGATGAAGGCGCAGATGGAGGGTTTCAAGAAGTCAAAGTAGGTGGGCTAAGCTGCTCCAGAATAACCCCGAGAGTTTTAAGCAACAATAGCCACAAGGCCCAATTAAGGCATTTCTATTCGCGATCCCTGGCCGAACGGCCGATTTGACTGGCCATGGACATCGCATTCGAAGCCGTGACGTCAGCAATACCTAACGGTCGCTCGGGTTGGCGGAGAACAATCGCAGGCGCCGTTCGGGTTATCCATTTTCATTCAGTGTAGATAATATTACTTGAACTACTCGTACAGAATCTAAATCAACACCTATTACACCGAGGTCATGATGTACTCAAATATAGGCATGAGTGCTAGCTACTACTACACCATGCACACAGCTTGAGCATTCCATCCCGAGTGCATCAGATACCATTCTCGCCCTCGTGGAATATCATGACATCATGAATAACACGGACGATCAGTGACGCAGGGGTACGAATGTCATGGTTTCTTTTCTCGATGCAGGGGATACTCAAGAAATTATACAAGATATGGTGGATTCCATTCTCCACGGCGATTATTAGTACGTACATACGTACTAGGGTACCTACGAGTAAGCACGCGGCCATTGTAGACGGAGTTTGAAGGTAGGAATCGGTCACATCGATTTGTCCAGAATAAATCACCAACAGGAGCTATTTGAGAATATGAACAAAAGAGATGTGATTGAAAATGACAGTGTGCAAGAAGGTTCAAAGTGGTAATCAGGCATCATAACGTATTCATAACTCTCCGGGAGCTGCTCCCTCATCCTTATCAAAAAGATGCAGGGAACCAGAGGATGAACCGAATGAGTCCAAATGCAGAAAGGAAAAAAAAAGACATTGATGAAGGAATATCAGAAACAAAGTTGAAATAGAAAAAGCAAAAAGAACCATTTTCAACGCAAATGGTCTAATACTCGCCAAAAGTTCCGCGAGAAAAGACCCCCAGGATATCGATTTCAAACAGAGAACAACTCCGCATCCCATGGTTTCGCTCGCAACCAAACCCAACCAGCCACATCCCCGTGGCAAGGAAGTAATGAGTATCGCGTATCACCCATTCCCTCCCCAATAAAAACCGATGTACAAGGAAAAAAGCCCAACAAAACAAAAACAGACCAAAGTGCAAACAGGGGATAATAACAGAAAAAAAAACAAAAGCACATCCCAGATATTTCAACAGTGCCCAAGCAATGCAGACGTGTATCGTTTCCGCCTCTAGATCCTTGAAAAAGATAATGTGAAATCCATCCCGCCCCAAGAGCAAAATAACCCCAAGAAATGAGAATCCAGAAAGAGTAAGGAAATCGTGGCAAAGAATAAGTCACAGCGTAGGTGAAGAGAGAAGAGAGGTTCGGGTCCAAGTCGCTCGCGAGCGACCCTCTCCTTTTCCAAAAAGAACAAAAATCAACTCCGGTTCCAATGGAACATGCACGTCAAGTAGCAAGTCACCATTCTATACATCATCGGTCGGCCTCAACCGGAAAAACCAAGGGCCAAAGAAGAGAAAGGAATTTCTCGTCCCTCCCCGAGAGACGGTCGGGATCGTAGGTAGAAGATGCAAAAATAATCCAATCGCAGGCGCCGTCGCTCGCAACAAGCTGGAAGCATCGCAAGAGATCTAGATATATGGCGAAAGATATAGGTGTAGGTCGTTAAATCGGCGGAAAGGGAAAAAAGAGGTGGGTGGTGAGTGGTATATACAATGTAGCCGGATTTTCGAGAAATTTTCGGGTTTTTTGAAGGTTTTTTTGTCGATCACCGTGATCGATCGCCGTAGTCGTAGAAAGGAGAAAAACATACCCTCCAGTGGTGTCGTTATCGAATGCAAAGGTAGCCCAGCCCGTATGAGACAGGGAAATGCAAGATGAAAAGATCAAAAAATCAAAACAAGATATTAGGACCTGCGATTAAAAGGACCATCCCGATGATGCAGAAGCTCAGATGACGTGCAATGGAAACATGCCGCGAGGGCGGAGGGCGCTCGCGCCCGGGGGGAGACCCGAGGAGGGCTCTCACCATCGACGCTGAGCTGCCTGCATCATCGCTGGGGAGATGGATGAGGGCGGGCTAGCCAGGGTCATTCCAGTGTTGGGGTTGACAATGGGGATGACCTTGCGGGTCCGGTTGGCCTGGTTGTTGGCAGACTGGTGGTAGTTGGCGTGATTAAGATTACCGGCAACACCGGCCTGAACGTAGGAGTTGGCCTGCGCAGGAGAAAGGGAGATGGAGGGAGTAACCTGCTGAACCGGCTGAATTTGGTGCTGCAGGGGAGAGGTATCAGGCGAACCGCTGGAGAGCGAGGAGCGGTCGGACGAGGCAGAGTGGATGGAGTGCAACTGCAGGGGGGAAGAGGAAACCGTTAGCCCACGCCTGTCTCCCAAGAGACTTTCCCCTTTGCTGGGATCAGCAAAACATACGTCGTCCTCGGTCAGGAGATTGGGGCAGAACTCCAGGTCATCGTCGAGGTCAAAGGAGCGACCGGCCTCGAAGCGAGCCCGGAAAGCTGTGACGGCGGGAGCCTCGGCCAATTCGCGCATGCTCTTGACTCCACGGAACTGACGCTGAGCATTCTGCTGAGCCATTTTGGGAGCCCGACGGCGGCCATGGTGGTGATTTTGGGTTGGCATATGAGCGTGAGGGTGTTGTTGCTGGTAGTGGTGGTGGTTGTAGAAGGCAGACATTGTGATAGGGTGGTATGGATGGTAAGGCCAGCACCCTTTGGAAGAGAAATACAGAAAGTATAAAGAGAAGAGAACTGAAGTTAAGTGAAGATAATAGAAAAGAGAATGGAGTCGAAGACGAGTGAGCAGTTGGGGGTATAGCACAAGAAGTTTTGTAGAAGAAGAGAAGAATCGAACGGGTTGTGGGAGAGCGGAAGTTGGAATTGAGGGGTGCGGTGGGTGTGTTTTGGTCTTTTGCACTGTGTATGGTCAGGTATGGTCACAGTTGTGTAGTAACCAGTGATGGGTAGGTGTAATTGTGTACTGTAATCTGTACTGTAATGTACAGCCAATGCGCTAGCGAAAGAAGGATCCACCGAGTCACGCACCAACCAAACCCGGCCGAGCGGCCGCAGTGGCGAGGTTCAAGACTTCACTTCCTCCAATCACCCTCCAGCCCTCACGAATTTCGATCCACACTTTACCGCTTCCCACCAGTTTCTCACTGTTTTTCTCCCTGACTGCCGGAAGAAAACAACGTGACGTCGTCGACCTGGGTGGATCTAACCCTGATCGAGCAGGGATTGTCACAGATCTGCCCACCAACTGCGCCTACAAGTGGCTGCGCCTTTTGCCTCCTGAACTGATGGCTACTAGTCGCTGGTACATACGATACCGACGATTCTCCTCGAGGGTATCGTCATGACGCCCCCCTCCCCCGACATCTCTCAATACCTTCGCTTTTTCCACCCTTGGTGGACTCTTGGTGGCTCGTGTGTGAGTCTGTCTCCATAACGCTCCATACATAGGGTAGGGCTATGCACAATAAGGATTGTCACCCTCCATTTTTGCACGGCTCCACCCCCTTCACCTTGGGGGATTCCATTCCAATCCTCCCCCAGCCTCTCTTGAACATTCCCTGAAGGGGGTGGGCCAAGGCATTTTGGTACAAACGGAGTCTCCGTTGCCAGCATCGAGAGTTCGAAGCTTTGCTCTTTACCGTCGTAGTGCTTATGGCTCCGAACTGTGCAGCGTATTGCAGGTCCCAGGCACCACATTCCCCTCTTCCCATAGGGCCCCGGTTGTGGCTGCTGATCTCTGATCGCTGATCGCCTCCCCTTCGGATTCCCAGATTCCCCAATCCTTCGACTCACAGGGCACAGGGACCACTGGGGGAAGATTCTGGGCGATTTAGACACGCCACGATTGATGCTGTAGGGTATGCAGTGTAGTGCATGCAACCACTTTCTCCATCATTGGCTACACCACCACCTCTCTCTAAAAATGAGATCCAACCCTGTCCCATCGGCCTCCTCAAAGCGGCAACCGGGTCCCCATTACTCGTAAATGTGTTACAGGATGCGGCGTCTTCTTGCTTCCCTCGCTAGGTAGCATCGTGACTCACGGCCCAACCCTCCACACGGTTCCACTCGAGAAGTGGCAGATATGTGCTGATTCAGTATCCGTCCGGAGTACAGAGGTCTGATTTCCATCACGTACCTGACTGACCCGGCTTGGAATGCCGGCGCCTGCTGGAACAACCCCCGGTCTCTCCCCCCCCCCCCGGTCGGTGCTTGCTCCCCTCGTGTCCAGTCACTGCGTGGGACGAACCCCTCGACGTTCTCCCGTGCTACATACATACTTCGAGGCTATCACCTTCACCGCTCCTTTGAGAACCGGTTGTCCCGGAGTTCTATTTCAAGCCTTGCTAGTGAACCTAAACCTTTGTAGGAGAGAGGGGGTACGATAATGATGCGCAAAAAGGGATAACTTTGTATATGCCCATAGAGTTCGGACACAGACTCACTTGTAGACATGCTGGTACAAGCAAGCACCCGCCGACTCGAAGCCTTATTTATGCAGCTGACGCATAAACGCATAAGTTCGGCGCATGGCATGCGATGCGATCTCTCAGATCTTATGATCTGACTGCAGTATGTATGCATAGTAGAATCAGTGAGGGGCCAGAGGGGAGGCCCTGACTAGTTCGGGTCGCCTTCCCCAGACACCAGGCAAGGAGATTTGATAAAAAGAAAACACGATCTGATCGCCACGGTCTGGTTTGAAACATTGCCACGGGTGCTGTGTTGATGTTGATGCGGTGTAGCCATGGGCTTACCTGACTCCGATTCGGAGATTGTTTCAGATATTGGTCCGGGTTAGAATAACCCCTGCGCACGACGGCATGTCATTTTATATCATCACCTGGCACGTTTTGCTGAGCGTTGAATAGTGAGAGCAAGGGGCATGCAAAAGTCTTTGATAAACTCAAGTATGGTATGGCCAGGGCTTCTGCCAGTATGAGTGGCCTGGTTCAAACGACGACTCTCGGTTCTAATGCTGGCATAAGCCGTCAACAACAGCACATAGACTGATACTTCCCCTGTGACTTGAGACTCTCCGTAGTCAATGTCAGTCTTATGTTCATTATCAGATCCCCAAGGATCCATTATAACAAATGATAATAGAGATCTCAATGTCATGGTTTAGGTGGAGGTTCTTTTATAGGTAGACAGTAGTAGCGTGGCTGAAATACTGAATTCGCCAGCCTCCTTTGACCCCGGCAATCGACACGTTCTAGAGCATGAGCAGTCTGATGGACTGAGATGTCCACTACAGCAAGTGCATCGTGAGTTCCGTTGGCTTTGTCAAAGGGACCATCATGATTTTGATTAAATCAAAGCTCGAATCTCAATATAAATAGGAACAGCGAAAAACTTGAATAAATGCAATGCTCCCTTAATGTGTAAAGCCCAAGCTCATGAATAGCCCATCAAAAATAAAGCCCAGAAACAATGCAAAGATATAGGGTAAACAGAACGCCCAAAAGCCAGAAAAACGCCATGAAGCATCGAATCAACGAAGATGCACGCTAAAAATAATCATTTGTCCAGGTTCTTGCTCTTCACCATTCGTCCGATGAACTCTTTGCAGTGTTTTTCACTGTACTGCTCCCATACCTCATATAACGAGAGCAGCTCCTGAGTTGACTCGATGACAGCCTTGATATCAATTTCACTCTCCGCTAACCACTGCACCAGCTTCTGAATCCGAGGAGGTCCAGTTCCAGTCCTATCTGCAAGAGCAGCAAGCATGTTCATGCCATTTCCATCCCTAGCCACACCAGCCATGGTGGACTGGGCAGACTGGGCAGGGCTGGAGAACGCTCCTCCTGGATGAGACGGCTTGAAAACCACTGCGACGACGATCGCCATGACCGCAATGATATGCGGCGGATTCAGTAGAGGAAGGTCGGTGAGATAATGGTCGTTGATCACGGACCAAGCTAGAGCTATCTCGCCCGAGCCAAGAGATAACTCTGTTTGAAGTTCTGATAATGTCCGATAGGGGTGATGGATGATGAGCTGGGAGTTCATCTCGGACATGAGAGCGAATTCGCATTCACCGAGCTTCGCCACATCTGGAGTGATGAATTCTGCTGATAATTAGATCTCTCGTCATGATTTGTGAGAGCGAGAATAAAGCATACCTGGCCAGAGTCCGCGCGCTTCTCCGACGACAAAGCGGATGTGTTGGGGACACTCTTCCATCTTACAGGCCAAATAGAAGGCGGTGGTGAGGACTAAATAGGGGTTGGTCTGGCGAATTTCATTTTTGGTATAGAACCTCTTGAGGTATACCTGGGCGGTTGCAATTGCCTGTTGGCGAGTGGACATGCGTTTACCTAACTTGATGAGTTCTGGGAGACATATCAGCAAGGGTTCAATCAAGCCAACAACTTGAAGGAAAAAGAGTGACTTCGTACGTTGGTTGAAGTAAATGTTTAATAGGCGCTGGTCTGGAAGTGGGAACTGTGAATGCGTGACCTTATCTCGGTCTCGTAAACGGTCTCGAGTTTCAGCCAGCTTCTCACGAGTGAAGAGCCAATGTCGGCGTTGAGTAGACGCCCAATAGTTGGCGGCCATCTTGGATGGGGAAGAGATGAGGTGAGATCGGAGATTAACAAGAATTCATCCTTTTTTATAACATCCCAGGACGTCTACCTAGTCTACATGTATATACATGTAGAATCAGGCATAGTTACCAACCGGCAAAGCAGACGTCCAGGCAGGCGGGGACAAGCCTCCCTCCCTCCTAAATAGGAAAGTAGGGCCAGCCCTGGTCCCGTGCCCAAGAGATGATGGCGTCAAGGCGGCTGCAGCAATGATCGGGCCCGGATTAATCATTCCCTCCCCACCCGCAAAGCTCCTCTCTTATGCTTTCTTTTATGCTCAGGCTCAGGCTCAGGCTCATGCTTCATCGTTAAAGACGCCCCTCCCCTGGAGTCGCTACCCCCTACACTTTCACCTTTGACACACGAGGAGATGCTCCCTTGAAGCATGCCGGGTGCTCAATAACAATTTTCCTCCGAACATGGCACCCGGCGAGTCGAAGGATGAGCGGGACGAACGAGTTGCCCGGCTCTGGGAGACCCTTGATGCGCGTAAGGAGGGTCATATCGACTTGAACGGGTTGAAGAAAGGACTGAAGAAGATCGACCACCGTGAGTCCTGCCGATATCCTGTGCCGAACGCTCCCGACTGACGCGGTCGCAGCTCTCAAAAACGCAGATGGTATGCTGCACAGTATCTTGCGTGAGGTCGACACGAATGGAGACGGCGAGATAGATCATGCAGGTAAGACCCATGAACTATTTCTTCCTTAGGACTTAGGAGTTGCGCTAATGTATCACCCCCTTCTGTCTTCTGTAGAGTTCCAGGAATTTATCGACCATACCGAGTCTGGGCTATGGCGGATGTTCCAGTCCATCGATCACAACAAAAACGGCGAAATAGACAAGAACGAGCTGCGGAACGCGTTTGCACAATCGGGGGTCACCGTATCGAATTCGAAGTTGGATCAGTTCTTTGCCGAGGTCGACAAAAACCACGACGGCGTCATATCGTACACAGAATGGAGGTTCGGCTTATCTACCCCTCGCACCACTTTACCAGACAGACGGCCACAGTGAATACACGTCGGGTATTCGGAGCATTCAAGCTAACCGTCCCATTTTTTCTTAGGGACTTTCTCCTCTTCCTCCCGCTTCGATCCTCAACCGATCTCACCGCAGTCTTATCATACTACACGGCCACGGGCAATCTAAACCCGGAAGGAGATGTCCACATCAATGATCTACAGGGTTTAGGTACAGAGTCTCCGTTTCTTAACCGTTCTCTTCTGGCCATCCAGTGCCTTTTGTACAATATTCTCTCTTTGCACGCCCTCGCCTGCCTCCTCCCATCAGCCTCCGCGCAAACTAGCCCGCCCTCTGACTCGACCACCGCCATGGACGGTGATGTCGAGCTGGAGAATCTTCCCATTTCCAAACTCGTCGCATTGCGGATGTCTCTGCGGAATTATGAACGGAAGTTGACCGAGAATACCCCTCAACTAGGCTATTTCGCTGCAGGCGGTATCGCAGGCGTCGTTTCCAGGACGATAACTGCCCCTCTTGATCGTCTGAAAGTGTATCTCATCGCCCAGACAGGTGTCAAAAACTCGGCGGTTCGCGCGGCCAAAGAGGGCGCCCCACTTGCTGCGGCGGGAGATGCCTCCAAAACATTATTCGATGCTCTCAGAGAGCTTTGGCGGGCTGGCGGTATGCGGAGTTTGTTTGCTGGTAAGTTAAGCATACATAACCCCATATGTCACAAGGATACGGGTTTCTAACGCTGTTTAGGAAACGGATTGAATGTTGTGAAGGTCATGCCTGAATCTGCGATCAAATTCGGAGCATACGAGTCGGCCAAACGGTTTTTTGCCCGCATGGAAGGGCATAACGACACAAAACGGCTTCTTCCAACTTCCCAGTTCTTGTCAGGTGGTATCGGTGGAATGGTCGCCCAGTAAGTTTTGACTTGACGTGCCAAATAATGAACATCAGTTCTGACAGATTCCTAGATGTTTCGTGTATCCTCTCGACACATTGAAATTTCGCATGCAATGCTCGACCGTCGAAGGCGGATTGCGGGGCAACAAGCTTATTGCAGCCACAGCTCGCAAAGTATGGAATGCAAACGGCCTGTTCGGCTTTTTCCGTGGTCTGCCACTCGGCCTAATGGGCATGTTTCCGTATGCTGCGATCGATTTGACCACATTTGAGTACTTGAAGCGTGCTCTTCTCGCTCGCCAGGCTCGCATAAAGCAGTGCCATGAAGACGATATCCCACTCAACAACTTTGTCACCGGTGCTATCGGTGCCCTGAGTGGCGGCCTGAGTGCCTCGGTGGTCTACCCACTCAATGTCATGCGAACTCGTCTTCAGGCACAGGGAACCGTTTTGCATCCATCAACATACGCCAGCATCGGTGATGTGGCTCGTAAAACTCTTGAAACAGAAGGCCCCCGTGGTTTTTACAAGGGACTCACTCCCAATCTCTTGAAAGTGGCGCCCGCCGTTTCAATCAGTTACGTGGTCTACGAGAACTCAAAACGATTCCTCGGCCTAAAGTGATGGCACTATACATAACATACTAATTTCTCTCATATCTCTCATATTTCTGTCCTAACTACCTTACCTTACCCTCATCGCGAACATCATCTTCTCCTTGCTTTGATCTCTATCGAGAGACATACCCGACCAAGATACCCTCCAAACAATGCCATACATATCCGGTGCTGTCATTTCTGTACATGCTCCATGTCTCTCGGGCTTGATTCGATATTTTGATATATTTTGCCATTTCGCCATCATCATTTTGCATTTACTTATAGCCCTTGGCTGTTATCATTGTCTTTTTGAGCGGTCATCCTTTTTGGGGGATCTGCGCTTAGAAAATGACGTTGGACAACACAGGGTACTCCCACAAACCATCAGCATGGCAAGGCGTCGAGGCATGTGAATTTCACACGCAATACCATTTGAGATTTGTCTCCTTTTCTGTATATATTTAAAAGAATACTACACTTTGCTTAGATATCCCGCTCGCTTAAGTAAGCAGCGAGCATGGTTGACTATTGATAGAACGTTTTTGGAATTAATTTGCATCAATTATTACTTCACGTTCGCATTCCAAGGTTCGCAAATCCTAGTATTTAACCAGCCTTGACAGCGGGAACCTCTTGATCCTTGGGCAGAACATCCGGTACCGGTCCAAGTGGCGTAATCGCAAACTGATTGATCTGCTTGTGCGACTTGGTATAATGCTTCTTGATATGTTCAAACTCCGTCGTGTCGCGAAAAGCATCGAGGTCCCAGTAAAGACCACGCACCCAGCGGTGAATAGCCGGGAATCCAGATCGAATATCGCGCAGATTGCACTTAAAGTGCTGAACATAGACGGGGTCAAAGCGGATGATAGTCGTGAAGAGCCGGATATCGGCCTCGGTGACGGAATTTCCGAAGAAATACTTCGAGGAAGCTTGTTGCTTGACTAGGTGGGCCTCGATCCTATCCAGCGAGGAGAAGAGCGTGACTACGGCCTTTTCGTAGGCCTCTTGGGTGGTTGCGAAGCCGGATTTGTAGACGCCGTTGTTGACGTCGTTGTAGATCCATTCGTTGGATGTGTCGATCTCACTGCGCAGGGCAGATGGGAAGAGGTCGACTTTCTTGTATTGTTCGGGGAGAAGGTCGTCAAATTCATAGTAGAGCATGCGGATGATTTCGGCGCTCTATGTCATGTGAGTGGGATACATGAATTTGTCAAATGGAATAAGATTCTCACCTCATTGCTGACAATGCGGTTGGTCTTTTTGTCGAAGAGGACTGGAACCGTGAATCGGCCAGCATAGTCCGGTTCGTTGGAGAAGTAGATATCACGGAGATGGGTGAACTCCGGATGCAGCGGATCGGGGATGGTATTCTCCCCGGGCAGCTTTTCATCCGCAGTAGCAAAGCGCCATCCTGAAGGATTCAGTATACGAATTATGAGATGTTAAGCTCCAATGGAATGAATCCTACCTTTCTCACCGAGGTGCCAGTGCACCGAGGAGAAAGAGATAATATCTTCTAAGCCCTTGAGCTTGCGGGTGATTAAAGTCCGATGAGCTACACATAATCAGTCAGATTATAGCTCACAATTGGCTCTATCAAAGCTTCATCTTACCCCAGGGGCAGGCGTAGGAGACGTAAAGATGGTAGCGACCCTTCTCTGCAGGGATTTCCGCGCCAGACTCGCGGGAGACGAAGTTGCGGAATGCCGATACCTGACGCTTGAATTCGCCCGACTTGTCAGCCGGGTTCACCCAGTCGGTCACTTTACTAGCATTGCCGGTCTGTATGTATAAAAAAAAAACTTAGTAATTTTCAAATCAAGGTCGGCCGGGGTCTCTTGCTTACCGCCATATTTTGAAATCTAACTGGTGATCGTGTGGAGAAGCTGTGGTTGGAAGCTGCAAGGAACCCCGCGTGACGTGTGGAGCGTGGAAGATGATAAAACCCCGATGAGCGCAGAAGAGTCAAGAGCATGGGCAGATTGGAGATTTTATAGTTCTTCCCGAGGTTTATTGGAATTGAAAGAAAGAATAAGAAAAAAGGCGGGCTTACGGCGGGGTGACGTTGACGAGATAGTATGCTTACTTGATTCTGACTGATACGGTGGCTGCAGTGCGTAATGCAAATACGCGCCTAAGCTTGAACCGGAAAGTGGCCAATGCATCCCAAGCTTCGATGGATAAGAAAATAAGAATTGAATAAGCATGAACAATGGATTGGTGATGGTAATTCTAAGCAGGAAACTGGGTCATTGATAATAATCGTTACTCTAACTACTCTGAGCCACATCTTTATATGATACTGCTGTTTCTTGGCTCTGGGTTTTGGTTGGGCTAGTCCTCTTGAACCCTTTATTTCGCCAGCTTGACCATCACGTAAGGGACTTCCACATCTTCCTCGGTCTGGTCTTCGGCCGTCACCTCGAAAATGATATTCTTTTGGTGGTCGGGGACCGGCTTCTTGCTGACGTGCTCGACGAGCTTGCTCATCCTGTGGAGTGGCGTTAGCGGGGTTTTGCTAAATATAGTCTATACGAGGGAGATAGTACATACGGTAGCGGGAGGCGGTCCTTCACCTTGGAAGGGGGGTAGAAGCTGGCATAAAGCAAGCTAACTCCGGAGCTGACCATTGTGATGTCCAGACCCTTGCTGGCGAAGTAATCCAAGAACTCCTGGAGAGGAATGTCATCCACCTCGAAACGATCCCAAAGTCGGTCGATGGTAACTTCACCCTCCTTGCCTTGATACTTGCCCTTTTCGCTGCCGATTGGTTCACTGAATCCGAAAAATGGCAGCGCAAGGTTAATGAAGCCGTTCTTGTACTGCTCGATATCATCCTTGCCGTCGACTACCTTGAACAGCTCCAGAGCCACCAGACCGGTGACCAGGGCAGTAGCAGTAGCAATAGCGGGGATGATCTTGCCCGCAATGAACTTGGTCTTGTGACGATCCGCCTGAGGAATTTCATAATTGTCAGCGCGGAGGTTACTAGCGGCTGTGATGAAGTCGATGTGGTGGTTCGTATCGTCGTCCTTCTCGAATTCGACGGGGTGTAGACGGAAGCCGGCGAGAGATTTAGGAGATGGCAGAGTAGCCACGAGTTTTTGGACTTCGTCAGCGTCATTGGTCGATCCAGCGGGTTGGGCATTCGGGTCCGGATCGTTTTCGTTGGCTTGGATTCTCACATTGGAGCTGGGTGTGAACTCCGGGATGATCATATCATCGACGACCTTACGATAGTAGCCCTTGTCCGCACCAGGGTTCTTAATATCGTAGTTGAAGGCATGGAGGTTGGCGCCCGCAATCACAAAACCAATGTGAGAGGGGTTGGCGCTATCAAACTTGAGAGGAGTTGGTGCACGCTTGGGACCAGACCAAAAAGGTTGACCCGAAGAGGTCTTTGAATCCCGTGGGAAGTTGTAGAGCAATTGCTGGATAGCATTGTTGTACTGAGCCTCGAATTGCTGGCGAGCCCATACTATGCAGTCATCGAAGGTCAGAGGCTTCTCTGTAACCAGGAAGTCACGGAGGTGCTCCAAAGTTTGCTTCTCGTTGCCCGCCTGCTTGAGTGTCTGGTCAATGTAGTCGGCCTGCGAAAGATACAGGTTCACAGACTCCGGCGGACCGACGAAATAAGTCTGGAAAAGATCTCGAGCCCAGGCAATAGTGTGCTCAATGCGGTTAGGGAAACTCTTCAGTGTACACATTGGGAACGACTTCTCGGGGGGATCCTGAGAGCTTGAGTAGGATTCGGTGATAAAAGGCAGGACAACCTGAGTGTTGCCTTTGGTGCCGAGAGTGCCGCTCTCCAGGAGAGGCTTGCGGAAGAAGACACAGCGACGGTCCACGTACGTCCGGGCATCCACGTTATCCAAGGCGTTGGTCACACCATCCAGTCCATTCCAGAAATCCTCATTGAAGATGTGCTCCGTATCGGCCCCGACGCGGTCGCGGAGAGTGACGATCTTGTCGTTGAGCTCGGGGTTCATGGCCTGAACAGCAGCAGAGGCGCATTCACTCTTAAGACGGCCCACATCCTTAGGGCGGAAGAGGAATTGACGGTTGAGGTTGCTCTTTTCAATTTGGTCCATGTCGGTGACAAAGATTTTGCCCTCGGGACCAGTACCCAGGCCCATCATGGCCCAGTTCTTCAGAGTCTCGCAACCAATGGCACCGGCACCAACGAGGAACTGCTTCACATTGGAGAGCTTTTCCTGGTACTCCTTTCCAAAAACCGCAATCTGGCCATCATAGCGAGAGCCAATAGGTTTGCAGCTCTCCTCGGACCGAGTACTATTGGAGGGCAAAGATTCCAGGGAGTCGAAGTACATCCACTGGTGCACAGGGTTGAATTTCCCAGAGACAGCCTTCAGAACCTCTTGGGCAGCAATACCACCAAAGAACGCGGCTAATGCGTTGAGATCACCACGAGCCTGGTAGCTCAGCTCCTTAAGAATCTTCTCATCAAGCTCAATCTTCTCCTCCTCCGCAGAAGCAAGCTCAGTGGCAATCTTCAATACCTCCTGGGCATCAGCGTCGTTGTGTGGGCGGGGTAGTTGATGTTGGTGAGTTTCCGCAAACTGGTGGAGAGCTTGAACACCGATGTGGAGCTGCTGCGGCCGGTCGAATTTGGCAAAGTCGGAAACCAAGAACTCGGGTTTCTCGAGCTGCTCTGCTAAAGGCTGGAAATCGATGAATTTGGGCATTTTCACTTGAGTATAAAGACCTCCGCCCTGGTAGGATCCGAACTCGGAAACATCGCCAATGGTGAAAGTATAGGGACCCTTCACAGTAATCTTGCGAGGGGCACTGTTATTCAAGCCATCCATACCCTTGACTTCGGTGAAAGTGACGAAGTCGCCATCCTCTAGTCCGTGGCGGGTTTCATCCAACGCAGAAACGAGACCATCCTCGGAGATGTCGGCAACGATTCCACCAACAGGGTCCTCGCCAGTAGGATCACCAACAGTGAAGTTCTTGCCAAAGTCATTGAAGATATAACCGAAAAGTCCAAAGGTGTCT